ATGTTAAAGGCTTAACCATCATATGATTTTTAATAAACCATACTATGTATTCCTTTTCTAAAGCAGCTTTAGTGGATTAAGTTCCTTTGGTTAAATCTCCCTTATTTTATTAAAGCAATTCCTTTTAGATATCTTTGATATTTCCAAAATTGACTTTGGTTGTAAAGACATCTTTTTCTGGTGTTTTAATTACGTGATAAATTAAGTGGATGTATTTCTTTTAATCAAACTTAACTCCTTTAAATTATTCATAGAAATTTTCAATGACTTCTAAGGTAAGTTTCATATCTCTATTAAATACCTTCTCTTCATAAAGATCGACAGTAGTATTATCATTTTCAAATCTACTCAAAATCACCTATTCTATCTCTTAAGTAATTGATTATCTGAAATGTTTAATGCTTACATGTTTTTCAAAAGATGATTTTAATTAAGTTTACAAACTTTCCTCATCTTATTTCTATAATTTTAATTTCAGATAATAAGTTAATTATTGTTAATGTTTGAATTGCTCTCTGATAAAGTGATATAAGATTAATTTTTCAATTTCAGAATCAAAATCTTAAACAATATTTTTGGTCATCATTAAATAGAACAAAGAAATAAATGGCTTAGAAGTAGCTACATAATCTTCATATTACTCCTCTTTTTCTAGATAGGCAGAAGTTGGATTCTCCAAGAGCTTTTTAAGATAGTTTTCGAACTTTTCTGTTCCTTTATAAACAATTGAAGTGGTTGAATAGATCAAATTGATAGTATCTTCTTACCATTTGGTTCTGGGTTACTTATACACAAATATTAAAGCATTAGCCAAAAGAGCTAAATAGGTTTCTTCATAGAATGTGTCCACATTTTGCTAGACCATGAAAGTGAGTAATAGCTTAATAATTCTTGATCTTAAAATAGGTTGAAGATCTTAATCTGATCGAGGGAACAAAGGTAAAATACAATTAATTTCTTCTTTTTTCTCACCTCCAGTATTAAGTTCTACTTTGAAGTTATTTTTGATTAAATAAGCGGAGTCAATGACTTTGTTTTGTTAAGCAAAATTCTCCACTTGAACCAACCAAGGATTAACAAAGCATCCGTCGTTTCTTTTAACCTTTAAGCCATGACCAACCAAAGGGAATGTTTCAGCAAAATCATATTGAGATTTGATATACTTTAATCCTTCAACGACGAGTTTAGAGTTTGATACAATATCCCTTTGAGTTTCAAGACTCACAACAGATCTTTCTTGGCCTTGTTCATTTTCCTTCTTGAAGTCACAGTTGATGACAATATCTTAAAATTCATCTCTCATTTTTCTAAATTCTTCAACTGTAATTCCCTTTAAAGCTAAAGCCTTTTACTGATGCTTTCCAGTGATTGTACCAATGTTTAATTTTTTAGCTGCTTCAAAATCTCCCAATTATTTGATATCAACTCCTTTTGCTAATTATCTGGCTTCTTCAATAAAGAACAACAATTTATTTCCATATTTATAGACATAGTTTCTTTGAGCTCTGACATTAAATGGTTATGTAGGATCCACAATTTCTGCCTAATTGAAATTCAAGACATTCATATTGAATTAATCACTTAATCTATTGGCCATTCTTTCCATAATGGCCAAGGCATCAGCAGCTTTGTCCTTGATTCCTTAGGCACCACTCATTGCTCTGATTTATAGATTTTACACCCAAGAACGGAATAGATCCACCACATCATCCACCAACAAATCAGATTCAGCAATTGGATGCAATTCTATGGGGTCTTTGTCTTCTTAAAGGATTTACAGTTTGTTCTTCTTTGTTATGACCCATTAACCTTCATAAACTTCGTCAGTCACATCTTCATCATAGGGGAAAAGATTAATCATTTTGTCCAATTTCAATTACTAAGAAGGATAAAAGTATTTCTTCATGGTCTCAAATTTGTTGAAAAATGCTTATGGAGAAGCATGCTCAATCAAATAGATAGCAGGAATCTATGGATCACCCCTATGGTAAAGTTATCTCAAATTCATAGAAATGTTGGTTGGAAATCCTGATTCAACTCCCAAACAAATAAAATTAATATTTCGATTTTATGTGTTACCACTTAATTTCTTCATTCTTTCATCAATCGTTCTTACATTATTGTCTTGTCCATCACTTATAAATATTATAGTAATGTTATTTTAGATGGGAACCTTTTACAATTCGGTCTCCATAGTCGAAAATGCAGGAACTATCTCTGTTCCACCACCTCCATGATCCTTGATTCTTTTTGATAAAACTCCATCTGCTGAAATCTTCTATCTAGTATCAAAAGTTATCGTAATTAAGTTCTCTTTTGGTATGCTTTGATTCCAAAAATCAGATAGCCATTCCCAGCATCCACTCATCGAGCCTGATGCATCAATTACTCCAATAATTGTTAAAATGGCATTTCCTTCCTTACCCTTTTTATCTCCTTTTGTTGTCGACTTATCTTGAGTTTACTCAATAAAAGGGATCTTTAATGCGAAGAATTAATTTTGCTCCATTATTTAATTGATCGGGTTTTTAATATAATTGTTTAGAATGTGCTTCTAAGTATTCCCTGATCATAATTAACCAGTATTTAAAACAAAAACTTTATATCATTATAAATTCTTTAATAACTCAATTTAATAACTCTACATTTATTTCCATTGACCTGTTTTATTAGTATGAAACACATAAATTCTGTTTAGAACAAAATTCTTTCAATTTAATATCAAATAATAACAAGATCATTTACTAATTAAGTATTTATCAATCTTCAATTCTGATTTGACTGTATATTAATAATATATTGCAAAATGACAAATGCAATTGTTATATTTTATTTTACTAAAATTCACTTTTTTTTTATTAAATAGGTTAAGAAAGAAACCTAAACTCAATTATCTAATGAATGCTTACTCAAGTAACTTTTCGTCTAAGATAATTTTCCAAACAATTGATCTTGATTTCAAAATAATTTAAGTAAATTCTTTAAAAATTAGAGAATAAAAATAATTGTTTTTGTAGCAATATACTAATTCAATCATATTTCTCCTGAAACTTCTTTTATAATTCTAATTACAAACTGTAAGTAAGTAAGAAATATTATTTATGGTCTTTCGAAGAACTAGAGCTTTCCATTTACTTAAGTCCATTATTTAAAGATCACTTCTGTGCTAAACTACTTATAACTTCATATTTCAATTTAAATAAATCATTTTTAATTTACAATAGATATGATTGATTTTTTGTTATTAATTGGTGAGTTAATTTTCATTCTAGTGGCCTAAAAATCATTCTCAATTATCCTATCTAGTATTATCTTGTATTAAATTAACATGAATAATTATTGTCAAATTGACTACATCTGTAGCCATTCAGTGTTCACTTCACCCATAATTTTCACCTTAAAGGGTGCTTTTTTTACTAAGAAACCAAACTAATATATTCATTTTTATTAACAATATTTGCTTAATAAATTTATTATTAATTCTTCTAAAAAGGCAATATTGTATAAATTCATTGGATCCTAATTCTATCAATAATTAAGAAAGAATTTCAGTCAAAAACTAAGCATAATAGTTAGCATTTTTTCATTATTATAATAAATATTATAGTGCTATGATGTCCATTTATAAATTCATAATTTTGTCTCATGTAACTTCATCTAATAATTTCTACGCTATTTACTAGTTTACATTAGTTTAGGTTTTTTTCCAAAATAGTTTGAGTTCTTTTAGCACCTATTCTTTCTATTTAATCATATCAAGTATTTAATAATGTGATTCAAAAAATTCCTATCCNTTTTGTTGTCGACTTATCTTGAGTTTACTCAATAAAAGGGATCTTTAATGCGAAGAATTAATTTTGCTCCATTATTTAATTGATCGGGTTTTTAATATAATTGTTTAGAATGTGCTTCTAAGTATTCCCTGATCATAATTAACCAGTATTTAAAACAAAAACTTTATATCATTATAAATTCTTTAATAACTCAATTTAATAACTCTACATTTATTTCCATTGACCTGTTTTATTAGTATGAAACACATAAATTCTGTTTAGAACAAAATTCTTTCAATTTAATATCAAATAATAACAAGATCATTTACTAATTAAGTATTTATCAATCTTCAATTCTGATTTGACTGTATATTAATAATATATTGCAAAATGACAAATGCAATTGTTATATTTTATTTTACTAAAATTCACTTTTTTTTTATTAAATAGGTTAAGAAAGAAACCTAAACTCAATTATCTAATGAATGCTTACTCAAGTAACTTTTCGTCTAAGATAATTTTCCAAACAATTGATCTTGATTTCAAAATAATTTAAGTAAATTCTTTAAAAATTAGAGAATAAAAATAATTGTTTTTGTAGCAATATACTAATTCAATCATATTTCTCCTGAAACTTCTTTTATAATTCTAATTACAAACTGTAAGTAAGTAAGAAATATTATTTATGGTCTTTCGAAGAACTAGAGCTTTCCATTTACTTAAGTCCATTATTTAAAGATCACTTCTGTGCTAAACTACTTATAACTTCATATTTCAATTTAAATAAATCATTTTTAATTTACAATAGATATGATTGATTTTTTGTTATTAATTGGTGAGTTAATTTTCATTCTAGTGGCCTAAAAATCATTCTCAATTATCCTATCTAGTATTATCTTGTATTAAATTAACATGAATAATTATTGTCAAATTGACTACATCTGTAGCCATTCAGTGTTCACTTCACCCATAATTTTCACCTTAAAGGGTGCTTTTTTTACTAAGAAACCAAACTAATATATTCATTTTTATTAACAATATTTGCTTAATAAATTTATTATTAATTCTTCTAAAAAGGCAATATTGTATAAATTCATTGGATCCTAATTCTATCAATAATTAAGAAAGAATTTCAGTCAAAAACTAAGCATAATAGTTAGCATTTTTTCATTATTATAATAAATATTATAGTGCTATGATGTCCATTTATAAATTCATAATTTTGTCTCATGTAACTTCATCTAATAATTTCTACGCTATTTACTAGTTTACATTAGTTTAGGTTTTTTTCCAAAATAGTTTGAGTTCTTTTAGCACCTATTCTTTCTATTTAATCATATCAAGTATTTAATAATGTGATTCAAAAAATTCCTATCCTTAGTATACTAAATCTATATTGAGTTCAATTATAAAAGCATTGTATTTATGTTATCGATTTTGACTGTTTAGTAATTAATTCCCTATAATTAGTTAAGACATTATAATATCTAAGCATAGAATTTATCGAGTCATTTATCTATTGGCTTTATAAGTGTCTTTATTATTATTGAGGAGACGAGAGATTTAAGTGTCTTGATTAATAAATTTTTCTTCCAAATTTCTCAATATTGTTTTAGTTATTCTGTTTCATTCATTAGTAATTTGAATTTGCGTACATTTTTAATGTTTTATTATTTTAATACATATTTTTTAACTTTTTAATGGCAAAGCTTTGAATCAAATGATTAAAAAGTGAAGTAAACTATAAATAATATATTTCAATACAATATTAAGTCAAAGAAACCAATATTTAATTTAACCAGTGAATTTATAAAAAAAAAACAGATAGAATGTGTTAATCATTGTTCAGTTTTGAGTCTCCTTGAAACCTACATGTCATTATAAAAATGACTCTTTGGCTACTCTTGTCTTAGTTTTTGAACAATATTTCTTATTTTTTCTTTTGAAGGTTGACTCTGTGATTTAACTCCTTGATTCACTTCAACTTCTTCATGCTAGATCACTTTGAGTTTTTTAATTTAATTGGTAAAAGTTAACGTTTTTGTTTCCAAACGTGGAGATATTTAAATGTAGAAGTCCTCTTTGGATGGTTCAGTTTTTAAGCTTTTTGTTGAATCAGAATGAGCATTCAAACTATTGTTGACTGATTTTTTCATGTTGTTGCTTTTCTTCATCATGCCTAGATTGGTTGAATTTTTCATGCTATATGACATTTAATATATAGATCAAGTAAATTTTTTTAATTAATTATTCTGTTTAATTAAACTTATTCTTACTTTATTAATTTAAGCCCAATTAAGAACTGATAATAGGATTGATTTAATTTTTGTTTACTTTTTGAAGTAAGAAAAACATGGATAAATTGTTAATATGTAGATATTATTCGTAATTGAATTAAAACTGATAATATTATTAGCAATAAGTTTAAATGATGTTATAAACATAAATAGGTGATTATCTAATAAAATTGATGCTCATTTCCTTGTAATTGGTTTATTCATAATTCTAGTGACATCGCTTCGAATGTGTCTAAATTAACCAGGATCCGTGTATTTGGAATGCAATGTGTAAACACCATCTAGATTGCATAAGAAATGGAATTACCTGCTAAAGGCAAACTGGTAGCAATATCATAAGGATGAACTTAACTAGCATTTTTTTTGTAATTATCCATGCTGCTCTATCTTAAGTTATTTTAGGCAGTTGTCAATCCTGCATCTCCGCAATGAATCCATTGTCTTTATACTTGGGTATTTTCTTTTGGATCGATGGCTACAATTAGATATAGGTTTGATACAGTTTCTGTATTTTTCTCCTGTGATAACAGAAGTCATTTTCAAGCCTTGATCAAAGGGATCTCTCTCTCGACAACCAGCTGCTTATGGCTTCTTCTTTTTATCTGAGAGAATTTCAGCCACATTGTTTTCAGGTTGTTAAAAGGATTACTAGTATGTAGTAATGGCATAGAATTTATTATGTTATTCAGGATGGTTTCGAAAGGTGGAACCAAAGTCAGTATAATTTTGATGCACTGCTCGATCCACCAATATCTATTGCATATTAGTTTGATCCAATTATTTGATTGATTTAGCTCCTGCAGTTTATGCAACGGTTGTATTACATTCTGGGAAGCTAACTTTATCGCCATTGGTTTTTATCAAAGATCTGCAATCCCCTAGTTACATGTTCTGAATGTTTTTGGCATCAAACTTTGTCTGGAATTCGGTTCTGAATTCTCTCTTTTAAATTGTTTATATAATAATACATATCCATCATCTGGCACTATAATCTCTTTAGTAATATATGGTGGATTGCGATTCACTCTAGGCAAAGGAAGTAAGCATCCATTATCTCCTGGGATGGATATGCCTTCTTCAACTCCTCGTAACTGAAATTATATATCAAATCCATTACTGATTTGGTAGCATTGGGATCTCTCTGCAATTATTTGGGGGCCAATCTATCTTCGTACCAGTTGGCTAAATTATGTTTCCATAATACCCATTAAAGCAGTTTTGCTATATTCAACTTCATTTGGCCTTCTCATTTATTTTATTAATTTATTTATTTATTCAAATAATATTATAGGTTTCTTCTTCAGACATCACCAATCAAGTTTGTTCTTCTTCTCATCACTTCAATATTATTTTGGATTGCATATAAGTCCATAGAAATATAATTAATATTTCAATTATACAAAAATAAGTTGCAAATTTATAATTAACAGAAAAATAAATAACTAATTGAATGGATAATTTGCTACCGACTGCCAATCCCATTTTATAAACACCATTTGAATTTACCAAACCCAAATTTGAATATCCTGGAGAAATTGCGTATAATATAAATCTAAATAGTCCCATGCCATTTTTTCATAATCACTACAAACCTCCCAAAAATGTCCTTAACTTCGAATGTTGTGATATAGATTTCTTTTCCAAAGAACCAACCTACTTTAAAACTCTACATGAATTACATGCCAATTCCCCTCTCATTTATTAAAGATTCATAACTTAATCCTCCAAGACTTAGAATTTTGCATCTCCATAATATCAAGGAACCCAATTGTTTTCCAAAGGCCCTGTTCATTTTAACTCCAACTTTGAATGTGGCAATCTCTATACAGTATATAAAGTTGCTGATAGAAAATATAATCTAGTTCTGCATAATGACACTTAAACCAATGGTTGCACTAGATGGTATTTCTTTAGTGTAAGAACTCCTGAAAGAATGATGCTTTAATTGAACATCATCAATCTCAGTAAATCGGCATCCCAATTAAGCGTTAATCCTTACATCTACACTTCCAGAAGCGGATGGTACAGAGGAGGTGAGAATGTCCAATACTACAAAAATCAATACTAAAAGAAAATAGATTATTACTACACATTATCATTTAGTTATCTATTTGAAAAGGACGAGACCATTTATTTCGCCCCTTTCCCTCCATACGGAATCACCTCACTTTAATCATTTCTAAAACCTTTAAGCAACCAGTAATAATCATATCTAATCACAAGAACCCTTATAAAACTCAAGGCTCTCTCAGTTAATTAAGGCAACCAATACCCAGTATTAACCATGGGAAACTCAACCAAACCATTGATCGTTATAGTTGCCAGACAGCATCCATCTGAAGTTGTTACCTCCTATGTAGTCGAGGGAATGATTTCATTCTTAATGAGTGATGAAGCCAAACAACTAAGAGAAAACTTTTATTTTAAAATCTTACCAATGATGAATCCAGACGGTGTCATCCACGGAAACAGCAAAACAAATCTTTAAGGAATAGATATCAATTAAAAATGGCATAAAGTCAATAAATAAGTTCCTAGTGCTCAACATGTCAAAGCCATTTTAAAAAAGACAGGTCATCTCTACTTAGCTCTAGATTTACACCAAACTTACAAAAAGTATTCAAACCATATTATTAATTTAGATATGGAATTTCATTTGTAGGAAGATATGATGAGAATCCTTAATTTATTACTGCATTTTCTTAAATCTGTCAATATACTAATTTAGAACAGAGTAAATTTGGAAAGTCTAATAAAATGGAAAAAACTCTGCCATTTTCCTTAGGGTATTTTATTATGTTTAATATATTTAGTGAATTGTTGAATGTGAATTGTATTTACTAAGTTAGAATTTCAGATCAGGCTGAAAGTTCAAAAGATTTCACAATCTCTATGTTGAAGAACATCGGTGAAAACCTATGTTAGGCAATTCTATTAACATTGAATAGATAAATGCAACCAATCAAATTGAATCAATGTTAGGATATTTCAGCCTCTGAATCTTGTGAATCCAGTGATGAAACTCAACAAATCAAAAAGAAATTGAATAAAAAAAAAATGATCACAACAAACCATGGCAATGAGAATAATTTGTCGATTGTAACTACTTCCTTAACAAAGAAGTCCATATTGGCAACGAAATTAAAACCTTTAAAACCCTTGTGTGATTTATCACAATGTAATAATCATAATATATTTCAAGTGAATTAAACTTCAAACAAGAAAAGCGTTCAATAATCTTAATTCAAAACTAGAATTAGATCATTTTCTACTAGAACCCCTGAGTTCAATTTAAAACACTGATTTATATATTATTATAATACTTTATTAAGGATTCATTCGAAAAAAGAAATGAAATTAATGTTATACAATCTTATTGATATTTCTAAAATGTATATTCACTCACTTTTTTGACTTTGTAAAATGATGTTGGGTTATTCCTATACTAAAGACTCAGGAGCATCTTGACTATTCTATTCATCTTAATATAAGGTTGGGAAACATAGTTTAGTGTGTCTTTTACAATAATCATGAGTAAATGGTGATACAGGAAATCCGTACTTATTCATTCGGTCTTCCATTTCGCTCAATCTTTAAGTAAATTACCAAAATTATTCAGTTGATTTTGAATTAGGATTCCACAATCTATCGTATATATTAAAATGATTACGTGTCTCCTAATATTGAAGATCTCAAGAACATTTTCTAAAAATGAGTGTTCTGATTGTTGGTTTCACCCCATAATGGAGCTTCTCCTCCTAAGATATTCCCTTAGAATCCTTCAGGTGGTACTGGAGACCATTTATAGACATCTTTCCATGTTTAATAAGCATCATAGGAATTACCAAAGGCATTTCCAACTCCGACATCCAAATATAAGGGGTGATAGTCGCTCAGAATAAAGTCATTCTTTCTATTCTTGACATCTACTAATTAGGATGTTAATCCCCACCAATGAATAATATCATCATCTTCAGCAGGGAGTTGATCTTGTTTATTATACCAATAAGCAACTCTTTTTGAAGATTTGACAACATTTTTCCAAATGTCTTTTTATCTTTATCTATAATACACTTAAAGATCAAAGTAGGTTGCAATTCCATGTTCATTCATAAATTGTTTTATTGATGGTCGTTAATCAAAACAAGAATTACTAGCTTCATCTCCACCAAAATGAATAAATTGCACTTTGGCAAACATGTCATTAAAGTCTTGCATCACAGATTTTAAGACTTCATAAGTCAACTCCATTGTTGGATCAAATTGTCCATATTGCTTTATGGTGCTGCCACATGTGATTACCATTTCTGCAAGTTCTGGAGATCTTCCCCAAGATTGAGCATGTGCTGGAGAATCTATTTCAGGGATTATCTACACTCCTCTTATGGAGGCATACTCAATAATGTATGAGACATCTGATTTTGTGAAATAGGCAGTATCCCAATGTTTGGACGTGTTTGTTATCTAACTATAATTAGTCAATAAGAGAGGAAAGCTTTCATCATCTGTTATATGCCAATGTAAAACATTCATCTTATTTATTACTAGTGCATCTACGGTTCTTTCTAAAATCTTCAGAGGTAAGAAGTGTCTGGCAGTGTCAACCATAACTCCTCTGTACACATAAGCAGGTTCATCATAGATTTTTAAAGGAAGCTTTGAAATATTCAAGATAGATTACATTTTCTACTTCATTGTTCTCTGTGAGTTGATTGACTGTATCAATTGCTCTTGCCAAAGCCCAGTGATTGGGGGCATTGATATTAACATTCAGCTTCTCGTCTATTTCAACAGTATATGCCTCTTGTTTTGTATCATTAACCCAATATAATTGCTCATCGCTTTGTAGATTGATATTCAATTTCAATGACCCTTCGACTTAAAGATTTTGTTTCTTGATTGACTCATCGAATTAACAATTTGAATTTAATGTCATCAATTCATGATAATGACGTAACAATTACAGAACATGATCAGGAAATTCCTATTGAGATGAAAACCTAATTGCACATCTCTATAAAATTTTCACTGTCTTATCTCCCTTTTCAAATTTCTTTGGCATAGGCATTAAAGTGAAAGCAGCCAAAAAGAGCAATTAAAAGTATAACAATGATGTCAATTTCATTATAATATTAATTACTTAATAATTAATTATCCTTGGAAATATCAATACTTAGCAAGAATACAATCCAAGAACACACTTTAAACAGACTTCATTAAAGGAAAATTTCTGTATATCAATTGAGATTCCTAATTTATTGATTATAAATTTCGATTTTAATTTAAATTTATTGTCATCACATGAACCTCAGCGACAACAATTTAAACGATTATAAATTTCCCGGAAATCATTCGTCTATGTCAAGTAACACATAACCAATAGCTAGATTCAAGTAGAATGTCTGAAATTTGTAATCCATTTCACACTTACTTAATTGCAGGATAAATCATTCCCAAAAATTTATCTCCTTAAGAAATACAGGATATCCCTTTTGAAGAATAGAGCAATGAATACATTAATTCCCCATAAATCGATTCATAAAAACACATCGTACCATCTCTAAATCAGAAAGAGTGTACAGTAAATTCATTTATTAATCATAGCCTACATCCGAATAAATAAGAGGAAAATAAGAATTATTTGAATAATAGAGCAATGATTAAAGACAATTACATTAGTTTATTATTATTAAGACTTTAGTTAATTCATTTGTTGAATAGCTAAAAAAAAAAGCTTATATTTTTCCAAAGTCCTTTAATAAAGATTTTATGTTGATTACCTAGGAACGATACTTGAAAGACGTAAAACTTCAGTCTAAAGATAGAGAAGATAATAGCAGAAGCTTCTTATATAAGCTTCCAATCATACCACCTTAAGGAACATTTGTTTTAGTTTGGGAGTTAGTCTTATTTCTTCAAATCATGTTAATTACCTTTTGGGGACCATTTTTGGTTTCATTCCAGCCAGACACAAGTACTTTCATTGTCGTTTTTGAAAACTTCTTAAGATATATTGGCATAATAGATATCTTAATCAAAACAAATAAAAGTCTCCTCGTTTAAGGATCAATTCTAGAAAACAGAAAGTTAATACTAATATATTACATAAAGACTGATCTAACATTTGATTTAATGTCTATAATAATTCTATTTGTTAATGACTCTAAATACTCAAATAGCATTGAACTAATTTCTCTTATTCTGGCTGGAATCTAAGTTTACATAACTATTAAAAGATTGAGACATTTTCTAGAAAAATTATAAGAAACTTTTGATGAATATTAAAACTTTTTTGAATTGACCAAAGTGTTGTTGATAGTATTTATATTTGCTCATATCACTGCTTGCATTTGGCAAAAAATAGCATTGTTAACTGAAGAAATAGGTTACAATACTTGGATGTCTCTGATGACTATGCATAATGATACTATTTGGATCAGATATAATTATTCATTTTATTGGTCAACTATGACTATGGTGACAGTAGGGTACGGTGACATTACTCCTCAAAACCCTTTTGAGATGCTATTTTGTAACTTAACTATGATCGTTTCAAGTGCAATATTCGGGTATTCTCTCAATTCCATAGGAATGATTCTTTAAAATATTAGCATCAAAGTTTAGAAATATAAGTAAGTTGTAATTTATATATTGATTTTAGAAAATTTTCAGTATAAATGAATAGATATATGAACTAGAATTAAGTCAATTAATAATTGCAGAGCAAAATCAGAAATTATTTAAAATTCTATTTTGAGCAAGATAGTAGCAAAAATGATGATGAAGTATTGTAAGATTTTTATGAAATTAGATTTCTTCAATCATTTAAAAATTGACTCCTAATTTAAGATAAGAATTAATTTATGATATATAGAGTAAACCCTTGTAAAATTGTTATTTTTTTAAATATCATTTATCTTAAGAAATTTAAAAACAGATAGCATTTACTTTATAGTCTCATCATTTGAATCCATAAGAAATAATCTACAATAAAAACTGTATTGAAGATGACTTATCCCTGTATATATTAGTTAAGGGAGAAGTAAGTCTAATTGATTAGTAGAGTGGTTAAACATTGTGTGTATTGCATAAAGGAGACTGCTTTGGTGAATATGAATTTTTTACAGGTGAATAAAGAAAATGCACAGCAAAAAGTATGACATTTAGTCAAATCTATAAAATCTCTCGAAATTAAACATTAGAAATTCTAAATTCAAATTAAGAAGATAAGGAAAAGTTTTTTAGCATCAAAGATCATCTATTATTGAAGATCCCTTGCCAACATTCAGGATTAAAATGTAATTGCTGTCAAAAATCTACACATTTCATAACAGATTGTCCATTTGTGAGATATATTCCAGACTTGGAGAAATTGATAAAGAAGGAAGGCTTTCTATTTTAGCAAAGGAAATATTAGAAAAGAACCAAAAGAAAGAGTGGAAATTCATTAATTAAATTAAAAGTATATTATTGAATTAATTAGAAAACAGGAAAATTGTAACTAGTGTGTCAAATTTATTACCGAATCAAAACTATTTGAAAATGATGAATTATCAGAATTGTTCCATCCTCCCTCTCCAGATTCATCTGAAACAAATCAAGCAGAAGATAAACCTGAAGAGAAGGAAAGCTCATTGGAAAAGGTTTATACAAGAAATAGGTCAAGATTTAAATCGATGTCCTCAGAAAAGCCTTAATCATAATAGCATCAACAATATTAAGAATAGAAAATATCTTTAAAATTTTTGGATAAAACTTATAATAGGGCAATGTCACAAGAAAAATCGAAATAAACAATTCGTAATAGTGAAAAAAATGGTCTCTAAATATCTGTTACTAAAATAATGCCAGAATATGAGAAAAGCTCTTATGAACCTACGATCAGAACAAAGGGCAAAAAAAGCATAGAAAATACAGATATTCATAGTAATTTGTCTGCAATTAACAATGATATCTAAAATTAACAAGGAGAACTAAAAATAAATGATATTGTCCCTTAATTTTAATGTTGCGATATAGACAGGATGGAATCCTTTAAGTATTATTTTAGTCATTAGAATTTTCCCTAAATTATTCAAGATTATTAGAAGTCTTAAAGATATATAAAAATATTATCAAGAAAAAATATTGGAAAATATGCTATTTACTATAAAGCCAAAAAGTTCAAAACTTAATACAAATTAAAAAGATTGAAATAAGTAGCAAGAAGTTCACAAGTAATATAGTTTTAACCCAGAAGAAGCAAATAAGCGAAAACTAGTATCTTCTATTAACCTCCACCTTTATCACATGAAAAATGATGAAAGTGTTCAAATTTGTATTTATAAATAGAATTTTAACTGTGTCAATGCCTAAATTTTTAAAACATGTTTAAATCAGATATATTTATGCTTTTTCGCAATTTCTTTTACTAATTAGTGTCTTTAGTACTAACAAATCGAACCTTAGAGGGAGTTCGTTCATCGTCAGTGTTTTAATGTGTTCTTTATTTTTCAAGGTTGATTTTAGCTTGATGTATAAAGTTCCAGTCATCTTAAGAATCTTCATCATTTAATTCATTTTAATATTTATCTTATGTGTGTTGTCTTTTATTTTCTTTTTTTTTTAGAGCGCTTTTTAAAGGTGGCTCTTTTGTTTAACTATCTCTTATATTGCTACTATATTAACCAATAGAGAATTATAGTTATTTGATGATCTCTGACCTCCTTTGAAGATATTCTAAAATAAATTAGTTTGATATACATTTATCAAGTTCCTCTAATTTTTGGTTAGTATCTGATCTGATGTTTTGTAATTTTTTATTTAAAATCTCCTATTCTTCAAGAATAATTTATTCCTGTTGAATTATTCTCTAAATTTTAACTGTTTCTTCTTCATTTTCTTTTTAAATGCTTAATTATCGAGATCCGTTATTATATTTTCGAGATACATCTTTAACAGAAAAATCAAAGTTGTCTGATAAAAGTGAAAAGCAACTTTTTTATTAGTTTTCGATTGGTGATAGTTAGGATTAGACTGGTGTATTACAACGAAGGACATCCCCTAAAATTGCTGGCGAGGAGCATTTATATTTTTGGAACATGTAGTAATCTATCAATTATTATATAAACTAACAAACCATCATTAATTGCATGTTTTGTGCTATTTATAGGAATTGCCACATTAAAGTCAGTACTCTATATTAGCCTTTTCATTTCGAATTGTGATGATATACTTATATATTGTTATAATTATTACTAAATTATATTATCTATTTTCATTTCATAAAATATTAATTACAAATCACATTTAAATCACCTCCTCAAAAGAATTTCAAGCAGAGCTTTTTTGAGAAGGCTCTTAAGTTTTTTGAAATTGTTTACTAAATCCGCTCATTATAGGTTCATTCAAATGTGATACTCTCTAATTTCTGCTATTATATAAAATTAATAAAGCTTGATCGTGAATATTATTTTAATCTATCTTTTTGACATGATCCTCTAATCTTACAATAATGTTTCTTTTAGACTCTAATTTTTTAGATGAGCATAATCCCATTCTCTATATTAATTTTACAAATAAATAATAATTTATATTAATTATTTTATTAAACGAAAACAAATAGATTCTGACTAATTTTTATTAATATTCTTATACTCCAATACTAAATTATTGTATTTTCATACCTTTTCATAATTAACTAAATATAATTAATACAAATAACCTTTTGGAAATATCCCAAATTAATAGGTTTCATCTCAATGTTGTTCTACAAATTTTCTATTCTCTCTATATTAACCTCTCTTTGTAATTTTAAAAAAAGATTTCTCTATTTTTCGTTTTCTGTGAGTGGCTTTTCTTTACTTATTTTACTATTGTTTAAATTACTTTTAGAGAAGGATAATTCTTAGATTAAATCAATTGTGGGTGTAATTTGTATTTACGATTTAAATATACTTATATTTGCTCATTATTCTAAAATTAAATTTCACAAATACTAAAAGATGTCAATGTAAATTATTAATAGTGAAAGAGGACACATTTCATCACCTATATTGGGGCCCTCATTAGAAATGAATTATCTACAGCTTGAAACTTACTAAAAAGGTTAAGAAATTGATGTGTCTTCACCATCCGAGATATCATAAAATAATACGAATGAGAGTAAAACTTAATAATTTGATTTACTAAAGGCAGGTTTTCTAAATAAAGGATCTAAAAGCTTTAGTCGTAGATTACCAAATCAAACAGTAATTAGTAATCTAGATTATTAGAAAAACCATCAAAAGACTGATAGCATTTCAATAAAGAGATAGGAAAAATCATTATTATTAAAAAACTTTTTTATGAATACTTTAGTTTAAAAGTTTAAGAATAATCTACTCTAATAATCATATGTACTATCATCGAGTATGAAACACCTATTGTAATCTGAGTAGTATTTATTAGAAGATTCATCTAAAAAAAAGAGAAGTAATTTAATCTTATAATTTAAGAAATTAATAGTTAAAGCTCAAATAGGTTACTTTTTCTTCCAGGTGACAAAACTATAATAATTTGGGATAAATTATCTCTTATAATTAACCTATTTAGCTTATGGTTATGTCCTATTTTGTTTGCTTTTAATGAAAACTCAACAATTTTCGAGAGTTTTGAAATAATAATCATATTATTTTTGTGTTTTGATATACCAATTAATCTAAATAGAGCAATAATTGATTAGGGGGAGATAATTGAAGAGAGGGGGACGATATTAAAAACATATATTATCAATCATATCTATAAAAATATAAGTAGTATCATTTTATGGATATTATGCTACTATCACTTTTATTAAATAAACTTTGCCAGAGAGTTCATATTTATATTGTAAATTGCAATCCTAATTATTTAAATATCAAATAATTTTAAAAAATATACTGAATAATTATATCTTAAAGAAATAGCAAGTAATGTCAAAGACATAATTAGTTTAATAATATTAATCTATTATTTTGCTCATTACATGGCATGCATTTGGCACTATATAGGAGTGAATACAGAGTCATTAGGCACAACATGGTTAATTAAACGTAATCTATTAAACGAGGGATTTTATATAAGATACAATTAGTCGTTTTATTGGGCTTCAATGACAATGGTAACAGTGGGATATGGAGACATAGTACCTTAAAATTATGTTGAGATGACTTTTGTAAATATTATGATGCTAATCTCAAGTGTAATGTATGCATATTCTCTTAACTCTATTGGGATTATATTAAAATCATATAATGATTAAAAATAAAAATAAACGTAAATAAATTTAATTTTATTAGAAAATCATTAATTGTAATTAACAATTATATGAGGAAATACTAATTGGATGAAACAATATAATCAAGAGTTAGAAATTATATCAAATATCAAATTGATAAAGAATTTCAAGAAAATAGTGAATATGTATAATAAATAATCAATAATTTACCAAATGGATTAAAATCCGAGTTGAATAGAGATTTGCAAACAAAAATTGTATCTAGTATGAAAATATTAAATCAATAATTTTCAAAGTAATCCCTCAAAAATCTTCAAGATGAATTAAAAATAATCAAAATAACCCCTAATGATTATGTATTTCATAAAGGTGAAACCTAGGATTAAAGCCTGTAATTAAAACTTATTTAATTAGATATTATATTGACGAAGGAGAAATTGATTTGATAGAAGAGAACAGTAAAAAAGTTTTGGCAACCTTTAAAAAAGGGGAAACTTTTGGGGAATACCAATTTTTTACTGGTTTATAGCCTAAATTTTCAGCTTTAAGTGTTGGATTTTCCTCCTTATATTAAATTAAAAGAACAGAATTTATAAATCTAATTAGGTATAATTAGAAGGATTTTGAAAAATTCCATAATATTAAGGATACTATTGTTTTTAATAATTCATTCTCCATCTTATTGAAAAATTGCAAAGTTTGTAAGTAGTTTAACCATCTAACAATCGAGTGTCCAATATTAACATACAAACCTAATTTAGAATAAAGAATCAAAAAATCTTTATTTCATTCATATTAAGAAAGAGACACGAATTTTGAAAGGCTTAATTAAAAACTAAATGTTAGAATCATGCATAAGGACATATAAGGATCCATTAAAGCTTATTAATAATAAAGTTATGCTAACGAATAAATTGATGGATCGTCAATAAAGATCGATACTCCAGATATCTTGTAAATTAGCAAATAAACAACCAAAAAGAAATTTACTGTCCAACCTAAATTCCATAGCAAAGATTCTAATATTAATTAAGACGATGAAATAGTTAATTTATAGGACGTTATCAAGCGAACTGATGCAGAAAGAAGAAAATCCAATGCAAAGACAATATTTTATAAAAAGGTAGAGTATAAAAATAAACCATCAATGGTGCAAGTAAGTTAATAAAAGGAGATATCAGTTAATTGCTCTATTAATGAAATGCCAGGTTAGATGTGCGTTGATTAATAAAGTTTTTTAGACGAATTTTTATTAGAGTTACAATTTCATTAGAATGATATTGATAAACTTTGTTTCTATCAATATTATAAAAAGCATGATAATGCAGACAGCATTATAAGAAATTATGAGAATTTGAGGAAAAAAAGAGGATCTCAATTATTTTCTAAAACAGATGTAAATGCCTACCTTTATACATTTAATTAAAATGTAGTTTATAAAATAATGAAGTTCAGGTTAAATAATAGAAGATGATTGTTTATTATATTATTTAGCGTATTATTAATCATATTACCTTATTTTAATGAATTGTCTACTTGAAAGAACTAGATGTCATTTAATCATAATATACTTTCTTAAACCAAGTTTTCATTCAAAGTTTGATAGACTTTTAATAGACTATCCTATAGAATCTATTTTTTGGACTCTTTTGAAATTGTGTAAATTTAAAAGCTCGCCTTAACCTACAATTAAAGATCATTATATAGATTTATATAAAATAGAATTTTATATATGTAATTTTTAAAGTATTAATTTTGAAAGATAATTTAAGTACTAAATAAGAATTTATTATTAAATTTTAATATCCTTGTATTTATGGTTGCTTATATTCGGTGTTTCTTTTTCTCTCAAGTAAGGGAAACATCAATTCAAGAGATAACCTCAAATTTAATTATTGTTTTCTATATTATTTATTAATTAATGTTAATATTGATAGTATTGGCATTTGCTTATGCTCAAATATAGGATGAAAAATAATTGACAAATGCAGCTTGTGTTATATTTTCTAGATACTACTTGCAAAATAATTAAGAGTTAGCTGGAAAAGCAGTTGGAGAAATGGTTCACTTATAATAATTATCAAAAGAAGAAGCAGTGATGTCTGCTGTTGCTTCCTTGGTTGAATCCTGTTTAGATAGCATCTCTACTTAGGAAACAATGGAGGTAAGGAGAACTATATTCAATAGATTATTCAATAATTGCAATCATAAAAAATTAATTTGGAGGCACATTAACATTTAGTTGAAAAGGCTGATTTAAAGAAGTATGGATCAAAAAAGAAGAGTGCGAAGAAAAATGAGATTCTTAAAGTCATTAAATCGATTGATGATATGGTTAATTAATAGAAGAAGGACAATGATGGAGGTGATGATGGAAATGATCAACAAGATTCAGGTAGAAAGAGACAGCGTAATAAAGGTAAATAATAAGAATTGCCTGAAATCTCTATTTTCGAATTGAAGGAATGGCTAATTCTATCATCATTCATTTTAGTGGGTGTTTTACTTTCCTATATAAGTATATAATTTCTTAGATTTTTAGTTTGCTGTATTCCAGAAAGAGAGAAAAAGGAAAAAAATAGGAAGACCAAAGTGAAATCAAAGGAGCAAGACGATAATAAATTGTCACCTAAAAAAGAGGAAGAAAATTCATAGAAAGAAGAAGAGGAAGAGGAAAGTTCTCCTAAGGAAATAACAGATAATAAGGAAAAAAAGAAAGCAGAATGAGTGTATATTTATATTAAGTAAAACAAAAAATATTAGTTAGTTAACATCACTATTTCTTAGTTAAATCGAATCTAACCTTCTTTTTTATTTGAATTTGCTATTATTACGTATTTGATATATAATGTAATTGATGCTTTAAAATCGTTTTTTTAGTATTCGTATCGTCTGGACGAGATTCTGAGGATGAGCTATCCAGGGATCGAGACGAATGTATAAATATTTGCTCATCATCCACATCCCCAAGTAATTTTTACACAGATTTGCATTCACAATGAATTTTCAACACTTGACATGAATAACAAATTTCCATTTATCCTTATATTTTATCCTTACTAGTATATAACTCTTTTGATATAGTAGGAGTTCCATTTAGTATTTATTAATTATTCTCCTCTGACTTAACCATTTTCAGATCTAATTCACCTCCTCTTTAAAACAACTCTGTACAACAGACAGCACCCATAGGTTATATTATTATATTTATATTTCATAATATTAATTCACTTTTTACTCAAAAGTAATAATTAGATATCTTATATTTTTTTTTGGCATTGATTTATTTTTGTGTTTATAGATAAACTGTACTTACTTCTTTAATGAAGTATTTATTTTTATAATGCTTAAATTTGTCTTTAATTATAATCAAATTTATCGATGTTCTTATGTAATTATTATAAATTCATCTAATTTTAGATTAAGACTTGCTTGATTTCGTTCAATTAAGTCTTGTCTTTATTTACATTAAAATTCTTAAAATATTAAAATAATCATTACAGCAAAAAAGTCTTTGGAAGAAGATTAAATAAATGCTTAATCGCAATCAATGGATTCAGAATGCTCTCTCCTTATTGTTGGTTTGTTTTAAGTTAGATTCGTGCTTTAGGTAATTGTTTTTGCATGTCTGGCTTTGATTTATGTGACTATTCTATTATCCAAAGATTCTTTATGAGAAACTGAAAAAGATATATTTTTATTGGGTGATAGCAATGCTCTCCAGGTTGTCATGTACTTTTTGATGTATATTAATAATTTTATATATTTATTTTATAAAACAAAAACAAATAGTAGTTTTTGTATCTAAACTTGAACATCTACTTAAATAATTAGATCTTAAAATCTAAAACTATATATTTCAACTACGCATCTAAATATTATATGATTTAAATAAATGCTCATTTCTTTAAATGGATTTGAAGCCCAGTTACAATATATGTTATGCAACTAATCAAGGATTTTGTGAAAGGGATGTGTAAGAATTCATTTGGTCCATGTGCATTGGAATTAGGTCCCAAAACTCCAGTTACTATAAATTAAGCCTTTGGATATTATTCTTTAAGTGTATTCATAAGGGGAATCGAACCTCCTTCACCTAAGGTTTATGCATCCTTCTTGTAGAACTTTTAGGAAGCACTTTAGATGAGTTAATCCAGATATGGTTAATTTTAAGGGGCATTAAAACCCGAGCCAGATCCTAATCCAGTGATTTTGACAGTGGCATTATATGGAACATTCGTAGTTAACTATGAAATAGTAAGAAAGTAGAATTACAATTTTGACGAATGCAGCTTCTGCTTCTTTTGGATCCTTGGTTGGTGGTAATCTTAAAGAATACTTCAAAGTAGTTTCAGGTCTGAGTACATTTCCTGCCGTTTTGGCTAGAGGCAATCCTTCAGCTCCTACAACTGAGAGTTATGCTTTCCAGATTCTATTTAAGTATGCTTTGAAATAATCCTAAGTGGTTGGTTAAGTAGTGCCATGAAATGGGAATTTGGTTAAGATGGTCTTACCTAAAACTTCAGCTGCCTTTTAAGCTTGCAAATATCTTTCTCCTGGAATATTGACTTGAAAGTCTTCAATGACTTCTCCAGTATTAGGGTTATCAATTCTATCTAAAAGGAGTCTTTAGATTCTGAATGATGATGGTACGACACCTGATGCATCACCTGAATGCACTCCTTCATCTAGGACTTTAACTGTGACACATGCACCCACCATACCTCTCAAAGTAGTTGTAATCCATAATTATTCATAGTTACCACATCCAGAATCCAAACATACAACCAAATCAACAGCTCCTATTTTTTCTTTTAATTTTGCCAAGTAATGATCAATGTGTAGAGATCCACTTTCTTCATCTGCTTCAAATGTCATAACAATTCTTGGATGTTTCAAACCCAATTCCTAAATTGTTCTCACTGCTATTACTGCTCCAAGGATTGAATAATGATCATCTGCTCCTCCTCTTGCATATAATTTATCATCAACTATTTTTGGTTCATAGGCACTCAATCCCTCCTTCCAACCATTGAATGGTGGCTATTTATCCATATGACCGTAAAATAAGACTGTACCATCAGTTTAACCATCGGATCCATCCACTTCAACAAATAAGAATGGAGAATATCCCTCGTCTTACAAAAGCTCTACTTTGGCATCTAATTACTATTAATATATAGTTAAAACTCTTTAAATTTGCTGCTAAAACATAATCTCTGAATTCTTCTGCTGTTTTTTACAACAATCCATTTGTCAAGTATTCTGGGTCAAACAACCTTGATTGACTAGGAATCTTGAGTATCTCTATGAATTTTGGCAAAGCATCATCAAAATGCTTATTTACCAATGAGTTGATTTATTCAGCAGGAATTCCCTATTATTAATCCATATCTATAATTATTTAATGATTTAATCACGCCTGCAAACTTTGATATTAATTACACTTTTTATTCACTCTTTTCAGAAAGGCGAATCTTTATCTGATAAATTCATAAGCAAATTAGAGAAGATTTGTGAAAATTAACAATGTTTGCATTTACCAAAGGGATTTAACGACAATTGCATTAATTGGTGCGTCTCATCCTTATGTTTCCTGAACACTTATGAAGAAATTCCAGAAGATGGAGAAACAGATCACAAAAAGTATAAGCTTTCATTACATTTTAGAAATATGTATTTTAAAAATTGCGTAAAGAATATCCTCAAAGACTGCCAAACATCCAAAATACCATTTGATAATTGCAGAGATAATTTACATATAGATTTTACAAAATAATTATGAATATACATAGAATCACTAATAAAAGTCATACTCATCTTCAAATTACTTTTCATCCTCCAAACAATCATCAAATCCCCAAATACCAATCCCATTAGCTTTGGCATCTAACTCACTACTTTAGAATTATTTCAATGGATTATAAGGTTTGCTATGATCAATACGCCCTAAACTTAAATCATAAGCACTAATTATTACCCTCTATCTAGTGCAACTTTATTTATAGTAAACTATAATTCATCCAATTGCCCTTAATGTTATAAAGTTACAAAATGCCTATTTGTACTTTTTTCAGTGTAATTAACTTTGCAATCAAACGACTGCTCTAATATTAATTCTCTCAAAATATCAGCAGCTTCCTCTGAAAATTCATGTGTTTGAGGTGGAAATCTTAGATATGCCAAAGAACACATCCTTGTTTATTAAGGGATACTAGTAAATTAAGAGGGAAGCACTCCCATTTCCTGGTATCCAACTTCATCATTATTACCATAATCAATGAATTTAACCAAGAATCTATCATTCTTGAATGCTTAGATGACTTAGGCTCTATAAACTCTGTTGTCTTCTGAAAATCTGGCCAAACAAAGTGTTCCCTTTTTTACTGGCTTTTTTAAAGGCTATAATAGATATAATAAAAGATAACGTTACAATTAACTGTGCATTTTCAATTTAAATTTCTAATTCTTCAAATTCAGGATTGTTTTGTCTTCTGATATAAAATTCATTACAATCATTAACTACAGTAACAATAACCTACTCTATTAACTAATTATCATGTTCCTAAATGTTTTCTGTTGCATTTACTTACTTTTTCAATGACTATTTATTGTGAATGAAATCCAAAATGAATTGAGCGTATGATTCAACCCAAAATCCTTTTTTATCTTCTTCTGCTTATTTTTATGCTTCTTCATATTTATCATAATAATCAGTATTGCTTTTTAAAAATGTTAGTCCTTCTTATAGTAAATTTATAGTAAAATCACTTTCTTTGTTATTTTTCTTGAGATAAATTCTACCATAAAAATAATTTTCTTAAATGTTAAAATGTTCAAAATTCACCCAAACATTTCTTTACATCAATGTATTGTAGGTATAATTGTACCTTTGCTCTTGATATTTGGCTATTGATGGAAAACTCGTTTCAAATTCATGTAGATTAGTGATTCCATTCATTTAAAAGTTGACCATAGAGTGATATTTCATGATTGTCATTTAAAACTATCCGTTAAGGTGAATTTTATCGATCAAAACTTCTAATAAATAATCCTCCTTTATACTAATCCCAGTGCTCACTCCAGATTATTTGGCACTTTACTTGTCTCTTTGAATGTTTGACCAAATTATTTCATTTACACACTTTCCTGATTTAGAATCTGTTTAATCTTCAACCCTCCAAGTCAATTCTTAACTATATTACCCTAGTTTTTTCTATTTGGCAATCTAATTATTTTATAAAAATTATTAATATTTGAATTTGGATAAGCCAGGATGATTCTCCTTTGGTGTAGCCCATCCATTCAAGATAAGTTCTTCCTCTATATCAAGATTGTTTTCGATTAATTGAATAGAATATAAAGGAGTGTTGTCACCAACTTATAAAACATACACTTATTTTCCAATCAATAATTTTCTTGTAAATTCTTTTGCTTCTTAGCCTTCAATAAAGATCCTATCTAACTTGACATTCAACTTTTCTGTGTTAGTTTTTATATAGAATTAATTTGCCTCAATTATTTCAACTACTTATCCTTATAATTAAGAAGTAGCAGAGTTCAGCATACCCCTATCCAATTCTCCAGCTTTCCACATTCCTAAATTTTATCGTTTGGCTTCTTCCTAACACTAATACAATAACTAGAATGAGTTTTGAGATAAGTTTAATTTACTAGATTTATATTACAATAAATACCCCCAATCACTAATACTGGCAAAACCTTTTTGAACTAAAGAGGAATAAAATTCATTGCTTAGTTCTATATTTGGTTAATTTGTGAAATGTAATTCAGCTCTTAAAACAGGAATGTTAGTGACATTTTCATTTTAGAGAACACTCATTATGGATGTACCTTTAAAAGTGAGATTAAACTCTTTGTTTAGCCATTCAGTCTATATCAATTTGGTGTACTCTTGATCTTTGATTCCAAAATCTGAATGTATATAAAATAGATACCGTCAATTGTTATTGCATTTGGTACTACTGAGATGATTGTGTCATTTTAGTAAAGAAAGTTTAAACTGCTTTATTCGAAAGATACCAAAATAGCTTTGACTGTCTTATTCCTCTTTTGTCTGATAAACTCATTAATCACTTAAGATTATTTGGGTGCTTAATTCTTAACACCAATTAGATTTAATTATATCTCTTCATTACCCTCAATATTTTGAATCAGATCAATTCCATTTATTTAAATTTGATTCGATTTTGATATATACAATGCATCCTAGTTGACATATGCTAATTATTCCAAAAACCTTTAGAGTGACTTTTGCTTCACAGTCAAATTATCCTTAGTTAAAAAGTTGGGAATTCCATCTCCTACAATAGCAATCTTTTATTATTGTGTTTAGATCATAAATTGATTTGGCGAGATGATAGATAATATTTTGCAGGGTTATAATGCCATTTAATATTTTAAATATTAATACTAATGAATTGTAAATATTATATAGTAATTTGTATTTGAGAATAAATTTAATATTCAAATGCAAGAAATGCAGTATTTTATTATTTAAAATTAATACCAACATTCTGATAATGTGCGGACGAATATTTCAGATTCATAACATTGCTCAATTATTGCAATTTGCTTAAACCAGAAGAGTTAGAAATGCTGCCAATTTTAACCCAACTTATAACATGGGACCAACGAATTATATCCCAGCTATTCGACATGTAGAAGATGATGACAATTTCTAAGAATATGAAGATCAAAATAATGTGGAATAAGAACATAATTAACCTTCAGACAATGAACAATAGATTGAGGATTAAAGTTAAGAAGTTATCGAGAAGTAAAAGAATAAAAGAGGACTTGATTTTTTTAAATGGGGATTTTAGACAAAGTTCAATCTCATCATCAATGCCAGAATCGAAGAAATGCATGAGAAACATACCTTTAAACCATTCTTAGATAAAAAAAGATGTGTTATAATTGCTGATGGATATTATGAATGGAATAAGAAAAAGGAGCCATTTAAATTCTCTACAAACAAACCCTTATATTTAGCAGCTATGTACACAGATGATGATGAAATCTTCGTTTTAACTAGAGATGCCTTCGGAGAATATGCAAAGGTACACGATAGAATGCCTGTCCTGTTAGAGGATGACGAAATCGATCTCTGGATCAATCCAAAAGTGTAAGCAATTATCATTATTATTGTAGAGGCTTCTTTGACATTATAGACAAGAAAATTTTGAATTCCCAAAAGAAGATCTGGGGATAAGTACAAGTCACCAAAGTTGCTCCATATGTTAATAATATAAAAGAAAAAAGTGAAAAATGTTTAATCACACTCGAGGAGTACAAAGATCAACAATTTAAGAATGGAATTGGCAAATTTTTTTAAAAGAAACAAACCTAGACCACATAAGAAACACAAGAGCCCCAAGATAAAACAAAAGAAAAAATAACTAAATCTTTAGATGATTGATTATATAATAATTAATAATCAACTAAGTTTTGGGAAATTATGGTCATCAACTATAATCCCCTAATTAGCTGCTCTAAATTTAGTAGAGTTTTGTTCTATTTCTTCATAGTACATGTCTTCCTGATCATTTTCATCGACTCCATAGTCTTTCATGTCATCTTGGTATGTTCCCCAATTATTTTTTCCAGCTCCATTCTTTCTCATCTCTTTTCTATCAACATATACATTAATTATCATACCCTCTTCCTGTTCCAGATTCTCTATCCTTTGGATGTGGTTCATTAGAAATTCCTTTTCTTTTTATTTCTAGATAAATCAAGAATAATATACTACCTTCTTTAGTTCTCTAATGAGATTCCTTTTCCACTATATCGACTTCCATTAATAAGGGTTCTGATTTCTTGCCTAATTTAATTAGCAGAGATGAGTACCTTTAGACATTTGCTTTTTGAACTGGTAATTTATTATAAAAAATTATTAAATTAAAGATTCATCATTATAATTTATATATATTGAACTAAACTCTGGATAAATAATTAAGAACTCCGAAATCGTCAGAATTTATTTTCTTTCACTTCATATTAATAATAAAGTGATATATATTTATCATAAATTTATCGCTGTACACAAATATATTAATATATTTAATAATAACAGCTATTTATTATCAAAAATGTCTGATTGAAAATTATTAATTATGGAACAAAATGATTTTGCTAAATTTCCGGAACTCCAAAAAAATGTAGATTTTCTGCAATTTTATTTAAATGTGAAATTCTTTTCTGGAATTAATTTTAACATACATATTAATTATAAAATATAAAATTAATGAGATCAAATTCTCATTAGATAATTGGAGAATTACCTTAAGTCAATGCTGATCCGAATCCTGATATGCAAACAATAGAAATTAAGAAAGAAGAATCAAGTAAGCAAAGTGTTTTTATGCTAGCATATCGTTTTTCAAATACTAACATCTGTAATATCGAACAACTTATTTTACATTCCATTTATGAAGGCAATATAGATTAATTAAAATCGATGAAAATTCATCTTAGAGATTTAAATTATTTAGAAGAATTTAGCGAAGATTTAATAGATAAATAAATATTCCCTTTGGCATTGGCAGTTGCGACAGGTTAGTTAGAAATAGTAAAATTGCTCTTACAAAACGAGGCTATAGAAGTGAATATGGTTAGTAAACCATAAGAATTGTCAGCATTGAAATTAGCCTGTAGCAATGGATATTATGAGATAGCTGAACTTTTAGTTTAATAAGATGCAAATGTAAATCAAGCAGATTCGAAGGGATCTGTGCCTTTATTTTATTGTTTCAGCAGATTGGAGGAGGAAACCAATTATTTTGAGAATAAGCAATTGTGTTTTAAACTGGCCGAATTATTGATTGACAATGGAGCTAATATTGATGCAGTAGTAAATGCTGAAAAAGGATATACTTTATTGATGCTCTTTTGTGCAGTCAAAGATAAATTAAATCCAAGAGATCTAAGAGTTAATTTGGATGTCATACGATTTCTGCTCTCAAGAGGAGCATCCAAAGATAAATTAAGTACTAAAGGCAAGACAGCATTATAATTGTCAAAACATCATTGTGCAAAAGATGAAGTTTAGAAAATGCTTAAAGATATCAAGCCTACTCAATACAAAATATTCTCTCATAGACCATAGATCATTTAACAATAAGTTATTAAATAAGAAGGAGTCAAAGCATCTGGAAACAATAATGGAATGTGTTGTGGTCTATTATCATCTAGTCGAAATAGACCTCAATCAGAAAAATCATGGTGGCAATTTTTTTGAATTAACATTGAATTTTATATATATATATTCGCTTTCAAATATATGCTGACACTTTATATGATAACTTTTCAACTTTCCAATAATAATTTATTAATCTTCTTTTTCATTTGACAATCAACTAAAAGAGTCAAAACTAAACAACTTAAATTTCCCTTATTTACCACGAATTTAACCTATAATACAATTTTATTATGATTCTCCATTTTTATCTAATTTGCAATCAAAATTTATTCCTATCTTAAAAGTTTGACAACAATTAGTATCCGTATTTAGATAATTAAAATTCCATTTATAAATTATTCCTTCTAAATCATCTTTGAAGCATAATATAAAATATTAGATTAACAATTTACTGTAGAATTTATATCAAAATGTCTCAATAACGATGATATAAATTTGAAAAGAATCAGATAGATCAAATTGATTAAATAAATTCTAAAGAATTGAAGGATAGAATGTAACTTATGTACTCTAATTTGTGCCCTACGGTAAATTTTGAGAAAGTTCATCCAAATAATGTAAAATAAATAAATTATTTAGAAATAATATTTTTAGTGAACATGTAATCCAATCAACAATTGAAAAAAAGAATATCCATGTAGGATATAAGAATGTTATCTTGGAGATGCAGGCTATTAAGTAAGTTCACAAAATTAAAATACCATTTTTTTATTTAAGAATATTTTAGTAAAAATAAGAGATTCCATTTATAAAATATTTTAACCTAATACAAATTCTAGAATTTTAATTTTCATTATAGAAGATCTCTTTGAGTTTTAAGACATATGAAAATGGGATGGAAAAATTACTTTATTAGAAATTAGTTGATTAACAATGTCATTTATAATGAAAAATATAAGATTCAAATAGAAGACTTTCAAAAATAATATACCATTCTGATAATATATTTATGAAGAGTTGGGTTTTAAGAGATTAATTGAAATTATAATCAAAGCTGTTATTAAATTACTCATTTTTTCATAAATGAATTTCAATCCCTTAATTACGAATGTGAGTATGCAATCATCAAGAAAATGAATTATTGACTCAAATAAAATTACGATATCACTTGTATTAATGCTTTTAAGTATTTGACTAAAAATTTAATAATATTATTGGAATAATATAATTTGACATTTGATATTTTTCTTCAATATGGGATCTATTTACAAATCCAGAATCAGAAGCATATAGATTAATTAATGAATACTCTGGGTAATCGAAGTTATCATAAATTTAAATTAGTTTTTACAAATTTTACCAAGTGATATAACTGATAACATCTTTGTACAAAACTGGTTATTTAAAAATTTTACTTGAAATACTCTTCTACCTCACTTATTACATTGTAGATATTTGCAAACCACAAGAAGACTCTTTCTGGTAAGTCTGCAATAGAGCAGACTTTTCAGTTGTGATCACATTAATAAACTACTAAAATATATAAAAATTCAATATTATTTTAATAAGGAAATAAACCGAAAATTCTACTTTAAATAGTAAAATGAAATTGATTAAATAATAATTAAAAACTAATGTGGAATCATTCCTTCCCCACTGCTTACATCCAAACCTAACAGCCAATAATTTATCCAATTTATTATGTGCCTGTTGTTTAAGGATACTTCGGATAATAAAACTCTTGCTTCAATAACTTGTATTATCCTCTAGGATAATGCTAATAAGAGAAGAGTATTGTTGCCGATGTGACTATATAACCTACTGAGCACTCCTAAGTTGAACAAAAAGAGAAATAACAAGAAGAAAGTGTTGATTCAATAAAAATGTCAAATAAACTGAAATCAAAAAAATATGTATCAGCTTTAAATTTGTCGCTAAAATCAACTAACATATCGAAAAATTATGCAAAAGCTATAATCTTATTTATGATAAGATAGAGAATTGAAATATTATAATACCTAGGCGAAAAATAAGGAATAGAATTTTTGAAAATCTTAACATCTTTGAAAAATAATATAAAAAATATTAAGCATATCAAGAAATATTTAAAAGATGATACTCAATTGCGTTTATTTAGAATTATAGCAAATAGATTTTTAAGAAAAGAAGCTATTGGATATGTATATAATTCAAATATAAAATCAACAAGTCATCACCTTAAGTAAAGAAACGAAATAAGACTTAATTTATATTAATGCTGAATAAAGAATATTTAAAGCCAATGAATTCTTAATATTCATATATATTTATACAGATTTTAACGCAAAAATAAATCGATCTCTCTCATAATTTTATATTGTTGTATAGTTAATCTTTCTTTATTCTAACTTGATAATTTTAATCAAAATAGATGTTTAAATGTCCTTTTTACATCAAAACCTAAGAAAAAAAGAATTAGCAAATTGCAATTTTATACTTTTCCCATCTTCGTAAATCGATATTCTCTTCATTTTGCTTAATCATTAGCAAATTGTAAGTTTATGGATTATGATCAACTGGCCATTTGTGAGGTTGTCAGAAAGTCAGACAAAAATAATACATCATCATTAGAAATTGAATTGATTTTAAAATTAATTGATGAATTTTTAATAATAAAATCAGAATTTACATAAATTATATTATTTTTATTATTATATGTATTAGTAAAATTTAAATACATTTGATATAGATTAGGGAGATGCTTAAATGGGATATAAATCATTATTAAACGATGAAAATATTAGAATCCAGTTCATACGCAAGGTGACCATTATTATTTAATTTAGGTGTACTTAATTTTAAGCTTTCAATTACTATTTACAACCATTTTTTGTACATTTTCATACTTCTCAACAGGATTCGCTGTTTACTAGTTATAAAATACATGGCTGTTTTATGTTTTGTTAATAGTTGGTTTGATTTGTGAGATTTCTATAATATGTTGTAAGAAGTACTACAATTTTTTTATAATTTTAGTGTTTCTAGAAAAGTTCCAAATAATTACATCATACTAGGAATATTTACATTTTGTGAATCTTGGATAGTGAGTTACAGTTGTTCAATAGCATATTTGATTTATCCAGAAAATGGGGCACAATTGGTCCTTATTGCTGCTGTGCTGACATTAGCAATAACGATATCCTTAACCATATATGCTTTCACAACTAAGTCAGACATTACAATGGCTGGAGGAAGTCTCTTTATATTTTCAGCAGTGTTACTCGTATTGGGATTACTGTGTTTGATATTCAATTCAAAGATTATACATATGATATATATTGGTGGATTGGCCATTTTATATGGATTCTATTTAATTTATGATACACAGTTATTGATGGGAAACAAAGTAACAATATATTATAAATTTTAGGAATATTCTTATTCTATTGATGATTACATAGTTGCTGCATTATAAATATATATTGATATAATAATGTTGTTTTTATAATTGTTGTAGTTATTATTGGAAATATTTGGAAAAAAGGAATGAAATGATTTATTTTATTGTCTTAATGAATATTAATAATACATTATGTGATTCAATAGCAATCACATTTTCCATACTTTGTTAATTTGCACCCTAATTTGCATTACTAGCAACCAATACCATTTGAACAAACAAGACAATCAGTGATTCCGCAAGGAATGCAATACTCTCCTTTTGTTTCAAAATATCCTGGATTGCATTGTTTAGTTATAGCATTAAATTCATAATGTTCTGTTGCAAATTCTAAGCAATCTGATTTCTTTGGACCGTTGCATGACTTGCAATAAGGAGTGCATTAATGAATTAACAAGACAGTATTAGTAATATAAGATTATCTTACTTTTTATGACGATTGGATTTAAATGCTTATATTTTGATCATTATGAGGAATAAAATAATTAAGATATACAAATGGATCAGATTTATTCTAGTTACCTTAATTGTATTAATCCTTATTCCTTGGAGTAACCAAAATTTCCTAATCTTCTAAAGTGATATTTAATTTTGAATTCTCATCAATAAATAAGATCTTTGTTTATATTGATATTCCATAATGTGGTTTCAAATATTCGTATGAGTAAGGTTTGGGCTCAGGAAGACTTATCAAAGGTTCCTCATTATAAAACCAATATCTCTCATTTAAGTATTGATATTTATTATTAAATACGTCAAGTTACAATACTTGAGTATTCTGAATATTAGAATCAAAACATATATCCTCTCCTTGGAGTGATTATAATGGGCATTTTTCAACGCATTCTCCATCCAAAACAACATATGGAGCCTAACATTTAATGCATTTATCATAGAAACCAAATTTAGCTATTTCTGAACAATGTTCAAAATATGGTATCTCGTTTTAAATCATCAAGACATTAATGTTTAAATTTACTAATTTCCAATATGTATTTACTCTATTCTGCTATTCATTTGTCTATTGAGCAGAAAGTTATTCTCGAATTAAACGAACTTATAAGTTGAGTTTACTTTGTTCTAGCTATAATATTTTTGATTTGAAATGATAGATTTAGCAAAATTATTCAGATTCACAATCTCTATAAGATATTTCATGAAAGTTAATAGCATTTTGTTCAGCATCAATATTCAAATAATAAGCGAAAAGTCCATCATTCATTGTAAATTAGAAAATTTATAATTACTATAAAATACTATATAGAATTGTTACATCAAAATTATAAATTTAGACTTCTACGTCTAATTCAAAGGCTTTGTAGCTTTCCAAATCGAATTCCAATTCTAATGGTTCATCTTTTCTATAACTCTTTCTCAGATTTTATTAAGCATTGATGGTCTTGATAATTTCTAATATTAATTTAATTTAAACCTCTGTTTTGGCATATATCATAAAAATCTGGTGAATATCCGTCATAACATTTTTCTACACAAATGCCATCTTAATTAAATCCATTGCAAGTACAGCTTGATGAACCATGAGTTTCAAAACCATCATTACATTGAGTACAAACTGCCTCATTATCTATATGTACACATCTCTTGCAAAATTCAGGACATTGTAATTATAGAATGTGTATTTATTTGATTGCAATTTTTTAATCACTTGCCACTGTAAATTCACCTTTCTTAGACTTACCTCCTATCATCACAATGTGGAGTTCTTGTATTTAATTCCCAAATATTTCTTATGCAAATGTTTGCTCAATATATTCAATGTCTCCCACAAGACAATCATCGATAATTTATCGTTCATACATTTGATCAATTTCTTTTGGATCATAAGTCTTATTCTATATCTAGATTTGCACATCCATATTCTATGGTCTTAAGTAATCAATCACTACTAGGGAATGAGCAAAAGGTTTAAAATTTCTTAAAGAAATAGTTTTCTATAAGTAAGGATTTGATCTAATGATTTAATAATTTGGACGCTGGCAGCCAGTGACTAACCCTATATCTGATTGATATTGATTAAACCCTGAATCCCACCCTTCGTGATGAGTAACTACCCATTGAGTAGATTGAGATGAACAACTTTATATAGTCAGCAAAGCTATGGCCAATCGAAATAGTATCATATAAATTTAATTGATAATGCAACACAACAATTCTCATCACATTCTACTAAGTTCAATTATATTTATAGATGAGATATATTTATCAAAACAAAAAGGGAACAATGACATCATCGGAAAAACTATTTCTTTATAATAATAATCAATAACAAGAAAGTTAATCGCTTAAACTTAATTCAAGAAACTTAGAATTAGAGTTTATTCAATAATAAACGCTAATTATTCCCTTAGAAATCAACTAATGAACTACAACATGGTTTCTTTTGTTAATTATACATGGATAGAAATTAACATTTCATTTTGTTGATCTGATTATGCGTTGTAATTTTAAAGTTAGAAATGTCATTAAACTATGCAATCTATTTAGACTTCCTTAAAATATTGAAGAATGAAATCGATAGTTCAATATTTTTAAAGTCAATATGATGAATTTACTACTTCATAATTTGCAAATAATTTTATTGCTTTAATAAAATAGAATATTGATAATAGTTTATTGCAGAAATAATTTAAAATCAATTTAGTTATAACTTGTTGAAAGCTTGTTACTTTACAAAAAGAATTGTGTTTAAATGAAAAGGAGTAAGATGATAGATTATAACTATATGATAAATTGATTATCTATGTAATACATATATGAATAAAATTAATGATAATATTAATTTATATCTGATAAAAAACCTTTAAAAAGTTTGCCTAATATAATGAAAGCAAATTTTATCAGCATGAGTATCTTTTAAGATTACATAAAATGGTTAATTAATAATAGCTCAAAAATTTTTGATTTAATGTTCCATTTATTTAAGGGAATCTAACAATTAGAACTAAAATATTAAGCCATCCGATTATATCTTGCAAAAATCTTGTTTGGAATATGCGAACACACAAAAAAAGTGAATTTGTCTTTAGAACGCATCATGCAATAAACTATCTTACTTATTCATTATTTATTATAATATATTTTGAGCTGAAAATATTGTAAATTAATTTGATAATATTAATATAAAATTAGATTTGATTACAATAAATAATAATAATGTTAATTAACATACTTACTCATGTATTCCGATTGATTCTTAATAAATCAATAGTTTTTCTGTTTGGCAATAATAATTGATATTGTAATAATTTTAAATAGATGTATTCATATTAAATACACAACTTTTTGATGGAGAGGTAAATTCAGGAAAATGAGAAAATCTCTTGATGATGACAACATTTTCATGAAAATAAATTTTTTTTAAATAAAATTAGGTCATTTAAAACTTATTATCTCAAAAAGGTTATTAAATGTTTACAAAAGTTTATTGATTTAAAATATATTAAATTTGGATTCATTTGAGGAAACATGTAAAGCAATTAAAATATTGTTGACACTTAAATCATAGGTTTATAGAAATCTTCCAAAATAGCAAAATAAAGGTAAAAAGAATAAAGAAAATATTGTGCAATAAAAAAGGAATTTTAAATCATTATTAACATTCCAAAGACCTTAAATGTGAGGGAATACCTAAGAACTGAAATAGATATTATCTTCAGCACTGATTATCAAATCAATTCTAATTTAGGAGAATTGTGCACAAATATTTTTACAGTAGGGTACAAAATATTATAGACTGATTACTTTTCAGATAAGCAAGCATTTACATTGTTCCCAAGAGATTTGTAATGTGTGAACATAGAAGTTATATTTAATTTATTAGAGAAAATGAACTTGCAAAAAAGTAAGGATGACATAAAAAATTTTATGATCGAACACAAAAAAAGAAATATTCAACTCAGTTAATGTACTGATGTATATTATCTCGACATGTACGCTTCCTAATTTCCATATGAATCTTACTTGATAAGATTTGATTCAACAGGATCAAAGGTTTTAAAATACATAAACAATATGAAATATCTTCATTTAATGGGAATAACAAGGGAAATGATGGAATGGAACTTAATTTAAACCCAAATGTTGCCTTGTGCCATAAGAGTCGAATCATATTTGGATGTATGGAGTAAGATGTTTGAAGCAGTTTCTAGAAAATCTAACTTTTTCACAGCTGAGTTATAAAATTATAATGGTTAACGATCATTTGTAAAAATGGAACAAAGATTAATATATATAGTCTAGGAAAACGACAGCAGTTTGTATTGCTATCTCTATTGGATATACCATACGAATCCAAATCCAGCAATAGCAGATGAAAACTATTAGAAGGAATTAGATTCTTAAAATCCTAAACCAAAATAATGTACATATAAATAAATTTGCCATTGATTAACTTAATTTTGTAATAATTTAACATAATAATATCATTCCTATCATTATGGAGCCCCTCCTGCTTATTTTCCTGCTCTCATAATCTATAATTAATTAAAATATATATACTTCATCAACTAATAATAATTATTAAGCCAATGTGGGAGCAATGTTCAACCATGATCTTTTAGAACAATAATTATCAAAAATGCCATTAGCAATTGGAGGAATGAAACCTTGTTCATTAACATTGACACCAACTGGAATATTATTTTTAATGAATTCATCTGTAACTTAAATGAGTGTTTCCTAAACATCATATCCACAATTCTCTGCCAAAGCTTTTGGAATAACTAATAATGATTCAGCAAATGCTTGGACTCCCAATTTAGCTTTTCCAGCAACAGAATCTTTAAACTTTTAAAGATGTACACTGGTGGCAATTTCAAAGGCACCAGCTCCAGGAACAACGCATTTATCTTCAACTGCATTTTTAACAGCTCTTAATCCATCTCTAATAGCATCCTTGATTTAGGCAATAGTGTGTTCATTTGGTCCTCTAATTAAAATGGTGCATGAAGTGGGATTTTGAACTCCTTCAATAAATGTGTATTTCTCTTCTCCTAAGGTATATTCTCTTAACTAATTATAATGTAAAATGATTACCACTTCACAGTATCCGAGATCACTTTCAGTCAAATCTTCAACTGCATTGACTGAATTACCACCACAGGCCTTTGCAATTCTTTCCATATTTCTTTTTTTTGCTCTTCTGATACCAACAATACCTTCTTTGGCAAACATTTCTAAACAGACTGGATCAATTCCTTTCTAATTGATAACTGCAAATCCATAGCCATTCTTCTCGCAAACCTTTCTCTTGAAATCAATAATTTATTGACATTTGTCATCTGTCAATTTTCTTTCGGATCTAGCCAATTTCTCTCTGTCTTCAGCTGTATTATAAAAGAATCCACTGTGAACCTATTTATTTATTTCCATTTTACTTCAGTCTTCTCATATTCTAATGAAACATTCAAATTTAAGATGTAGCATTTCTTTACAAACTTTGGCATATCTGGATGTCTTGCTCCATGATCCAACACTAATCCTCTAATTAATTCTGTTTCTGCTCCCATCTTATGTTACATATGCATGATCTCAACCATAAATAAATCTATTGGCTTCTCAGGTACTTGAACTATTTAAACTGCATCAACGACTATTTCAATAATTCTAAGCAATATTATATTAAATTAAATACTGATTAGCAACATCTGGAGTTAATTTACTAATCAATGAAGTTCTAGCCACATTTATTAATACAGCCTTATCAATTTACTAATACTTGAAAGTGTCCAAAAATGATAAGGCTTCCTTTCTAGCCAATTCGAATCCTTCTGTGATTACTCTGGGATGAATTCCTTCAGCCAATAATCTTTCAGCTTATTTCATTAATGCGCCAATCAAAAGAACATTGCTTGTTGTACCATCTCCAATGATATCATCCTAGGCTGTAGCACTTCTGGCAATCATGGCTGCTGTGGGATGTTGAATTTGCATTTCTGATAACAGAACAGCACCATCCTTTGTAAGTTTTATTTATCCAGCACCTCCCACTAACATTTTTAGAGTTCCTTTTGGTCCTAGATTTGATTTCATCACTTCCATTAAGCCAGCTGCTGCATTTATATTCATTGCCAAGGCCTAATATTTACGAAGAACTTCAGCTTTGGAATTGACAAATTGAACACTACTCATTTTTTTATTTAAAAAAGAAATTTATTTAATTTTTGCATTTTCATAAGATTTTGTAATTAGAAGTCACTTCTCTTAAAAACTAACTCCATTTCCTATTTGTTTCAATGCATCTTAGATTGCTGAAGCCTTGCTAATCAAGGACTTATCAACTGAACTTGTAATTCCCTCATTCAATCCCCAAATATTCTTAAAGAAGTCTTGAGAATTTGCACTATCATCAAAGTCTTTTTATCTGTTTTCTATGTAAGTTTAGATATTTTAGATCTCATCGAAAACAGTATTGTATTCTTCGATCTTTGAATTGTAAAGTTCAATCGTTGTGTCTTTGTCTTGTAGAATAGCTTGTCTTCTGTCTTCATACAATTATTAATTTCTATTGGCTTGACTTATCAATTCTATTCTGTAATCTATGGTGTTCATCCAAAATTGATCTAACAATTGTTCAAGGTCTTTTAACACTTTTCTGTCCTTAAAATCTAGTTGTAAGAGCTCTTGGAGTGAGCCAGCTAAAGTTAAAAGAGGAGAATCTGATTTTGCCAATGAAGTTATTTTTGCATGGAACTCTTCCAAAGAACTCTTGATTTCCACAAATGAGTTTCCGCCTGAACCTCCTTGCAATAACTCTTTAACTGTTTTTCTCATCTTAAGAATATATCAAATTTAATACTGAATCCACAGATTGTAAGGCAATACTAACATCATCCATTTCTTATTTTGCTGATTCTTTCATCTTTGTAAAGTCTGCATCATTAATCTTCAAATCCTATTTTTATTGATCCAAAATCCCTGCTCTATATCTCAAGGCTTCATCCAATTCATTTTTATAAGGAGTCAATTAATCATTGAGTTTCGTTTTGTGTTTTGCCAAATCCACTTTTATTTAGCTAGAAGTTCTATCGTGTAAAATAATTAACTAGGAATATATATTGAATTGCTACTTTTTAAAGTAATGCTGATTTCTATTAATTTGTGTCACTCTCAATTTATCTCACATGTTGAACATCACACAATAAATCTGAAATGGCTTGAGATAAATTGGGCCAGTTAAGTTTTGTTCTATCAGGATCACTCGAGGATAGTTGTGTGAATGCTTCTGCCAAATCTTATTAACCACAAACCACCACTATAAAAACGGTGAATATTATTAATTTTTTCATTAAAATTATATATTCTTAATAGTAAAATTTCTTTTGTTAGAAAGTCTTTCTATTTTAGTAATTAATTTTATTAATATTATTTACATGAGTATTAATTATGCAAGTAAAGTATAATGTATAATAATCAAGAATTTGGAAAGCGAAGTAGAAGGCAATCATTGAATTCTGATCTCATGCAAATGCATAAGTTATCACAAGTAACACCAATTTGTTGATATTAAAAGAATAATAAAACATTCACTGATTCTTTTTCGGTTTCACTTCATTAATCAAAGTCAACCTTTAACAAAAAGAATATTTCAAAATTAGACTTGTAACATAACAATTAACTAAAAAATAGAGACATTCCATATGGAGATCTCAAACACAAAGCTATTAATTCCAAACCAAAAACCGAAGTCACCAGAAAGAAGTTTTCGTTTAATCAAAAAGGCAAAATCAAGAATTTCATAGATGCAATTGATGACTACATAGAACAATTAAATGAGAGTTCAGATAGCTATACATTAACATCAGATTCACAAAGTAAATTAGAAAATATGTTATTCCTTAAATTTAATATTATACAAAAAAAGTAGGAACAATTAAAAATTAAATATAAAAAATTACAATAATCCAACAAGATTGAAAGATATGAGAATCAAACTCTAAAAAATCAATTATTGGGTCTGCATCATCAATTGGAAGAAGAGAAAAGGAAGAATTATCTATAACAATTAGATTTAGAGAAGTAAGAGTAAAAAAATAAGGAATTAAAATTGAGATATCAATATTTATCGAATTCTTACCTTAGAGAAAAATTGAAGTAGGAAAATTAGAAGTTAAAAATATTGTAAAATAGTATCTCAATTTAAGAAAGCAACATTGTACAAATAAATTCTTATAATTAGCTTTAAGATACAAGTTAATCTAGCTAAAAGTTGGATGATAGTACTGTTAGAAAATTTTTAAAATCATAAATAAGAAAGTTAAAATAAAATAATAGATAAATTGATGATTATTCTAATCTTTATAAAAAATATAGTGAACATAACATTGAAAACTTTTGATTAATTAATTTATGATATAAAAAGTTGTATAATTAGTTCAGAGAAGATCAATTCAAAGATTTTCTAGTGTGTTTGTTGCACATAGAAATAGAGATGACAATAGTGATTCAGTACCATTTGATTTTACAGATGAAAATTATAAAAAAATTGAGGCAATTTTGGCAAAGTTTCCTTCCAATGAAAAAAAGTCAGGGACTATTCCATTATTGATGCTAGCTTAAAAATAGAATAATAACTTTTTGAGTTTATCTGCAATGAAAAAGGTTATTTTAATTGTTAAATAGATAGATTGCAAAGATATTAGAAATCCCAGAAATGGATGTCTTTGAAACAGCCTCATTTTACTCAATGTTTAACAGAGAACGAGTTGGCAAATTCCATCTGTAAGTTTGTGGTACAACACCCTGTTAATTATGTGGATCTAGAGATATAATCAAAGCTATTGAATAAAAATTGAATATAAAAAATGGGGAGACTTCAGCAGATGGACTATTTACTTTGCAAGAGGTAGAATGTTTGGGAGCATGTGCAAATGCCCCAATGATGCAAGTGAATAACGAATGGGTTTATGAAGATTTAACACCTGAGAATACAGTATGATAATGATGTTATGATAGTTAAAATTATTAGAAGATCTAAAGAATGGGACAGATAAAAAAGGACCTTAAAATGGCAGAAAGAATGCTGAAGGTCCATAAGGTAGAACTACTTTATAAAATATCGCAAATTAATAAGATATCAAATATGAGAGAAATTTCGAGGCAGCCAAAAAGGAATGGTTAGATCAAAAGGAGAAAGAGAGACTTGAAGCTGAAAAGAAGAAGCAAGCAGCATAGCAAGCTAAAAAATGAAACCATTTTTAATATTAAATATAATAATAATAATAATAATAATAAAATCTGTGTATTTATTTACATAATAATTTTATCATGTTAATTTTTGATTTTTGCATCTATCCTAGTAAACTTGTTAATGGTTAGGAAATGGTTTGATTGTTGGTATCATGGGGATGGGTAATCTCTGTCCTTGTTCTTACTCCATTAATTATTTCATTTTTTCAATATCTTCAGGAGGATATTTAGATGTGGTTGGAAATTGAACTTAGGGAATCTCAAAGGATTCTTTGATTTTACTTTTGATTTCTTAATGTTGCTCTCTCTCATCTAAAGTTAAATCAGGCAATGACATTATTTCGATGATTTTCAATGTGGCTTATTCGATTTCTTTTTAAAATATCAATAATTTTGCTTCTTCAAGCATGTCTTGAATATCATTGTTGTTTTTGTGTATCAACTCCATTTTCCTTATTTAATCAAATATAGTTTTGGCACGCTCCAACAAATTCTTTTGAAATTAAGCATTATAGTTGAGTAATTACAATCTATAAACAGGATCTTATAATTTAAGGATGTTCTGAATAGATTGACATGCTTGACTGTTGGGATCTCTGAGCTCATCTTCAACGTGAGCATAATTGCAATCGATAATATTTCTACATTTTCCTTGAAGGTAGAAATTACAAATTTTAGTTTTCCAAAAAGGATTTAAGAGTTATCCCTATATTGAGTTTTATTGGATCACAGCCATATTCGTCTATCCTTCATTGTTAATGGAAAAGGCGCTGGAGTTATTAGTATGAGGATGAGTCAAATATTCCTGTGGTATATGACGCAATTCAGTTTCTCCATGTGCATAATTGCATTTTTCCTATTTAGCACAATGTCCTTCTAAACAAAATGTAATAAATTATATTACTTGTTGACCAATGAGTACAAAGTTTAGATTTGTAAAATATACTTGTTTCTTTATTTTATTCTTAAGTAAAATTCATTTAATATAATATAAAAAAATTAAAAAACGGCATGAAGACCCTCCTCTTATTGCTAGTTATTGGTGTAATGTGTCAAAATGAAGTTGACACTGTAGAGAAGTTATTGGCTGACTTAAAAGGGGCATCAGCTGTTGAACTTACAGCCCTTAATACAGATTATACAGTCTCTAAAAATGTACGATTCTAATAAGCATTTTAGCTCAAAGAGAATATAATATTCAATTTAGGCAAGGCCTACTAAGAATAAAACTTTTTATGCGCAAGTAGAGATAAGTCTGTCTCTGATAGGGAATCCGATATTGATAAAACAAATAAATACATTGCATATTTATAAAAGAGACTTGTTGATAATTCAAATAGAATTCAGACTCTAGATGCCAATAGGTACAATATCCCATTAAAAGTAGATGCACTCATTCCTCAAACTATATTGAAAGAGTTAAAAATGATAATATGACTTTAAGATTGGTAATATTTTTGAGAAACTCTCTTTAAAACTTAGATAATAATCAATTAAATAGATACGGTTCTTACGTTGAAAAATTTTTGACTATGTACAAATCAGCCAAAATGTCAGAACTCGTTGAATTAGCACATGAATTTGCTGACACAATGTTTATTGATTGGAATCAAGTTACACCCTCTTCATAAGGAAATCTCAATACAGTCAAAGGATAATTAATTGAAATGCTTAATGATATGGAGAGATATATCAAAGAACAAATAAAAAATGCATAAAATCTTGAAATTGCCACTGGAGTCACTCTGGCTGATTTCAAAGGAGCTATAGATATAGAAAATGAATAAATCAATTATGATCTTTCATCTGAATAAAAGAATCTCATAAAATTAGAAGAACAATTAGTCTAAGCAAGATTAGCAGCTGTCAGTTGCAGAGAAAAAGGAGTTGCCTTACAATAATAACAACAAAGAGCTATTGAAGTACACTAACAGTAAAATATTGATAGGACTTAAAAAATGAAGAAATTCAATATAATAAAAATAAAGCAAGATTACAAGAAGAACTTAATTTATTTACTGATGTTTATAGAATTTATTCTACTTAAGTAGGAACTTCTGAGGACAAATTCAAATAGCGAGTGGATGACTACGTTAATGATAGGGTATTTATTGATATTCTATAACAATACTAGAAAGTTGACTCGTATGAGAGATCCGAATATTCTTTAAGTGATGCAGTTAGAAAATAGGTTTAGAATGAATGAAATATCAATCCAATTTAATAATATAGAGATCATTTACGCTCTCTAATAATTATTTTATTATATAAATAATGAGCTTAATCCGTTTTAATATATTGGCATTGACAATCGGAGTTTGCTTATCAGCCATGACTCCATAAGCCTCATTATTGATGAAATCGTTTCATTAAGTATAATCAACCATTAAATACCCTAGTTTGGCCAAAGCCCATATAGCGATTAATTGAAGGAATTAGTATAAATTAAATTAGAAACAGGAGGATAAGTAGATGAAGTCTTAAAACTTATTTAAGAATTATTGGATTCATTAAAATAAGATTAAGTTGACGATGATGTTGCTCATTCAAGATAGATGGCAGTTTTTGATTAGAATATTAGTGAATTAGAAGATGATCTCTCAAAATTAAACACAGATTTAGCTAATGCAAATGTATTGATCTAGACTTTAGCTGAATTGTTGGTCATCCTTAGAGAAACCATAATAACCTATGAAAAACAATTAGCAATTCTTAATGAATAAGAACAATTCATCAGAAATGTCAGAGCTGCTGATGTCAAAGCTTATAACAGAAGAGTTGAATAGGCAAATAAAGTTATTAATGCATTAACCCTAATCATTGAGAAATTGAGTAGAGCAGTTGATCAATAGACTTCAGAATAAGATAGATAAGCTATTTTGACTTAAATTCATGCTGAATGTCACGAATAATTCGGTCCTAATCACCCTATCACAATTCTTATAAAATTAACTACTAGATTTGATGTCCCCGTTGTTTAAAGAATATTAGAGAAACTAGAATAAATTAGAGATGGTGCTAACAAAAGTTTGAGTGAAGACATTGCAGCTGAAGAAGTAGCTTCAAAAAATTTTGATACTTCTATGAATGAAATTGAAACCTTAAGAAAAAGATTGTCAACTGATCTAGAAAACTTAAATTAATAATTTAATGACAAATTCAATCAATAGGTAAAAAAATTAAGTAACTTTATGTTAGAAAATTGTTTTGGCTTAAAAAGAGCAATTGCTAATTGATATTCCAATCACAGAGGAACTTTTACAATTAACTAAAGAATAATAAGAACAATATCACCAAGCTTATTTAAGCAGATAAACTTAAAGGTATTTATTATTGTCCTCTTAGATAATCTGAAATTGAAGTTGTACAAAAGGCTTACAATTTAGTGTTTGATCATGTAGATTCTGCAAGAAAATCAGAGGATTTAACAGCTAAACTTAACAGTTGAGTAAAATGAAAGTAATAATAATAATAAGAAAATTTTATATAAATAATTATAATTATAAATTCATTTTTTAGTTTATCTACTAATTTTGCAAAATTATTATTAATATTATTATGAAGTTCTTGAAGTATTATTATTATTTAGGAATTGTTCATTCCTTGTAGATGTTTTAGGATTTCTAGCCATCATATCATATTTTCTTATATATATATATTTTTCCAATAACAAAATTTCTTTATCCGTCAAGTTTTTTAAGAAGTGTTCAATTCCTGCTTTCCTTAAGAAATCCTCGTTTTCACTCTCATCATCTGATTGGAATGTTAAGAAATCTCCTTTTCTATATCCTTCGAATTCAGTTCTAATTATTAAATATAGTATTTTACTCAGAATCATAAGGTATAATTCGTTAAGGTAGGATGGGTTCTGGTATTTTCATTGTCTGTTGTAGTTCAATGGCAGTGGTTTTGTATTCGTCCATCACTGATTATGCTCTGTTGGATTTATTAATCATATTTAATTTTGAATTGATCTCCTAATTGGTAGTAAAAATTCTTTTCTTGAGTTCAAAACTACCATTTAAACTCGAGGATTATTTTTCTTAGCAATTAGTATAATTTGATTTATGATGCTTTTATGGCTGTTACGTATTTTATTTTGTTTGTGAGTGGAACTTCATTTGATTCACAATATTACCCGCTCTGTTAGAATCTGCCATAATTGTTTTCTATAACTCAAATAATTGTTATTATTATTGAGGCTTGACATACGGCGAATCATTATAACGATGAGTCGTTTATAAACTCTAAGGTTACTAAAATTAAAATCGCGTTTGAGTTGGTTTCATTTTGTTCTTGACTTATTATTTGCTTGACACTTTGCCTTTTTGTATAGTGGATTAGTTGGATTTTTCACAAGAATGCGATTGCTATTTAACGGAGGACTTCAATTCTATATACTCCCTAAGTTAACATATAGGATACTTTTATTAACTATACGGTCTAGTAATCCTTTACCCTGTGCTGCTTTTAACTTCTGTTGGGTAGCCTTTGTACATTAATTTTATTATATAAAATATTTATTATATTAAATTAATACAATATTTTTATATACGTTGGGTCCTGCTTCGAAATAAAAGGAATAGATCACTTAATTAAAATTTACATTCAAAATATTCAAATAATTCATATATATAATAATAATTAAATATTTAATTCATTTATTAATTCGAAGATTCTCAATTTAGTTTAGATCTGTTGTTTAATCGACTTAACCACTTAAGTAGGAATAAACTATACTTGTTATTATAAATATAGTAATAAAGACTTTATAAACATCAATTATTAAAATACATTTCATACAACAATAATTACTCTTTAATTTTTCTATTCCATTTCATTTACATTCTCCAATTACAATAATGACTTGTTTCTTCATCGTAATCCTTTTCTATTCTCAAAAACGTCCTAAAATTAGCTTGAAATAACTATTTGATTTCTTGCATCTGGTTTTCTGAATTTTTTAATTCCATCTATTCTGCTTTTCTTTTAAATTCTAGAGCACACAAGCACCCAATTAAATAGTGCCCAGTTTCGTGTTCTAATAGATCATCATACTAATTAGATTTCGTCCATGACTTTGCCAAAAGTTTACAGCACACAGGGATATTTAATTATTATCTTGGAGATTATTGTTTCATAAGGGTGCTATTTGAATTGCTTCTAGATGATTTTTTTGGCGTTTAGTTTTTCTATTGAGATTGTCTTTACACTCCTTAAAGACTTGCTATTCTAAGAGCTGGAGTGGGTGCTTAATTCTGTAGTCTACTATTAATTCTATTTTAAATATTATTTTGCTATAAAGGTATTTTTGGAGGCAACTTTGGTGATTATTATTTTACATTAACCTTTTCTTAAGATTATTAGGTGATTTAAGTTTAATTTTTAGGTGATTATTTAATTTTTTCAGATTATTAATTGATATTTGCATTACTATTTTTTTGGTTAGTAACTGTTGGTGGTTATTTCTAATTTGAAGAAGCTCTACTTATTTCCATCTTTGGTATATCATAATGAATACTCCAATAACTATGAGCAATCCAAGGAGATTCTTTATTTGGTTCACCTGTGAAATCATCCCATTCAAGTCTCTTAATTTCAAAGTTTTAAATTTTAACAGGTAATATATCTCTCACGTATGAATCATAATTAGGGTCTAACAGATGATTGACATCATATTTTGGTTTTTTTATGTCTTCTATAGTAATAAAGCCAGTAAAAGAAGCTTGTGACATTTATTTATTAATATAATTAATTCATTAAATATAAATTAATCTTAATTTATGTAAAGAATAATTTTGCCATCTGAGGAATTCGATCAACTCATCTAAGAATATCTGGTATCTAATTTTGCATAGATAATGCATTTTATATAAATAAACATTTAAAATAAGTATTATTCGGATATATCTATTAACATTTCAAATTTTTATCTATTTCAAACAAAAGGTTTAAATCCTTCGTAAAACTAGTCTTGTGGTGTAATTGAATTTTATGATCCCTAAAGATTGAAATAATCCAATAGCTTGGCTTAATATTTCTTGGGATTAGTTCTTTGCTTATATTTTTGGATATTTAATTGTATGTTTTAAGATGGGATAAGTCATTGAATCAACTTAGATTAGTTTTACAATCATTATCAATAAATTAAAAATACAATTTAGTTATTGATATTTAAATGAAAAACTTATTTGTATAAATTGGCTGCTCCTACTTTGGAACTGTTTTACTTTATAACACTTAAAAATAAATTATTCTACTTTTTCTTGCATAATTTAATCTTGTTTATATAAGCTAATTTCTTAGATTTTTATGATTTTCCATATTTCCTAAAAGGAGATCACTTATAACGTATATTGTGACAGCCAAATTATTACAATTTATATATATTCATCAATTTCTTAACACTCTTCAATTAAAGAAGCATGAATTATTTCTTCCTTATATTTGTGAAATCAATGTTCTCATGAATAATAATAATTTTTTCATTATTGATTTAAAATGAATTAAAACGAAAACAAATTGAAGAAAATGTTACTAATGGGTTAACATAAGGTTGGTAAAACTTCAATGCATTCAATTATTTTTGCAAATACTCCTCCAAATTAAGTTATGTAGATTGGATTGACTGTAGATGTAAATCAAAATTCATTCAAATTTATGGGAAATCTTAAGATAAATTTATGGGATTGTGGAGGACAAGTAATAATTTTCAGAGTATTTTGAGGATAAACTTTTATAAGAGTATTTTACAACTTAAAAATCTACAATATTCTCCAATGTCGAAGTTTTGATATATGTGTTTGATGTTGATAAAGAAGGAGATCTATTCATAAAGGAATTGAATGATTTTAAAACCACAGTAACAAGTTTATCAGAATGTTCTCCTGGGGCTATTGTATTTGTTTTAATCCATAAATTCGATAAAATTAAGGAATCAGAAAGAAAAATCGTGTTTGAAGTATAATCAAGATTGATATTCATAGCGAAAATACAAAGAGATTATTCAAAGAGCTGATGGCTTAAATATTGAAATTAAAGATGTGTTTTCTACTTCAATTTGGGATGAAACTCTATATAAAGCTTGGTCTTAGATTGTTCAGAATTTAATACCTAATATCAATATTATAAAGGAGAGTTTAAAAGCATTTTGCCAAACTTGTAGTTGTGAAGAAGTGGTTTTATTTGAAAAATCAACTTTCTTGATTATTGATTTTTAGGAAACAAATGAGAAAAAAGGTAATTATCAGAATTAATAGTATAGACATCTAAAAATATGAGAGATTATCTAATATAATAAAGCAATTTAAGTTAACTTGTATGAAAACATAAGCAAGTATTCAAGCAATTACAGTAAAATCAGAGAAGTTTACTGTCTACATAGATGAATTCACAGAGAATACATTTATAATGTTGGCTTATACTGATCCATCAATTTATCCAGCTGCAATTTCACACAATGTTCATCATGTAAATTTTAAATTCATTATAGGCTTAAAAATTATTCGAAAGTATTCAAGGATCAGATACCGACAAATTGAAATATTTAACTTAAAGAAAATCATGAATTATTCATTAGTAAAAGTCATAAATAAATTATTTATTATTATATAATTACCCTTAAATAGTTAATTTATATTTGATATTCTGAAACATAATTAATGATACTTCATATAATTGGATACGTAATTTTTTTTATTTTATCTATGCATTTAGCATCTCCATTTTTTTATACTTAAAAGTAACCACTCATTCCCCATTTAGATCCCCAAGAATTTTTTGCAAACCATGTTTAAGTATCATAAGCTATAAATGAAACAACATGTTAGTAATTAGAAACTTTTGGATATCCACAAGTATTGATTATTCCAGATGTGTATCTGAGCCAGGATTCATCTGCATACATAAGAGCGGTAACTGGACCAGTTTACATTGCAGTTTCAATGTCATTATTTGTGAATTTAGTTAATCCTACAACAGATTTAAATTGTTTATATCCAATTGATCCTTTTGGTTTTGAACATTAGCCTTCTTTCTGATCGTATTCTCGATAGTCTTTTTCATAAACAGTTCCATATTTATTGATAAAATCAAAGGCATCACTTACTGAACCTCCATCACATCCTGCTGTATTTCCATCAGCACAATCAATTAAATGTGTCTTGGATAATTAATCAAGTTTGTTTTTATTAGCTATAGCCAATCTACTGATGACGACATCCTAAACTGCAAATGCCCAACAACTACCACATCTTCCCTATTATTATACTTCTGTAACCTAATGATTATTTTAATGGAAATTACTTATTTTAACCAATCTAAACTTGGAGGATTCTTTGGTGTTGCTTTCTCTGCTTTAGTGGTTGCAGATGTCTTTTTCACTACCTTTACAACCTTTTTAACTGTTTTATCTGCTTATAAAAATGAATTATGAGATAGTGCATCTCTTTTAATTATGTTGATATCATCTTCATTAAAAGTCTCATAATGATCATCAAAATCTTTCTTCATAAATAATTTATCCATCAACTCTTCAGATGTCTCATCTGAGAAGATATTTAATCCCCAAACATCTTTTGGTAATTACTCATTATGATGCTAAAAATTACAATTAACCAATTAAATACCTTCATAGTTCTATAGTTCTTCACAAAAACTTCCATTCTATAAATCATTTCGAATTCATTGTTATATGATTTTTGATTTTCTTACACCCAATTTTTGAACTGTTATTATTCTTATTCTCTCCATCCATAAATTGATCCATTTTCATGTAAGGCATCACCTATACTACTACTTGAGAAGGTTGCACATAAAACATAAGATAACAAATTCAAGATCTAAAAAATTTTCATTTAATAAATTATTTAATAAGCAACTACTACTTCTAATTAACTTTTAAATATGACTTAAATTTCTAATATTACAATTAGAGGAATTACTAGTCTCTATGTCAAAATTGTATTCATATTAAGCCATTTAAAAAATTATTGATATCAAAGATCCTGCTATGGATAAAATATATTATAGGTTTGCTAGATTTCATAAGCTTAAAAATTTAACTTATCAGTTTTTACTTCTCATCTATGTTTTTTATTGAATATAACATATTTTCCGAAACCTTGTAAATTCCTAAGGATAATCTCTTAATGTAGGTGGTAATTACTTTTGAATCCCATATAGTAATAAATAATAAAAAATTATATAAGGATACTAAAATCTAATAATTTTTATTTGAAGAAGTAAAGAATTCTGTGGAATTCTAAAAAGCCTATTCTAATTATACATATTTCAATAAAAATTAACTTTAGCTTTTGATAAAAATTATATTCTATAAAATTTATTTTAGTGAATGTTTCAACTTTGTGACAAATAATTTAGTCATTTTTAGATTAACAATATATTTTTACTATATTACAAGTGAGTCCAGCAAATAAGAAATTCACTATTTAATAGTCAGATAGGAAACAATTATATTTTATATATTTAGCAAATTTAGATATTCATTGAGTTTTACTTTTATTTAGTTAATTTTAATTAAAATTTAACCAAATGAATAGCTTGCTGTACTAGAAAAGAGAATGCTTTTCACTAAGAATAAGAAGAAATGAAATAGAAAAAATATTTAAAGAAAAAAGAATACCTTAATTATCAAAAGAAATGATGCTTGATTTAATAAATAATAAGGATTAAGAATCAATCAATAGACTTACAGATGCAACTGCGGGATCAAAAGAACAAACATTAGATCTGATTCAAATTGGAGGAATATAGTTTTTTTATGAATTATTGTAATCAAAAGAAAAAACTAATGCATTCATTGGATTGGGTAATTTATGCAGTGAGAAATCAGTTCAAGACGAAGTATTAGAATTGAAGATTATTGAATACATGATTGAAGAAGTTCATAGATATAAGAATCTTGAAGATCTATCTCTCAGATTATGGTTTTTAAGCGTGCTAGCCAAATTTAAAAGAGATTCTCAAAATGGAGAAACTGAAATAATTTAAAGAGAACAACTTTTTAATATCTTTTGGATGTACTAGAAGAAATATCCTGATGTACTAAAAATCTAATAGGAATGTTTTCATGGATTCTATACTCTAACAAAAGTGACATTTATCTAAAATGAATTAATGGAATTATGTTGTAATAATTTGAATAAAGGTATTGATAATATCATATTAAAAATTATGTACTATCTAATCAACGACTATGTGAAATTTGTACAGATTCTGCACAAAAGTCAATTTATTGAGTTCTGTGCAAAATATTTACAAATAACTTGTAGATAGAAATATACCTTAAGAATACTATATTATTATGCTTAATATTATGTAGAGACAATAATTTAAAATAAAGAGATAGTGAATCAAATAATAATTATTTAGAACTCCTAAAAACATTAAAAATAAATCATACTTTTACATTATGCAATGCTTTTCAAATGCTAAAGTTCACAATTCATGGAAATAATAAAGGAGTTTGAAATCATTAATAATTTAAAAGTACTTTTAGAAAACTTTTAATATGAATAACAAACTCTATGTTTATTAGCATTATTGAAATAAACGAACAAAGATATCATTAAGGAGTTAATCCCAGATTTGGAAAGAGTTTACTAGAATAAAAAAGACAATGAGAAGACTCTTAAGAAACTTTAATTGATCTTAGATTGATTATTAATGTTACTGCTTAAAATAGTTGACTTATATTGAGTATGATATTGCTGCATGAGGTATATAATATATCATTGTTTTTGCAATTACTCATAATCTAGATCAAAACTGATGGGTTTAGCTTCTGGATTATATTCATGCTACTCAATTTCTTCTTTTTCATTCTAATTAGATATTATAATATAAATCTTACATCTATTTTAACATCTTATTAGTTTTCTTTTTTACTTATTTCCCTATTCTACTTCATTCTTTATTTATTCTCTTTTCTTCTTTGCTAATATTGAGCACTTAATATTTTGGTCCAATATTCTTCAGCTCCTTTTCTTATTCTCTTTTCAATTTCTACTCTTGGTACTCCTTGCATTCCAAATATTTTATTTTTAATATCACTCCTATCACCAGTGGCATTGGGAATTCTAAAATAAGAATAATCCTTTAAACTTGGTCAAAACTTCATGATGAGCAGATTCAACATGATTTTTTAATGAATCGCATGATGAAAACTTCTTGAAGCATCTCTAGCATGTGAAATGCTTAGCTTTTTAATGCTAATGCAAGTACACTTCATTTTTAAATGTTTTATCACAGTAAAAACAAAAGGGTTTCAAATAAGATAAGTCTCTATTTTTTCTTCCCATAAATATCTATAAGTATATTTATATTAAAATTAATTTTATTATTATTCATTTAAGTTTAGGCAATTATTCAAATGGAGATACACTTTATTTCGACATATTCAAGACTTTTCTTTTACTAACAAATCCAAATCCAATTCTTGCTAAAAATCTTTTAATGTGTATGCATTCATCACCACATCTTTTATGCACCTAATATATAATTATGTATTATTACCCTCATGTAATTTTCATAATACTTTTTGAAATCAAAATAAGTGATTGTTTGAACACTCTTATTACAATAATGTGAGATAATCAAGAAAATTTTATCTTTCCATTCATTTTTTTCTTTTTAAGCCAATTAAGTAAATACTTTTTTAATTGATTCTTCTTTCAAATGATCTTATATTATTTCCAATGGTCTTCCCATATTTTATCTAAGTATTTCTAAATCGAACTCTTCATCATTTTGAGGTTCATCACCAAAAACAGAAAAAAATAATTGTTGTTCCTTTTATTCTCTTTACTTTTGTTCTGGAGATTTTGCAACTTAAGTTTTAGATTTCAACATATCCTCTAACAGTTTCTAGCTTGAAGAAGAAGTTCGATGCTTATTTTTATTAATTTATTCAGATGGAGATACAGCGCCATATGTAATGATGTGAACATTATCACCAGTGTTTATTAGTTGACTAACACTTCTCATTCCTTAGCTTGAATTGTGATTTATAGGACTATTTGTTTTGTAATCATTTCCAATTCCATTAGAACTAAAAGGTTAATTTATTGATCCATAATAATTATTTTAATTTTGATTTCCTGAAAATATAATCTAACTTTATTATCTACTGACACCTGGTGAATATAATGAAGTTGGTTATGTATTTTAATTCTTATATTAATCATCATCTCCTAATTGATTCTTTGAATAGACGTAATTGTCCATTAAATCATTATTCGTGAGTATATTTTATTAACTACCAGTTCTAAGTTTAATCGAATTTCTTATGCCTGTATTTTTATCTAAATTTCTATAGCTATCTCTTCTATAATCTCCTAATGTATCGATTTAGTTTGATGAATTACGAGATAATTATTTTTACGTTGAATTCTTATCATAGAAATGAATAAATTATTATTCATTTAAGAAAACAGTTTCCAATTTCTTTAATTATTCTTCTGAGAGTCCAAGATCACCAGCCATCTACTAAAAAAGATTCCATAAAACAAAATCATCTGTTTAAGTAGTTTTCTATGACATTTACTCTGCTTTGGCTCTATAAATCTAGGAATCACTAAGTTTTTTCGTTTATTCTTCTATTTTTTCTTTTTCTTTTAATTATTATTGAGGATATTAAATAATAGTTTCAATATGTTATTATTGCTATTAAGGAGGAATCTTTGCCTCTTATTTCAATGATACTTATATTCCAATATCTTTAGTTCTATTTTATTTGTAAAACTCACCTTAAATATCACTTTAATCCATAATAGATGGTTTTTTATGTTGTTTTTCTCCTTTTTGATTATTTAATTCCTTAGAAGAGAAATTTGAAAAGGATTACTTATTGCTCTTGGTTTCTAATTACGTAAGGGTTGGTCTGCTGTTTTAGATTCCAAATTGTCCAGATGAGGAATTTTAATCCTTTTTATTTCTATCATTGTTGACAGCACTGTTATTTCTATTGGTTTTTAAATATCCCTACTTCTATTTAAATGTGACATTCGATCTATTTGTTGATTTAGGACTACTAACTTATTCAATTAATTTATGAACACTTGTTTTCTTAGTTATATCATCAATCTGATTTAATTGTAATTATTTTTTCTATATTTTAGTCGATTCATCTTCTGTTTCTGATTAGACCTATTTTCTTTAAGTAGCAATTTTATCAAGATCTATTTATTCTTGTATTGAGGCTTCAAATGGTTTTTCAATATGACCTACTCTTTTCTTTTTATTTTTCCCTCTCTTCTTTGTTATAGATTATTATTCATAACTGTCATCTTCATCTCCAGATAATTCATCAAGTTTTTCTAACGGAGATTCACAATTAAATTTCAATTTAGATCTAACAATACGATACAACTCATTTGGTGCCAATCTTGCAATATCCTCAGCTGAATTATCCTTTATATATTATAGTAAAGTATTAAGTGATATTATTTTATTGTCTGGTGATAAATCACTTTAAAGCAATAATAATAAGACTTCTTCGATTTATTTTGGCCCAGTCAAACTTTAGATCTTATCTTCCAGAGCCTTCTCATGTAATAATTTTAATTCTTCCTTCATTTCATCATTTTCATCTATCATTTCTGATAATCTTAATTCAAACAATTCAACTCTTGGATCCACCATAGAAACCTAAACTTCAACATCTGACTTCTTTCCATTTTTAGATACTATTGTATTGCATACTTCTATCTTTTAAGTTACTTTATAATTATCAATCTGTTTTAACAAACTTGTAAATTTCTTCTCCTATTCTTCAAATTTTTAGAATAATTAATTCATTTTGGCTTCCTTTTCAACTATCTATTCATTCTTATCTTTTATTAATTTCTCTAATTCTTCAATTCTTTAAAAGTTTTAAGTCTTGCTCTTTTTTACTAAAATACCTGCTGTTCTCTTTATCACAAATGCATCATATTCAAGTCTAATCTTTCTCTCCGCTGCTCTCATTATTCTATCAGCTGTCTTCCTTTAAACCAACAATATCTTATCTTTAACTTCTTTTTTTATATCAAATTCTTCCTCATCCTTAATCTCATTCGCTTACTTAATTTAATCTGTTATGTATAAATCATTCTTAAAAGTCTCCCTCTCCATATGTTTATTCAGATCATTCAATTTCTAAGTAGCATGACTACTACTGATTTCTGACCACATACCCTTTAACTTTAATTGCTTTCTTAAGTCTATTAAATTAGCTTCGTTTTCCTCTTGAATTCTTAATAATTCCTTTTCAGTTTCATATTAAATATTCCCTTAAAGCAGCTTAATCATTGCATCATCACTTGTACTCGTACTTTTATTTTCCATTTTCCTAAAGATCTTTTACTTATTCATTTTAAAAGTCTATTCAGCATCTATAAATTCCGAATGCTTCTAAGAATATATCTCTAAATTATGTGCACAATGAATTACTAAAATTCTAAACTTCAGTTCCACCCAACACTGATCTTGTTGAATTTGGTTATCTCTAGCAATATTCAATAGGTAATTCAGGAGCATTAACTATTTTTCTTGAATTAATTTCAATCACCTTATCAAATACAACTGTATAATTTGTTGATAACTTTTATAATAATGATGCCTCAGGGTTAAGATCCTTACTCATCAAATTAAAACTCACTTCCTCTAAACATGATTTTAATTTATCTAATATCTGTTAGAGCAATTTAATACATATTTAAACGTGTTTAAACAGCCAGAATTCCATGTTATTAATGGCTGCTTCTGTAATTCCAACATAACTTTCTCAGCCATGTTATTGATTTTACTTAAACTAGACTCCATTTATAAGAAAAATATTTATAGATTTTCCTTTTAATTTATAATATATAAATAATTCCCTCGCTTATCATTTCATTAAGAAATTACATGTCTTTCAAATGTTCTTTAATTTCAAAAGAAAATATCAGAGTAACTCTGATAAAAGGTTTAGAAAATAAATATGCCTTTTAATAAATATTTGATCAATTGAATAAAAAACAAATCGTTGTTTTTATATATGAAGACTATTCTAGTTTGAAATAATAAGGAAAAATATTTTAATTTTATTTAAAATGTTAAAGTTGCTTCATTTTTTTCAAACTTTATTTTAAGATTGGAAAAGATTTAAATAAAATGTCTATCACATTTTAATGCTGATTAATAAAAAATACTAAATTTATGATGATACAATTTGTTCTAACAGCTATTTTGGATTAAATAAATGTTTAATAATGAAGGTTATAGCAAGTCTTATTTAAGATATGCAACTATATTTAACGTAAAAATACAAGAAATGCTTCCGATTAATTCCATATTATAATGAATAATTAGGCTAATTCATTATCTTCCTTGTGTCATATAAAATGAGCGAAAAGTTAATCCTAAAGTCTTATTACTAAATAAAGTAATTAATTATACTCCAGAGGAAGATATTGCTAAGGTAATACAAGAAAAACATTCACATTACTGACTAAATTTTATCAAAAATTGATATTTTATATTAAAATGATGAAAATTAATTCTAAAATATTTTTCTTTGAATTATGATTCAAAGTTCTTCAAAATTCTACTAAGTAAACAAAAAATTTAAGCAATATCACTTAAATAGAATCTCTATTTAAATATCAACATACAAAAGCAAACTACCAGTTCTATCTTAAGAGAAAAAACAAAGGATTTTTTTTTTAAATTCCTACTGTTCCTTATTAATTAAAATTTGAATAAATTATATCCTCATATAAATTCAGAACTGCATGCTATTTTGATTCCAATTCTCTTTTTAAAAGTTTTCATTTAATTAAATGTTTAATAAATACTCTTTAACTTTTTAATCAACAAATCTAGAATTAGAATACAGAGAAAGCCAAATACCTGTGGTGAAAAAGGAATATACAGCTTTTTCTTTACAAGCATGCGTAATTTTCATATTCAAAAATAGTTATACATGATATTTTATTCCATATATTACTTTAGAAGTCAGCCCTATTTTATCGTTATACTACTAAGTTGTTGTTTTATTGTTATCTTTATAATCTTCTCAAAGTTTTTAATAGATAAATACCCAAGTGTAATAAACATAATTTTGCCTTTTCTATAAATAATTATGGCTTTGATTTAAAGTGTTGATTATGTTTTTAGATAAAGCAATCCAAGTAATTCCTATCATTCAAACTATGATTGGTATTATGGATTCTGTGCTTGCTATTTTCATATGGGTATATTTGTCATTATTATATAGCTATATTTATTCAAGGCTATTTATTATGGTCATAAGCATTTATTGTAATAGGATTACTGTTAGCCTATATTTTATGGGCTTACAGTTACTCTTATATCTATGTTAGTTTATTATTAAGTTTTATCTCTATTATTGTTGGAATGATTGCCATCAAATATAGTATAGAGAATAACAAGAGACAGTAATTCCTTCATAACAGAGAAAGGAAAAAATGGTTTGCAGTAAAAATTAACAAAATTTTTTTAGATTATTGACACTGTCTTAGAATAATCTATTTTAGTCATTAAATTAGATAAACAATAGGATTAATTAAGAATACATTAAATGAATAATATTACCAAAGAAATTTTATAAGTTAATAATGACAACGATTTAAGAACAGTTCTAAGAAATGTAAATTATTCTTATAATTCATGAAGCTAACCTTTTCTAGAGGATCAAAACTTACTAATAAAGAAAACAAGTGTACTCTTGAAAAACATATTAGAATGATGTTATAAAGTAATTCGTCATCAGGATCTGCCTTCGAATTGAGGAAAAGGGGCTCTCAAGACAAATTGATTAATTCATTGATATGTCATTCTAACTTATTAGGTAACTAATTCAAAGTCTAAATTGTGAATTACTGGACTGATGAACAATAAATGGTGATAATGGCTACTGAAAGTTTAAATAATTATTCATAAAATCATGAGAAATTAGAATTGAATTTAAAAAATAGACTCATTACTTCTTTGGCCTAACATTGTTTAAGTGTCTACTTCAAAGAAAGAGATGATAGATTCGCTAAATTACAATGCATGAATTACTTTGTATCTCTTAACATTTTATAGAACCCTAATATATTAAATGGAACTCCAAATAAGAAATACAATAAGGATAGACTTATTTAATTAATAAAATCTGTTTTTGGAAATTAACTAAATATTATTAACAAATTAAAAATTGAAAACTTACATATTGATCTAAACTCAATTTTGTTAATATTCATTTCATTGCTTTAATTTAGAGAGAAAAATGAAGGACATATTAAGATATCATCTAAAATAAATGAAGATAATGTTGAATCTATTCATTTTACTTTGATGCAATCTACTAAATAGATTATTCCTTAAATACGAGTTTATTTTTCAAAACCTTTATTTTTTTTTAATGATTAGGATAAATTCGCAAGTATATCCCATCTTCAATAAAATTTATTACATTTAGATAAAAAGTTGAATTATTAAGATCCATTAAAAGCTACAACTTTAATCATAATGAAATTTATATTATGGCATTACGGTTGTAATACTTAAATTAAAGTTAAATAAAAAAATGACCTCACTTACTTTTCATTTTCTTTGCTTAATTAATGATTATATGTAATTTATTAAATAACATTCATATTTTGTTTAACTAATCATCATTTAATTTTAATAAATTTTGATTACAATCAAGTAAATATTATGAAAATTACAAATTACCATACTACTTACTTGATTCTAGAAATTTATTAAGAGATTTAAACATTAAAAAGGTCTTCTCAAATATTCCTTAATTATTTCTATTTTAATGTATCTAAAAAAAAACATAATTTTTTAATATAAAGGATATATATGCACATAAGATATAATGAATTTCTAAATAAATATCAAATTACGATAAGAATAAATAATATTTGTTAATAAAGTATATAAAATCATTCTCAATTTCTGGCCTTGAAATATTGTGGGATAACATATGTATTAGGTTGATAGATTTATTATGGTTGAACTTCATGAGCTGAATATCTATTCATCAGATTTTGGTGAACTGGTCTAGCTGCTTTTGCAGATTATTAATATGTTTATATTTTATCAATGATACTTGTATTGAAAGTTCTTTCCTTTGGTGATTAGTCAATTATTGGTTATCTATAGATTTTTGGTGAATAATCAATAATTTTTTAGTAGTTCAATTATGCTTCTTCTCTAGTAACAGGCTATTTTTCTTCACTTTTTAATCTCACCTCCATGGTTGGTTTATAAATTGGTGGTTATTATTACTATGATTATTGTAAGCAAACTTATTTAAAACTAGTTTCTTAATATTTTAAAATTCGATTTTCTAATTCATTAACATAATTATCTTTTTATTTAATCTAATTCTTCAAAATTTCTAATTCCTTTTTAAGATTGGATATTTCTTCTTCTTGAAATTTAATATGTTTTTAATAGTAATCATTTTTTTGAGAGAAATGTAAACAATCATAACATTTCTAGGATTATTATGTCATATTTCTTTCTTATAAAGGTTTAACTTCAGATTTGAAACCAAAAGTAATTTCTTTTAAATTTTCGTTTTTTCTATCTAATTACTATTATTAGTTAATAATTTCTTATTTGAATTACTCTTACCTTTTCTCTAATTTAAGTAGCTCTTATTTTAATTCAATTTTTAATTCATCTTCTTTAGATGGTTACTTATAATCAGATTTTTTATCATTTTGTTTTTGATCATTCCTATTATCAGGAGTTCTGGATTCTGTTCTAACTTTTTGTTCTGATTATCTAAGATCTAATTTAAGTTCTTATCGAATATCTTATTTATGATCAGATCTATAAAGTAAATCACTTAATTTATAATCTTTTCCTTATTTTGTTTCAACTTTATTTGATTAATATTCATTCTAAAATTATGATGAAGAACTAATTTAATTAGAAAACTATGAAATATTTGTAACTTATTGAGATTATCTCAAAGCTGAAGGTGGAATTTATGAAGTCTTCAAAGCACTTGATGTTTACATTTAATAGGATTACCTTATTTCATTATTTTATTTATAACTTGATCTCTATTTAAATTCTTATTCTGATGATTATGACACGTAGGATCCTTAATCAATAGGCATCTATTAAGTTGGCTTTTGCACTTCTTGAATATGGGAATAAACAAACACAATATTAAGACCTGCACTGATTTAGCCATCAACTAAATTGACTTTGTTTAGTGTAATCCTATGTGTTTATTATTGTGAATAATTTTCAGGCATTTTATTCATTCCAAAAACATACCATCCATCTAAACATTTCAACATAGCAAAGTTTTCTCCAGAAATAACTTGTTATACTCTCTATTCCTCATCTAATTTACATAATTCTTCTAATGGAGTGCACTTCCTGGCATAACCCCAACTTCCAGTTCCCCAAAAATAGACTTTTCCTTATTTACTTATTACACAACTAAATGTTCCCATAGAAGCAATCACTTATTGTACTTCAAAATTTAATGATAATTTAATAGGCTCTCTAACTACTTATTCAGATACTCCACATTATCCAAATAGATTATTTCCTGTAACAAAAACCTAAATATTGAAACTTAATTTTACTTGTCCTTTATATAAAAATAAAGAATGATCCAAGCCTGCAGCCATTTATTCAACAGGTATACTCAATTTCACAGGACTTGTATGTTATCCTAAAACTCCCAATTATCCATTCTAATTTTCTCCCATCACATAACATGTTTCTCCATTTCTTACAAGTGTATGAAAACTGCCACAGCAAACCTCTTAGCCTTAGATACTGAGTTCTGTAGGTTTTTCGACATTTTCTGTGTCCCCCATTCCTAATTATCCTTCTGACCCTCTACCCCAAACATAAATTTTATTATCTTTAGTACAGGCAGCAGAATGATATAGACCGACTGCAATCTAAAGAACATTCTTCATCACCAATTGAAATCCTGGTCCTGATGAGCCTCTTTAACCAAATTAATTTGATCCATAACTATATACGTTTCCATCTTAAGTTAAGGCTAATATATGAGATTGACCTGCACAAATTTATTTGACGTAACCTGGAATGGTTAATGAAGTTGTTTCATTGAAATTAGGGACATTCCTAGGTGTTCTTAATGTTAATGATCCTGCACTTTCAAAAAGATCAGAATCTTCATGATTAATGATACCATAGATAGTGATTTTTGAAGACATTAACGGAATGTTAAATATTTTATATAATAATTAATTATAATGGAAGATTAAAAAGCTAGAAAAATATAAAAGTAGACATTCTTTTTTTATAGTAGAGCTTGGAGGTCATTTACAAATAGAAAAATATTCTAATATTATAAAGACATCATTTTATTTAAGTGCAAGTACTGAATAATAATTAATATTAGAGGAAACCCAGCTCGATTATTAAAAGCTATTAACCCTAACGAGGCTCAATTGCTCGATGCTGCTTGCAAATCACACATTAGATTTCGACTTGGTGGAGAAGTATATTATTTTTCTTATTATTTCAGCAATTTCCTCCTATAATTTACTATAAAATTTATAGTCACGGAGGAATTATAGATTTAAATTCCTTTGCTCCTAGAGATTATTCATCAATATAAAGAGATCCTGTTCCTCATGAAAAAGTTGCATATTTTGAATATAAGAAAAATTAATAAAAATACGATAATCAAGGATGGTATTTAAGGCTAGATAACAATGGATGGAGACCAGTTTAATTTATTTTAATAACAATAGATCTCTAACAAATAAATGATCAAAGCAGACTTTGTTGAATTATACACAGCCAATAAAATTAGATATTATCATCATAAAAAAGACAAGAGAGAGGAAAAAGTGATTAAGAAGACAAGACTCAATAAATTGAAATGGGCATAAAGTATTTAAAAATAAAAAGAGGGAACTCAATAGAATAAAGAAGTTTAATAAGCTTAAGACTTCTTCACTCAAACTAAGTAATATTTAGAAATGGATGATGTAAAATTTCATATTATTCTAAGGATGAATTTGATAAAGAAGTATAAAATCTTATAGATTGGAGTGAAAATTTGGATTATGATAAATATATGACAGAATGGTTTTAACTTTCTACTTCTAATGCAAGTGAAAATTATGTTGTTTAGTAAATTCATGTAAATAAAATGATTATTTTATAGTAAACAAAAATTGATTCAGTCTTTAAAGGAACTTGACAGCTTGACAATATTCTCATTAAATTCATTTATAAATTAATGTTATCTCTAATTTTGATTTTTGCAGCTTTAAGGTCTCATAAAATTATTTTCATATTGATTAGCATTCCAAATTCGCAATCTTTAATATATTCCTTGTAATTTCTTTTATTCCTTCAATTAAACCGAACAAGCCTTTTGGATTTCAAGACAAGTGTTTTATTCTGAATGGACCCAAGAAGATTTCATTTTTTGAGTCCTTGATTCTTAATAAAATAGACTATTAGTTTATTAATAACTGTAAGTCTTTTAGGTTGGAGTTTTCGATCTAGAAGAAAGAGGTATCGTTCCAAGTTACATAGCATAATGTTTTCCCTTAATAGTGTGTTAGACCTTATTTTTTGAACTATTGAAAAATTTTCCACTGTTGTCTATAAAATATTTTTCTACAAGTGGATCAATAGTCTAAACTCTAAGCTAAATGATTTTTCTTTTATTTGCATTCTTAAACAATTTACAACATAGATTATTTTAATGATAATCCAACTTATCAGGTGAAATTTTGTTAATGGATCCAAATTTGTGTTAAATTTTACGATAATCAAGATCTATTTTTTTTTTATAAAGTGATAATTCTAAATCTCCGTAATCATTTTGATTGGAAACTATTTCATTGTTCATTTTATTTCAAATAAAATAATCGATGATTATCGATTAAATTTATTTGAACTATGATTTTTTGCCATTAAAAATTAATTAAGTTGGAAATTGTAGAGCCATCATTTGGCAACTTATTTTACAAGAATAAAGGATTTAACTATGAAATAAAGACCTACTAATATAATTTTGAAAAAAAATTGTATTATTTAATTATTTAAGATCTATCTTAGTTGATTAATTTAACATGCCATCACATTGAAACAAATTCAACAAAACTCAAAAACTAGATAATTAAAAAAAATAAACAATGATACTACCATAATTATAGATATATATTCTTAATTGAATGAATAGTAGAAAGTATTTGGTTTTATTGTAGAAAATCAATAACAAAATAATAGAAAACATAATTGATAATATAATTTTATTTAATTAAATTCTTAATTTAAGAAATTCGTAAAAGCACTTTATTCTAATCTTATATTAATTTGAGGCAGCAAATAATTTAAGTTATTCTTAGTTTTTTTTATTCATAAGATTTTAAATGAGTATTTTTATGTTTAGATTATTTCATAATAGTTTAATCCTGAGGTTAAATTTGCATTCCTTAATTTCTTTAAATAAAAGAAATTTATTTTTGATAAAATTCAATAGGAATTCTAATATATACTTCTTTTTCTACTTAAAAAATATCAATCTCCAAGAATATTGGACTCACACTTTATATAAAAATAAATTAATGTTATGGTTAACTGTAAAAACTTAATTTAAGTGATAAATAATATTAAATTTCTAACTAAATGACGAAGCAATAATCATGATGTTAATTTGACCAGTGTGGGCAAACGGTCCCATTTTAATTCTGAGCAAACTAAATTTTCATCATATATAAATTTAAAGTTAGGAAAATATGAAGATTGATGAATTCTATGGGGATAAGTTTAATGATACATTTGAATGACATTGAATGATTCTTCTAAATTTTTGTTAATAAACAAATTTTATGGATTCAGCAATTGAACAACTTCATTATAACTAATATTTAATGATTTGGTTGTTTTTTTAGATATTGCATTGCTTTTCTTCTTCTTTCTTTCTTATCCTTCTGAAGAATCATTAGTTGACAGAGATCCCATAGAATCATTCATGAAATTAACAGTTAGATATATAATAAAAATATTAATCAAATTAAGAGTCTTAATCAAACAAATTTGTTCTATTTAAAACAATAGAAATCCCTCTCTTCTATGTTGAAATTTAGTTTAATTTTCACTTTTTGATTTATTCCTAATCTGAAGAGTCCAAAAATAAATAAAACATTAATAGAACAAAAAAGCAATTAAAAAAGGAACCTAACTTAGAAAAATCATATTTTAATATTAGCTTCCTATGAATAGTGATAATAATTGTGAAATAACTATTGCGAAAAATTGCAAGACTTATCTAGAAACTTAGGAAATATGTTAAATATTTTTATATATCCCTATTTTTTCTGTGATTACAAGCAATAATTAACAAAAGGATAATTATGGTCAATTATTATTACACCCTTCTCAAAATAACAATAATAAATAAAATGCCTACCTAAAATGAAAACTCTTAAAGGTCTAAATTTCAAATGAAGCACAAAATTGTTAATCTTGAATCTTCCTAGAAAAAATTGTTTTTAAATATAAGGCAAACACATTTTGAAGCATAATTCCTTAATCAATAGAAGAGATGTGAAGAAGGAATGAAATTTTAAAGAATGATAGACTTTTGATAAAAATAGCTTGCTGAAGTTATTTTTTTAAATCCTTATTCCTATTATGAAAATTAAAAGGGATCAGAATCCTAAAAGCCACCCTCAGAATAGAATATTAACCTAAAATTATTTCTCTAAATATATGTTATTATCTTTGTATTTTGTGTCATCTTCTTATAGCCTTTAAAAAAACACAAATACTATTTTATCACTATTCCAACAAAAGGAAGTTTTTTATTTCCATCTCCATATAAAAATAAAATGACTATAAAATTACTCTAATAAATTTTATAATGAATAATTTAACAATAATATGTTCAGGAATTAAAAATTTTATATAAAATAAATTCAAAATGCAAATAGATGAATTGCCGGTTGGGCAGTCAAAAAAGAATTTTATGTTAGAGGAGTTTCCACCAGGTAATTTTGTTTATAAATAATTAGATTTTGATCCTCAGTAATAAGAAAAAGTCGATTTACCATTAAAGTAACGAATTAAATCTAAAGTTTGGAAAGTAAGGCTTTAAGCTTATGATGAATTAGCAAACGATGAAGAGATGGATTGTGAATGTGTCATATAGATAATATAGGATATTCATATTCAATGCTAAGAGAAAGCACTTTAGATTGCATTAAAATATTTTGAAAAACAAAACTAAATAGAGTGTTCATAACAAAAAGAAATTATTAAGGTTTTATTAGAAAAAGTATTAACACAGCCTAAATTAAAACAACTTGGTCATCAAGTTTCAACTTAACTTTATCCAATTTGCAAATCCGCTTTTTCTGAAATCATAATATAATACCTGATTCATAAGAACCCAAAAGTTGTGTAAGCAACAATCGCTTTGTTAATAGAATTGTTGCAATAATTTGGGCTTAAAAAATTAGATAATTTAAAACCTTTTTTTCCAGTAATGTCTAAGCTTACAGAGGCTTAATAGAGCACTGTTAAAGCTGATGCTATAGCATTTTACAAGGAAGTGACCAAATGGTATGGAAAAAACATTGAAGCATTTTTTGGAGGTTTAAATGAAAAATTTCAACTGGAACTGAAAAAAATAGCAGAAACCATAACTGAAGTATAAAAGGCTCCTAATCAAGAAGAGGAGGCTGAAACTAATAATTAAGAACTATATGATTTGGTTGACGCTGTTGAAGTGTTTTCAAAATATACAGAAACCTGGTGTGAAAAAGTATTTTAATTAGAAAAATGGTAAGAGAAAAAGGAACAATTAGACAATCTATAGAAATCATGTTCTGTTCCTAAAATATAGCCATCTCCAAATATATATTCAGTTGTATAATTATTAAAGAAATTGTTGAATGAATAATAAATGATTATAAGTACTTAATGTATCAAAATAATTGGATGTATGGCCAATGGTTTAAGAAAAAACTTTAATTAATATGCTAAAATAATAATGCTACCAGTTTTGACTAAGTTAAAAGATAAAAAACAAAATATTGTTGATGAAACTATTATTACTATTAAAAAACTGTTTTACAGTTGTAATCTTGATGAATTTTTCGAAGAACTAAAAGCCTTATTAGAAGACAAAGCTCCAGGTCCAAAAGTTAATGTTTTTACCATAATTGAACACTATTTAGATGAGACACCTAAAGATAAATTGAATAAACTTTAATGTATTAAATCATTGGTCCCTATTTGTAAGAAATTTACAGAGGATGGTAATGCTGATGTAAGAGCAAAGTCAATCATGTTGATGGCTAAAATATCTGCTAAATTATATAATGGAGCTCTGTCTATTGATTTAAAGGGTGATAAATATACAAAATATTAAAATTAAGTAAACATTTATATGGAAGGAATAATTGCCTCATCAGGAAAAGAAGTCCTATAATAATAGAATCAATAACAATTATAACAACCACAGCAATAACAACAACAATAATAATAATAATAATAATAATAATAATAATAATAATTAAAACAATTAATACCTAATAAAGAAAACTTGCAATTATAAGTTGCAACTAATCATAATAGCTCTTAAAAATAATCTATTTAATCAAAATTAAATAAGTCAATTTAAATCAATTAACAAAATCAGAATGATATATAATCGTTATAATATTCAACAACGATGACTTCACTTCAAGTTGACACTTTCTTAAAATAGTATAAGTCAATTAAAAATAAGGATTAAAGTGAATTAGGAAATATTTTGCTACAAATAACACAATAATCTAATTACATTTTAAGTGTAACTATGGAATTTATTATTGATAAAATGTCAGAGTAAAAACCATTGTGCTATTAATTATTTGATAAAATTGCATAGACTTACTAACCTAATCATTTAACATAATTAATTACAACCTTTAAGAATGCCTCTACTTAAAGTTAACTTCTAGAAGTTCTCAATATTTTGTTAAAATACATACCTAAATGTGAAAAAAATATAGACTAGTAACTTATTTCAGAATTTCTTAAAACTTATTAAAATCAATCTAATTTGAAAACAAGAACATTGGTTCAAGAATGCCAAAATGCCTTAAAGTTATTATTTGAAGTGAAAAAAGTCTAAACGGAGGAAAAAAAAATGATTCCTTTTCCTTTAAATACATTTAGCGACTACCATTTTGAGCGCATAAAAACTTAATTAAAAGTACCTCAAATACCTTAAGCACTCTATGAAAAAATGTTTAGTTATAATATATAACAAAACTAACAAGCAGCAGCTTATATAAAAGCTAAAATTACACAACCAGGTGAATTTAGTGAAGTATTTTTTAAATGGGCTTACATGATTTCTTGGATGAAAGAAAATATTCCTTTACAATAGGAAATTTCATAATTATTCTAAATCTTAATATCTTAACATATACCTTCATTCTTAGAATAACAGATAATATTTTCATATCTTAAAATGTTGATTTTGATATATTTAAGGGCAGGAATTCCGAAATTAGCATAAAGAACATTACCCTTATTAATGAATTTACTGAGTGAATTCAAAAAGTATTATGTCTAACTGCCAATATTAATAGTATTTGAAGATTTTGATGAATTATCAAATTAATAAGCAAACCAATTGATATAAATTATGGCAGACAATGCAAGTGATTGGAATATTAGCAATACTCTTTAATAAAAGTAGCTTATTGCCTTATTGATATCTTATTTATGGAAAGAAGAGAGTGCAATCATTACTAATTAAATTGTTTAAGCAACTTCCCCTTAATTTTCAAAGTCATAGATAATTTAAACATCATTAAATAATGAAAACCCATATAAAGATCAAATCTAAAATTTTTAGAGGTTTAATCCTTTATTTATTACAGAATAACCTAAAACAGAATAAACTAATTCAGAGAAAAAGAATATTTAACCAAAAAGTACTCCTTATAATGGAATAGCACAAATTAACTCTTAGATTAACAGTGGAAATACATAATAACTGCAAAATAATTAAAATTCAATGGAAATTGAGTTAGATTAAAATATTAGAATATTTTAGTAATTGTATTTTAAGTATAAAGAAACCAATAATTTTGAAAATCCTTAATTACTAGCAGATTAAATAATTTTATTATTAGCCAATTTTATGAAAGAATAATCATGTGATAAACTCAACTAATTATTAGAAACCCTATTATACATATTATCATCAGGATAATTCTTGAATTAAATATCATATGATAAATTCTATATCATATTTGATACTTTGATTTTTAAAATGGTAGAGGAATCAACTAAAGTAGGCAACAAGGATGGGGCTCAAAGAAATTGTTATAGCTTAATTAATTAAAACTTAATAAAGATCTTAAATAATTAAGAACTACCCATTTTGTATTTGGGATTTTTAGATTGTTTAATAAAAGTGAAAGAAACTTAAAAGCAAACAAAATAATTTTATACTTTAATTACAAAATGCTTAAGTAAATCAGTAGGATAAGTTAAAAGCTAATTTTAATGGTAATAATTAACTGCAATTTTAGAAAAGATAAATAAATATTTACTATTATGTGAAAAGTAAGAACCTAATCAAGAATTTTAAGAGTCTCAAGACTTCTTATTAAAAGCTCTAAAATCTACAGTGATTTATTTATTGCATTTTAATGATGGAATCAAGGTTTGTTAATTTATTACATAATTAACAAATGAATAGTCTGCTTTGAGATAATGGTTGTTAGAATTTTAAGAAAATAATGTAGCAAAGTAAAAAAGATCTAGAGATACTCATATCAATTAGATTATTGAATTACTAAAAATTGATTTCGACAAGACTGTCGAACAATTTGTATCTATAGTGCGAAGATAAAGTATCAATTGGAAACCTATGGTTGAGTTTTTGAGTGAGTAATAAATAAAATTCATTGAATTAAGATTAGAGTAGACTAATCACATGAATCTTTTAGAGAAGAAGGTCGGTGAATTGGAAAAGATGTTAAATTAATGAATATTAAAAATAATTAACTTATTAGTATTACCCGTTTTTATATTATACATAGTTATTAATATTAATAAATGAATAAATTCATTATTGTTGGGCTATTGGCCTTGGTTTGTACATAAGCCTTTGAAATAGATTTCTCTCTATTATTACAGGTAATGAATGTGAAAAACAATAATAGACAGGATCAGAATCAAATGATGCAGTCTAGGCAGTATATGATTTATTGAATGATTTGAAAACAAGCAATATTGAAGCTTAAGGTGTTGCTGATGAAAAAAATATTTCAGATGAAGAAATTGGATAAGCTAGAATTGCTGCTCTTTCAAAAGTCAACGAGTTAAATTAGAAAGCATGGGCTAGTGCAAAAGCAAGAAGAGAATAAATCGGAGTTGAATACAGAGTAAATATAAGATGAATTATTGTGTAGGAAGCAACAGATTACATCGCTTGGGCTACATAAAGATTGGCTGATATTGATAGAAGATCAGTTGAATTATAAGAATTGAGATGCTTTTCAAATGGTTTATTTGTTAGAGCTATTAAATAACATAATGATGCCTTAGGAGTCATTAGAGTCTTAAAGAATGACTTGAGTGGATATTTAACTGGATAACCATCATCTTTAGTAGAAGTGAATGTTCAAAATGTCTCAGACAAATTGAAATAATACAGTCAACTTTTCAACTAAGATGCTATGACAAAGTTTGCATAATTAGCTGCTGAACAGGCTTCAGGAAATGCTGAATTACATGCTTTGGGATAAGAAGAAGGATCCTCATCATCATCTGACAGATAGCCAGGACTTAATGTTGGTTAATTAGTATACAATGCTTTATCTGATCTTGAAGATTAATTGAAATCATCTTTAGCTAATTTGGAAGCTAACGAAATTGCCGCTTACTATTAATTAGCAGATTGGTTGGCTGATACAGAGTCTGAGGTTGCTCATTTAAATGATGAAATCTAAAGAAAAACATAATTATAAGACAAGTTAGTAGTGGTAATCAATCAAATATTATAATATAGTAAGAATAAGCTGCCTTAGCTGTTTAAGCAAAAGCAAATAGCGTCTTAAAAGATTCTTAAAATGCAATCAATGCAGCCACAGCATCATTATAAGAACTTAGAGATTTATATGAGACTGAATTAAATAGAAGAAACGGTATCATTAATTAATATAAATTTAGAGGAAAATGCTATCATTGATGAAGTTATTCATATTTTCAAATAACAAGTTTTAGAAATGGCCAACTAAACTTCTTATGGAAAGAAATGATTAGGATTGCTATCATTTAAATAAACATTATTTTTTATTCTTTTCGCCTTATATTTATTGATAAATCTTTTCTGGAGATTTAACACAATTTTCTGCAGTAAAATTTAAATTAATAAAATAATCTTAATTGTAAATTCAAAAAAGAATAGCAATTATATTAAAATAATATTTAATCTCTTCTTCTAAAAATATTTTAATATCATATATGAAAAACTCATCCATTTCATCAATTTTATTCCAAATTTCTAATAAATACTTTATAATTAAACCTCATTTTGCTGAACCATAGAAGTAATCTATGAATTGATTGAGTATAATTCTATTAATTGCCTTATAAAGAGAAATAATTATTATAATAATAATTATAAGTTTTTTTTTACTTTTTGACTTCCACAAATCATGAATATTTTTGATACAAAAGCTAACTCTGAAGGATTCTTCTCAAGATATGGAAGATTGACATCACAAAAGTTTTATATTTTAAGAAAACCTAAAGTGATAATAAAATAAAAAATGAATTAGGAAGAAAATTCATTATTTGTTGAAGAGTTTCCACAAGAAAGTCCTAAAAATAAATAAACTATTGATAAGAACCTATTTCCAATTTACCAATTAAAGAAAACTAATCTTAAAAATTTGTCAAAATCCTTTCAATTTTAAACACCCTTAAGATCTAGATCTCTCTAATTTGCAAAAAAGTAATCCTTTTAGAATTCAGAAACTCTAAGTTTTAGTAAGACTTCGAAAAAATTCAGAGAATCATTTGATTCAAAAAAAAAAATTTTTAATTACAGCAGAGTATCAGAAGAACTCGAGCAATTATAATATTTTTGACTTTATTTATTTTATTTTAAAATATAATTATAGCTGTTACAATATTATTGCGTATAAAATTTTATTCATATTTCGAAGTAGATAAACACACAATTTATTTTATCAATTATGAAATCATAAGGTAATAAAGTAAATGTAATAGCTAAATAATATAAGATTCCTTCTTCTTAAAATATTCTATAAGAAAACAAATATAACAATGGTAAAGGAACCTAAAGGTAGAACACAACTCGTATTACATTTGTATCATTTTAGCATCAAAATTAAAGAGTTATTATAATTAGTTTGAAGTAAAACTTTAAAAAAGATCAATCTCTTTCATTGATGAAAATTTATAAAAGGCAAACAAAGAACAAAATATTGTTTCTACCATATAAAATGATAAGGATTAAAATCAATCAGATAGTGATTAATCAAAGGATTCAATTAATATTTGGTAAGAAGAATGCAATTATGAGGATTTATTTGACTTATTTTAATTTAGATTTAATAATTCTTATAAAGCCACTGTGTAAAATAATGCTGCACAATTAATAAAAAGCTACAAAAAGCTTTTTGGATACAGCATTTTTAGAACAAATATAGGAAAACATCCATTTTATCATATGCATAGAAGAATAAATTCATTAAGGAACTTTAATGAGGAAAAGTAGAACACTAGATATTCAAAGGTCTCTATAAAATTTAAACTGCAAGATAGCAAGATTCCCTTTGGAAAGATTTCCTATTTAAATAATTAAATTGCAGCATATAATAATAAGGAGAAAAAAAGGTGATGATATATACTAATAACAATTGTCACCTGATCTATATTAATCAAGCGAGAACAAAACAATCAATTAGGGAGTATAGCTCAGTAGCAGAGCAGCAGACTGCAGATCTGTAGGTCTCAGGTGCGAACCCTGATGCTCCCTTCTTTTTTTTATTTTATAAATATAAATTTATTTAAATTGAAAATTAAATATATTAATGTTAATCAATATTTTTCTTCATTATTTTAACATAACCTAATTCCAATAATTTATTAAAGCTCCATCATTTCTTTCAGTAATACATAGTTGCTTAAACTTCCAATAAAATTGGATTATTCAAATAATAAATTTTTGAATGACTAATAATCAGAAGATTGAATCTAAATTAAAAAGCTACAAATAGCAGTACAGCTTATATATTATAATTATGTTGGAAGATTTTTGTTAAAGTAAATGTTTAATTTGAATAGTTTCTCCATTTTAAAACAAAAATTGCATAAATTAAAATAAAATCTATGTTGTTGAATGTCATAATTAGAATAAAACATTATCAAAATATGATATTTAATAGCCTAATTAAAAAAATGATGTTAAATGTGGTTTAAACACAATCAATTAAAATTAAGAAATAGTAATATAAATCCACTTAGTAGAATTAGCAATTATTTATAAACCAATTTCAATTTAATACTAACCAATAAGAGAGATTAGTAGGTTATTTAATAGGTTAAAATTCATATATTAAGACTATTATATGATAGTATTGTATTTGATTGTTTAAATATTATAAAAGATAATGATATTGATGATGATTGAATTCTGACAATGTAGGCTAAGATGTACAACTACCTTAAGCTATAACATGGTTTATTAACAGAGAAAATAATAAAATTATAGGTTGGAAAATTTTTAAAAATGAAAAGATGCTTAAAAGCAAAGTTGATTAATTGTAGAGAGTAAGAAATAAGGTGATGATATATACAAATAACAATTGTCAACGATTCTATATTAATCAAGCGAGAACGAAAACATCAATTAGGGAGTATAGCTCAGTAGCAGAGCAGCAGACTGCAGATCTGTAGGTCTCAGGTGCGAACCCTGATGCTCCCTTCTTTTTTTTTATTTTATAAATGTAAATTATTTAAATTGAAAATTAAATATATTAATGTTAATCAATATTTTCTTTTAGTTAAATATATTTATATTCTAATATCTTTAAGCTTTTTGATTTCTTCCATCATATATATAATGCTGTAGCAGTGTAAAAATATATAAATTTAGTTTTTGCTAAATTCCTCATAGAGAATTGATAATGGATTCAATATCATTAATCAAACAACTACAAATATATGGAATAAATGATTCTAAATATACAATTAAAATGATCAGAAGCTAATATGTACTGAAACTTTATCATTTTGAAAGCTATTGCAGAGATTTAATTTAATTATTATATACTCAACTTTCTTTCTTTGTAAGAATAGGGTATTTATTAAATGGATTTACTCTTATGCAAAATGAAAAACTTTTTAATTCAAAGCCTAATAAGCCTACTATAATACATTAATATCAAAATGATATCCAACGAAAAAATTAAAGTTGATTAACTTATAATAAATATCCAGATAATAAAATTAAGCATTTATTCTTTTATATTAATTTCAATGCTGTTTTCAAATACTAGATGAAAATTGGAACATCTGATGGATTTATTTAACATCTTTTTCTAGAAATTATCTTTTTAATAGCCTCGTAATTATAGCTGAGAATGATATGTCCATTTTAATTTGCAACTTCATTGACATAAACTGTAGAGGATTTTAATTTTTAGAGAACTAAGTATAAGCTGGGAATTAATACTATAAAGATGTTTTTGTTTAATTTTAATGCTTATTTGAGAAAAAAAGATTATTCTAAGCCTTCATCTAAAATTATAACTCTAAACCTTAAATTTTGCAAAAAGGCGAATTGAATTTACTTCAAAATAAATGAATTTTGTATTTTCTGGATTTTCAAGTTAATCTCATAATATTCTAAGTTAATTGTAAAATATTATATTATTAAGACCTTCAATCTACAGTAAATAATATTTCTAAAACTTTGTTATTAACCCACTTTCATAAATTAAAAATCAGATATTCTATTAACAATATCATATTAAGATTTTTAATTTAACTAAAAATAATAACATTTCATAAATATAGAACTAAAACTCAATCAATTTAACACCAATAACTAACAAGATTAATATTGAATAGAGCCAGCAAAGTATAAATAAATAATTTTAAAAAGTATGTGAAGATAATATAGAAGGTATTCCTAAAATTAAAGCAATTTTATAAGGATAATAGATAAATGAATTTATGTACTTTTAAAAAATACAAAATTTAGGATTTCAATTCAAAAAGATAATATGGATAAACAAAAATTAATGCTTTAGTTCTTTTGATGAATATAAAAAAGTATGAATGAAAATATTCTTAGTTTCAAAACCATGGAACATAAAATTGTAAGTAATTCTACATTAAAACACTAATATTCATTAACACAATGAGCTTAAAAGTTTTCAAACGAACTTATTAAGATAGTTTGTCTTTCCTAAAAATATTTATTAAATTTCAATTATAGATTTAATAAACCAAATTTAAAAAATTACTCTCACTCTTTCAAATAGAGATTTTCATCGTAATAGAGTCTAAATTAGAGACAGAAAGGGATTTAAAACCATTGTTTTTTTACATAGAAATCATTAAGGATTTTATATTTGAAGCAAATATTAAATCACATAATAATACATCTGTTTGAATGAGTCAATTTTTAAGTGTTTATTCATTTTTTATAGGCAAACCATATTGTAAATAGAAATAAATATTTGTAATATAGTCATATCAACCAAACAATGCTTGCATTAGGTAAGTCATTTCAAAACTCTTTCTTATTGGAATTATTAAGTTACAAGTGCAAAGCTATGTAGGATATATAAAAAGTAACTTTAGTTAGATATTAAAATTGATTAATTACTCATCATGTAATTAATATATATTAAAAACACTTTAAATTATTTATAAAATCTAAAGGATATATTACGATTGTTTCTTTAATTTTCTTCTTTGCTCTCTCGAGAACTGGTATAGAGATTTCTTTTTCCAAGTGAATATGAGGTATAAATTACGTGTAAGTTTATAATTGAATATTAATACGTAATATTAAAATATACGATAAGCTTATAAAATCTCAATTTATTATCTTCCGTGTCCTTAATCACTCCCAAATATAGAAAGCATTTTAATTAGAAGCTATAAATGCCTCGGGGACATTGCCAACAAATAAAGTTCAATAATGAAAATTATAGAAACTATGAAAAGTTATTAACTTATGGAGTCCATAATTGACTGAGAGCTAATTAGAAATAGGAATTATAGAGCGGAAATTGGGATTAAAGAATATACTAATAAGTTGAGTAAATAATTATTGATTAATACCTTACAACTTTCATGATGCGTTATTAATTTGAATTTTAATTAAAATAATTTATAATATTAAATAATGCAAATTATTATAAATTATGTTGAATCGTTTTTATATAATTCGTAAGGTATTGTGGTTTCTTCGTCAATAATTTAATGATGGCATATTAAACTACGGATTATCTGCAATGTTAAAGGGATTTCCAAGGTTCAGAAAGCATATAATCTTTAATTGATCAATGTGTGGAATATTGGCCATTTTAAATATAAGAGGAACAGAGGTAGAAGTAAGGGCAAAAGCATATGAACTGTCAAGAAGAATAAGACATAGAGGTCCAGATAGATCTAAGATTATTGTTCTTGTATTTATATTCTCATAAAGTTCAGGAGGTAAGCCCAGGTGTGTATCATGTAATTTCTCACGAAAGATTGGGATTAGTTGATTTGAGTGACAAAGGCAGGTAACCCTTTTAATTACTGGATGATGAAAACATAATCTTTATGTAAAACGGTGAGCTATATGATTACTGGGATTTAAGACCAGAATTAGAGAAGAAATATCGTTTTAGCAGTAATTCTGATACAGAGATAGTGGGAATGTTATATAAAGAAGTATGAATTGAAAATAAGTAATAGTATGGGGCAGGCAACTTTTGGAACCACCTTAATGGTATGTTTGCCACAGTTCTAATAGATTTGAGCAAGAAATCATTTCAAGCAGGAAGAGATCATATCGGAATAATTCCTTTATATTATGGTTACGATAAGGATGGATCACTATTCTTGTCATCAGAGTTGAAAGGAATACATGACTAAGTTATTGATGTTAAATAGTTCCCTCCAGGTTATAAAATATAATAGTATTTTAGGCCATTATATTGATGAGACATATGAGATCAAGAGATGGTACAATCCAACTTGGCATAACTTTGATTACATTCCAACAGGGGAAATCAATTTTGGAGAATTGAGAGACAAATTCGTGGAGGTTGTCAGAAGAGAAGTTCAAGGAGATGCTCCATTTGGATTGTTTATATCAGGAGGGTATTATAATTTATCATTATTCTAATAGTGTTGATTCGTCAATAGTGGCTGGAATTGTCGCGAAATTAATAAAGAAAGGGGAAATAGATTTGAGCAAGAGAGGAATGAGAAAAGTTCATTCGTTTTGTATCGGATTGGAAGGGTCTCCAGATTTACATTATGCTAAGAAGGTGGCAGAATTTCATGGCTTTGAACACCACTCATTCACCTATACAGTGGATGAAGGATTAGATTATATTCCTGAAGTCATATATCATACAGAGACATTCAATAACACCACCATTAGAGCATCAACACCCATGTATATGATGTGTAGAAGAATCAAAGCTTTGGGAATCAAGATATGTTTAACAGGTGAAGGAAGTGATGAATTATTTGGCGGATATTTATATTTCCACAAAGCACCTAACAGAGTAGAATTTCATTAAGAATTAATCAGAAAACTACATGACTTACATAAATATGATCTCCTCAGAGCCAATAAAGCTTGTTTGGCTTGGGGTATTGAAACTAGACCTCCATTTATGAACAAATAATGGGTCGAGTATGTTATGCAGATTGATCCTAAATACAAGATGATTAATGCCTTTGAACCTCAAATGGAAAAATACATTCTTAGAAAAGCATTTGAGGATTTAGAGCATCCTTTTGTGCCATAAGAAATTTTATGGAGATAAAAGGAACAGTTTAGTGATGGAGTTGGTTATAGTTGGAGAGATGGTATCATTAAGAGAGCCAATCAATTAATCACTGATTAAGAGTTTTCTTAAGCATCCACCAAGTACCCAGTATCCACTCCCAGAGATAAGGAATAATATTGGTTCAGACAAATATATTCTTCCTACTTCCCAAGTGAAAGTTCTGTTTTGACTGTTCCATACGCCAGATCAATAGCTTGTTCAACCGAAAAAGTAATCTATTGTTAATAATCTCTTAGGCTTTGGAATGGGATGAAGCTTTCAAAAAGAATACAGACGAATCGGGCAGAGCTGTATTAGCTGTTCATAATGATGCTATTAAGGAACTCATCTAACCAGAAGAGGACCGTTCAACTGAGGATATTTCCAAAGTACAAGAGCATTTCTAATTATGATTTCTATTACATGTAATCAAATTATAAATAGTTGTTTCATCCATTTATTTATTTACTAATTTTTAATTAAAAAAATATTGGAATATAGATATACAAAACCTACCTGGGAAAATTTCTTATAACAGAATTAACTATTAAAGTTGGAAGAATTTAGAGGAAAATAGCTATTAATCGAACTATTTATGAATAAAAATGTTAATTTGAGATTGTTTGTGAAAGAATTATGATAATTATAAGAATATGTAGAACAAATGAAGTCAATTGAGTACATAAATATTAAAAAGAAGAAGTTTAAAAACGGTAAATTAAGCATTAACGAACGACCTTAAGAGTGAATTGATATCCAAAAATAAATTATGATGATTGAATGAATTGAAAATTTTTGAATTACTTAAGAATACATGTACTCAATCTATTAACCTATTGCTGAACTTTAGATTTAAGGCATTATAAGTGAGAATTCTAATCCTCCTTGGTTTTAATATGTTGATAGATAACAACACAATAATTTGCAATAGTTAAAATTTCTAAAGGAAATGAATTTCAAGATTGACAAGAAAACTGCTTTAGTTTTGGGTCAAGAAAAGAGTGGATTGCTTATTGAATGCATTCAGCTTATAGATAATTAAGTTTAGATCCTTAATATAAAGTTGCTAGGTCTTTAAATGTGCAGATATCAATGTAATATTTGTTCAGAAATATATCTAATAATGGTGTTGATATTAAAATAAAATTATTAAAATTGTTTATATATATCATGCATTCTTATAATATCTATTAAATGCTGGTGAATAAATTAATTTAAAGAATATAACAGCAATTATGGCTCCAGCAAAAGGTCCGGCTATGAATACCCACATTGAATCTAATCTTTCTAATTCATTAGTCTTTAACACCTAAAATAATTCCAAGGCCACTGCCATTCCAGGGTTCAAACAACCTATAAAATTAAGCCTTTTTAATACCTCCAGAATGGGAAGTGAAACATCTTGACAAATGCAATGACAGAGTAATAAGAGTAATACTAGCAATTGGTTTATCAGAGAAAGTTGTTTTAGGATTGCCTTTCGATTATATACAGATTTTACATTAAATTAATATCATTAGAATGAAAGAGAAGGATCCAAGAGCTTCACCACATAAATCAGCAATTATCCAATGAAAGTTCAAATCAGTCACCATAGGACTATTGATTTATCCCAAAACCATATAACAAAAGAATCCACCACCAAATGCACCAATCAGTTAAGCAATCCAATATAATAGACAAGTACCAGTTGATATTTATCTAGTTAACCACATTGCTAATGTCACCTATTTATTACATCTAAATTACTGCTGGATTTATATGTCCACCACTAATTGGTGCACATAAAGCTAAAGACCCAAAAAATGCTAACGCTATCTTACCCCCATTTCCTTCTGAGCACACAATCCTAAATTCTAACATTTTCTTACCCATAGGCAAATAAAGCCATCGATATCATCTCAATTAATGCCCCATTAAACTTCTAAGCGTGTCTTTAAGAAAATGTCAATTGTTTTTCTTCCATTTTAGTCTTTTAATTTTCTAATAAATTTATTTATATAAATATGAAGAATATGTATTATCATTCAATTAATACATTGCAAATTCTTTTTCTAGTTATATGTCTTATCCACATTCCAACTCATCATCCTTGCTTTATTCTATACTCTTTTTACTTGAAAAATTGAATGAAACTCACTTTGATTACATCATAAAAATCCTTATTCTTTTTTTTAAGAAAATCTTATAGAAAAGGATAGTCCACTTTTTAATGATGATATCTGAATTTATAGTAGAGTTTTAGTTAATTGATCATGTTCAGATACATGCTTATATTTTAAGAATTAGAATTCAAAAGTAATCTTTTTTGAAGATAAATTAAATCTGCAATTTTGTTTCTGTTGTCATCTAAAAGGTATTTCAATAGATCTAACATTCCTTAAATAATAGAATTATATCAAAAATTAATATAATTCTATGCAAACATTTTTAACATCTTTATTTATGTAAATTAAAGTCTCAAAACCTGCATTTATTATTTTAATATGAAATAAAAATTAATTATGGGATTGACCTATTCTGTTATTTACATATGCTGGTGCAGGCATGTTTCAAAAATGTGGGTAAATGATTTAATCTATTAAGCTTGAAAATGATGTTGTCAAATTTTATTCGAATCATGTCACGCCTTATAGAAATAGATATTAATGAATTTATCGATCTATATGGATAATATATTGAATTAGTGGCTAAATGGTTTAATCCTCATTTTTATTCTATTCATCTTCAAATTATAATCTGTTTTATAAACTTCATCCAGATTTACATAAATTCTAAATTAAATTATGATCAATCACTTCTCCTCATCAGTTGAATTAGCCATTTCTACCTTATCAAAATTTTGGTTTTATTTAAATCAATGAAGTTCTGAGAATTAGTGATTTTTTGAAATTTTTGTATTGATAGAACTATACATATACCAAATCAACTTAATGATTTGTGTGTATTTTCTGAGAAATCAGATGTATTGATTCCTCATATAGACTGCAATCTGATTGATTAATCAAAAAAATTTAAATCTTTTTATTAAAAAAAAATTATTATGGGAAAACTTCACGGTACATTGGCCAAAGCTGGTAAAGTCAGAAAACAAACACCAAAAGTTGAGAAGTAAGTTAGAAGACACAAAATTCCAAAGGGAAGAGCTTATAAAAGAATTTGCTTTAACAGAAGGTTTTTGACTTATCAAATAATTCTTTAGATTTGGAACAGCTGTTGCTGGAACAGGACCTTAATAAAAGAGAAAAGGACCAAATTGGCATGCAGGAAGAAAGGACTTAATTGAAGAGGAAAGAAAGAAATAAGTCGAATAAAGAAGATAAAGAAAGAAGGACGTACCCAAATGATTAATACAATACAGTAAATTATTCAAACAAATAAGATAATTTTAAACAGCAATTAGATATTCTCTTTTCTAATGATTTTTCTACTTTCCTTTATCACTTTTACAATTGCCAAATAATATTAGGTTTTAAATTTGGAAGGCATCATCCATCACAAATATTTAAGTGATTAACTTTGGCTAAAGTCTATAATCAATCATTTCAATTTCTCTTTTAACTTGAAAATTTCAAACATTTATGTATCAGATTATTTTGAGTACTAAATCAGTATTTAGAGTTCAGTACTCATCAATAATATTTCAACAGAGTTTATGTTACAGTAATAATAATCTAATCATTAAATTTCTTAATAAATAGAAAGAATATATACACAAAATCAAAAGATGCTTTCGGAAGACTTTCTCGACCAGCTCGATATATTTTCAATCAAATTATATTCTACTTGTGTTTGCTAATCAAGTTTAGTATGCTGTTCTTTTACAAGTAGTATATCTTTTAGAACTAATGTTTAGATTGAGGTTTTATTCTTGATATCAGATCTCAAAGGACTCGAAGATTGTCTCAGATTTGATTCTAAGCTTGCCTATTAAAATCTTTTTTCTTAGCTCTTTTTAGTAGTTCCATCTATAATTAAATTGCTTTGTCTAGAGGAGGTGCGAATGGTGTTTAGTCTCAAATTTAATGGGACTATATTTTAAGGTCTGGAAAGTGGGTTCAGTTTTAGAATAGAAGGGAATTTATTTACAAACTCGCTTTGGCAGCGCACTCTTTCGTTTTATGCATATTGAATTTGCTTTAACATATTTTAAACTCGAATTTGGAAACTCATGTTATTGAAGGGAGGCTTCTATTTTTAAGCATAAACTTTATGTAATAACCTACATCGGTTATTTTTCTCTTTTTCCATCCTATATAATTATTCATTCATTTTTAAATAATAAATTTATATAATATTAATTGATTCATAATTAAAAAATAAAACTATTAATCTTCATTCTATAAAGCATGCTTTACTTCATCTAATAGTATGTAATCAACTTTTAAAAGGAAGGCTTATCACATTTACACAAATCCTCAAGAATCTTCTCTATTTCATAAAGTTCCCCTTCATTGAATTCATTCTCCCTCTAGAATTCCTATATTTATCTTATTTAATTTCTAAACATTAATTGATCTACGGAAAAGAATTAATCTTATAAAATAATTGAAAATTCCAATTCACTCAATTTGATTTGATCATCAATTTACTATCTAAGTTTAATGGCTTACATTCAAAATTTTAAACTTGTACACATAGTCATAAACTTCATTATTAATTTCTTTAGCTGGTTGTAAATTCTCATTTTTCTAAATGATATCTGAAATTTCAATCTTTTGAATTGCTAATGAAAGTGGAATGTACATATATTCATCTACATTCATATATGGAATAGAACACGATAGCATTATATTGTATTATGATTTTTCAAATTTAAGTGATGGATGCTTAATGTAATAACTCTATTCATTAATATCTTCAATAAGTCCAGTAACCTTGATATTAGTATAAATTTGTTAATTTAACATGGATAAACTAATTATATAATTTTTTACCCAGTGGGAAGCAACTATAATATTCTTTTGTACTACAAATCTAATGTGAAGAAAATCTAATGTAGTTGAAGATTCTCTAAATATGTCTCATTTACCTTAGTTGGATTGCCACAAAAATAAATATATGGGAATATATTAACTTTGTCAATTATCTTTTGATCAAAGTCTTTTGAAAATATCATTACTCTGCATTCTCTAAAATTTTGATTAGTACAATTGTCAAAGGCTTCAAATTCTGCATTTATATCATGTTCATTAACATTTTCTAAAGAGAAATCAAAAAAATAAGTTTGGAATGAATACTATAATAATATAAATGCATTCACCTTCATAATTTCATTTTTTAATCTTGATTACAAAGTGTCATTTGATAGATTGAAAATTATACAAAAATAACATTCATGACATTTAATAAATTGGAAATTTGAGATTTTTAATAATTATATATTAGATAATTTCGAAGCTTCTGAATTTTGAATTAGTTCATATTATATTTATATACTTTCGTTGATGAGGCTATAAAATTTTTGACTTTACTCATCACATAGGTTATCTTTAGTGCATTTAATCGATTAAACTAATTCTCCAAATTTCTGCTCTTTAGTTATAGAGGATGAAAGAGATTTATAATATTACATAAATTAATTATTCTCTTTTTAAATATCATTTCATAAAATGCAAATCGAAAATTAGAGTACTGAAAGAAAAATAAAAACAAATAGCGCTAACGATAGTTAAAAAAGCGTTTCATCCAAAAATAACTTAAATAATTAAGCCTTCTTTAATGTCGAAAATTAAAATTAAAAATTGATTGTAGATTTAACTTTTAAGATAGGGATCATACTTAATTAACTCAAAAGGAATGGAAGTTATCATGCCATAGTTTAAATAGTTAAAGGAATTTGAAGACTTAAGACCTAAAGCAATTAAAAAATAATTATCAGATCCTTTTGAATAGAGAATGAGTTTGTTAAAAAATGAGTTAGAAGATGATCAACCATAAGATCAATTAGGATCCATAATTCATTAACATTCTAATATAAGTGAATCTACATTTATGCATTAACTATTAATTTAAGAATAATTAAAAGAAGTCTCATGCTAATTTTAAAATGACTATTTTGTTCAATTCTTAGAAAAACCAGACAAGGATGATTATAAAAAAAGAGCAGAAATTCTAGCTAAAGTCTATATGAAAAATAATTTACAATAGGAAAGACACAAAGTAGAAGAAGAGTTGAAAATTAATTAAGTATCATTTCAAACTTATATAAGTAATTTACAGAGGAGAATGACGAGTAAGATCGCTCTATGAATATTATTGTCCATAAAAATCTGACTGGTTTCTATTAGAGATAGGATAGCATAGAGTAAGACAATAATGAATAAACTTAAGAAATCATATCAAGAATTGATTAATTATACTTTTAATTATGTTAATCAATAGAATAAAGGATATATGAGCTATATTAAAATGATTAAATAGATGAATGTATTATTTGGAAAGAAAGGAAGGAAAATTTAGAAACAGACATTTCAAATGTTAAAGATAATGGATAACTGTTGTAAATTATTGAGTTATTTAAATTTCACTATAATTTGTGAATGAATATTTCAAATGTATTTTAAATATAAATAGTATTACTCTTAGATAAATTAAATAATTTCAATTCTTACTTTAATCTTCTTATTTCAACAAACAAATCATTTGATATTTAAAAACATTATTGATGACAAAATAGATTATAGACTTAATAATGGAAAAATTAAATACATAAATGATTTATGAGAAATGTAAATCCTTATTAACATTATCATTAATTCTCTATTGTTTTAGAATAATCTAAGTTTCAGGAGTGATTTTATAACACATTTAAATTTAATTAAAATCCTGTCTATGAATAAAACACTCTAGGTAAAAGTTTTGATTGGATAAATCAATAATAACTATGACTTCAAGGCAAACATAAATCGAATCAACATATCCTTATAAAAGTACTCATCAAAAGATGAAATAGATATTTTAGTTTTCCCTGAAATGGCTTTGATCGGGTATACTATTAAAAGAATATAATAGCTACTATTATCCTGATAAAAATGCTATAAAGCCATTTTTAGAATAATATGGCAAAGGACCAACTTATGAATTTTGTAAATAAATTGCTTAAAGATTAAAATGCTATGTGTCTTGTGGATATGCAGAAGTTGATGGAGATAAATTATATAACTCAGCTGTAGTTGTTAATAGAGAAGGGGAGGCTATTCTAAATGTTAGAAAGAAGCATTTATTTGAAACAGATAAGACTTGGGCAGATGAAGGCTAAGAATTTAAGTGCTTAGAATTAAAAACAACAAAAGGTTAAACGATAAAGTTTGCATTTGGCATATGTATGGACATTAATCCATGGGAATTCAAAGACAACAGTAAGTTCGAATTGGCAGATTTCTGTCTGCAGAATAATGTGGATGGTCTAATATTCATGGCTGCTTGGAATGTAATTTATGATTCAATGTATAAAGGATCATGAACCAGATAATAATGACAATAATGGCATTCTAGATTATTGGCTTTGGAGACTCAAACCGATTAGGGATGGCAAATCTAATAATTATCATAAATAATTTCTTTTCGTTTGTTCAGATAAAGTAGGAAAGGATGAGAAGACTCAATATATGGGATCTAGTTGTTTAATCAAGTTGAACCCTGCTAAATTAATACAGGATTTAGATAAAAAGCAAGAAAGCTATTTAATATGCAATGTTTAATTGTGATTATATATATTTTATATATAAATATTATTCATATAATTCAAAATGGAAGAAAAGAAGGAAACTTAAGACCTTGCCTAATTAAAAAAGGAAATGCTTGGAACAGCTATTATCAAAGTAATATTTGTTGTTAAATGAAGGATACAGATATGAGTCCAGATATGCTATCCGAAGTTTAAGACTCGATAGTTTCAGGAATTGAAAATAACTCATCTCCAGTTTTATCAATTGAAGTATAATAATTATCCATATTATCAAAGAATGCATGCAAAACCATTAAAGAAGCACTTGAAAAGAAGTATGGTCCAACTTGGCAAGTGATTATAGGTAATTCATTTTAATAATCAATTCAAGGTGAAGGATATGCTTATGATGTTACAGTATAAAACAATACTAGACTATTTATGTTTTATAATGGTAATTTGGCTTGTCTAGTGTTCAAATCATGATGCATATTTTAAATATCAACCTTATAAAATAACTTGATAAGAAAAGATTATTATTATTTAATGTTTCTATAAAAGAATATCTTCTGTAATTATTAAATCATAGTCTTTTTACTTTGAGTCATCTAACAAACTTGTTTAGATCTAAATTCAACTCAATTATTTTTGTTAAATTCAAGTTAATTAAAAAATCTAATTACAATTATTAGTCTTCTTTCTTAATATTTGCTATACTCTAAAATAGATTACCAGATTTAATTTATAAGATAATTTCTATTTTGATCTATAATATTTATATTATTCATTTAACATATACATATGTTATCAAAATAGATAATTTAATAAGTTGTTAATACATTAAATAACTATAAATCAAAACAAAGAATGTAGAAAATGAATATTCTATTTAAATACAACAATTTTGTGATATATATAGTTAATTATCCTCTCTGTCAGAAGTTGCAAAACATAGTAAGAGAAAACAAACAGATGTTTCGCACTTTTAATTATCAAAAAAATAATGTAATTTTTCCTTTCGTTATCAGCATTTGCATTTAGCTTGAAGTTATCATAATATTTATTCCTGTATTTTGTTATTCATTCTTTGTGGAATCAATCTACTGCTATAATCTTAACAATTTGCTTCTCTGTCTCTTTAGCCTTTCAATATTAAAATTTGTTTGAGCATATTTCTAGGTAATCAAGTTTTCAATGTAAAATTAAACTATTAGATTTAGATTTAATAAGAAAACCTAGTTATATTAACACAATTAGCCTTCGAAATATTCTAATATTGGATATGTTTTAATTCAAAGCATTCTGAAATACTGATAATCTGCAATAATCTCGTTCGTAAAATATGCAGTGATTGATTCACCAAAATGGTGGATACAGTTGATCAAACATTTAATATATGTATAAATATTATTAAATGTAAAAAATTAATGATTGAAGTCACTTTTGATTTTGTCCATCAGAAACAATGATTTATTGAAATTATATTAGATGTTTGCATTTAATTGAAGAAATAATTGTAGTTTTTATGTTTAAAGCGAATTTTCACTTAAGATCTATTGGAATCAAGAGTGGCATTTGATTATTGAATGATTTCAGTAAAAAAATAATAATTAAGTTTGAATATTTACTAGATTAATTTTGAGAAACATTATAAGCGATGAGGTTTAAATAGATTGATTTTTGATCTCTATATATTTTGGAATTCGGAACATTTATTTTTATAATTACTTTAATTAATCTCATGAAATAAAATAAATTTGGAGGAATAGAATTCAACTGTGGAGAGCGCTATCAAATAATAAAATTGATTGGATCAGGTACATATGGTGCAGTAGTCCTTGCTTATGATATAAAGCACAAATCTAGGAAGGTATGAGTGTATAAATAGACATCAGGTTGCCATAAAGAAATTAAATTAAATAGAAGATGTTATAGATGCCAAACGAATTTTGAGGGAAATACTCATTTAAAGGTAGATGGATCATCCTAACATATTAAAAATCTATGATATCTTATTTGACTCTTAAAACTTTGACATTTACATCGTAAGCGAATACTACCCCACTGATTTGGGAAAGGTTGTAGCTGGTCATTAGGAGTTAGGTGTGGAACATGTTTAATTTATAATGTATCAATTATGCAAGGGATTACATTATTTACATTCATCCAATTCTATTCATAGAGATATCAAACCTAGGAACATATTGGCAAATGAAAGATGTGAAGTTTGTTATTGCGATTTTGGTTTTGCGAGGAAATTCGATGAAAATGAAGATTAATAAGGAGAAGAAAACATGACTGAATATGTAGTCACTCGTTTTTACAGAGCCCCTGAAATTATGTTATCAAGTTCTCATTACTCTAAACCTGTTGATGTTTGGGCATTAGGTTGCACATTCGCAGAATTAATGAGCAGAAGAATTCTATTCCATGCACCAAATTACCTTTAGATGATCAAACTAATCTTCGATATCTTGGGCAAACCTTCAGACAAAGAATTAAAGACTTTTGTAACTAATGCAAATGCCTTATCATTCATTGAAAAACTCCCGCACAAAACCCCTTAACCTGCTTCCTTTAGTGTTCCTTATCCTGATGCTAAAGCTAGAGATTTATTAGATAAAATGTTGCAATTAAATCCTTTAAATAGAATTACTATCCAATAAGTAAGAATTAATTAATCTTAGTGTTTAGAACATCCTTTTTTTGATACTATAAGAAACAAAGAAGAAGAAACCACTTTTAATGGACTACTAGAATGCGATTTTGAAAAAGATGACAAGATTACTTTGACTCAAATTTATTGTTTGATTTTTGAAGAAATTAATAAGGTTAAAGTAATGAATATGGAATCAACTATCAATCCAAATCAGGAAATTTAAAAACTAAGGCTCAAGAAAAATATTAAATGACTATTTTAACATGTATACAGTAATTTATCAGAATCAAAGTCTTAATATTATTATTTTATTTTTAAGTGTTTTATATTTATTGAATAAATTTAATGGAACCTCTAATTGAGTGCATAACCAAATGTCAAGAATTTAAAGACTATTTTCAAGATAATTCCACATATTATTTGATATCAATAAAGTAATTCTATGAAAAATACTTAGATGGTTAAACAAATCCAAAATAATTGCTCAAACATTAGACATTAATAAAGTCAATACAATTCCTATTTTAAATTTATATTTGGTGGACGATTATTATTCGAATATTTTATAGTAACTTTTATATAACCTTTAGATATGATGATCCAATATACAATTATTTTTTAAATGAAAAGTTAAAATTAAACATAGATTACTTATGCATACCCCAAGATATATGGGAATCACTAGTGACTGCTCTTCAAAATTTAAATAAAATTCCCTTAGAATACTACACATTTAAGACTTTATTTAAAGATGGAACTTTTATAAATAAAAATCTTAAAATTCAATTAATTCCTTTATATGAAGGAGTTACTAATATAATCGAAGGAGTCTAATGTTTCTCCAGAGATTGGACGATATAAGATACAATTTAAAATTTTGAAAATCTCTTAAACTAACAATTAACAATTTAAGTGCCTCCTAAAAATTTTATTAAATTTTACACCTTGAAGAACTTACCATAAGATTTTAAATAATTAATTAAATGGTTTCACGAGAATCAATTGGTTGTAGAAGAATTTAAATAAGACAATCATTAGTTAAATAATGGATAATTTTTAATCTTAGACATTCAAGTATTAAATAAGAATTTTTATTTTAAATAAGACAATAATCATTTGGATTAGAGAATTCAGACTAATTTTGAAGAGACTGAAATTTCCAAAAAGGGATTTTCAGTTTATGAGTCATAATAATCATTACTTAGTTGCTTATTGAAAAATTATGAGTGTAGTAATAAGATAAGGAACTTTATTAAGAATAATTTTTAGAATTATTTTAACTTAAATGAAATAATTTAGGAATCATATTATGGATGTTAGGCTGTTTTATGTTATGAATCAAAAGACATTGAATTACTAAAGGAGCACTCCATTACAATCACTGAAAGTAGATATGACACTGTCTATGTGAATGGAAAACCATAAAAAGTCAATTTTGATCATAAAACAACAGTGAAGCAATTAGCTGAGAAATTTTTATCATAAAGTGATTTTTTATTTGAATGTAGTAATAATAATTACACAGAAACAAGTATTATATTGTATAATTTTAGTAAATCCTGATATGCCCCTATATCAACTTCCTAAAAATTACATATATAATTTAAGTAGACGTCAAAAAAGTGAAGAAGAATTAGAAATAACAATTAATAGATGTTTTGTTGAAAAAGTGGGAATACTAAAGTCATATAGAAATTTCGATGCTATTAGAAAAATATACATAAATAAACAATCTAAATTTTTTGATTTGCATTTAGAAATTGCAAATCTTTTTGAGGAGACAAATTTCACCGATTATAAAGAAAAGATTTTTAATTAAAAGTATGAATTGATATTTTAAACTAATCAATAAGGAAATGAGAGATGTTCATTTTGTGATCTAAAATTATGTAATAACTGTATTGTTAAATTTATTGATCAAAAATTGATTCTAAAAGTGAATAAGGTTGTAGTCTATGCAATATACAATGAACCAATATAAATAGAGAGGGAAAAACCAGAGATTATTAAGAATTACAATTTAGAAGATTACTTTGATTTCGAAAAAACTGAAGAAGAAGAATTTCTAATATTAGATATCAATCAAGATCAGATTAATACATATTAGCTGTCTTATCCATAATCAATTCATAAATATTAATTATTTGGTTTGATAGAGAAGATTGATCGTTCAAATTATCAAAGTTATTGCAAGATTTAAGAGAAATGGATTCTATTTAATAATGAAGGATTTAAATAATTAGATGAAATTGTTTAGAATTTAAAGGTCGTAAAATTATTCTATGAAAAAATAAATTGACATATTTAATGTATGTATCTTTAAGTATTAGAATAAGGATAATATTGGGTCTTCAATTATTAGCTATATATTAAATTAGGAAGAATAAATAATTCTAATTTTATAATTTATTCTGAATAATTAATTAAGTAAATTAAAATAAATTTGATTTCAATGTTCAAAAACATGAATTGCAGAATGAGATATGCATTGATCCTTGAACTTAGCATCAAATTCTTGTAATCTCAACAATTTTTATTCTAAAGTGGGATAATTTTTCATGTTTTCTTCAATGTCATCAAAGTCAACTGTATCAATTTGTTTTAAAACTTCAATATGAGGTTGACTTAATATGATTTTTTGAGGTTAAGATTTTATAGGAATTGCTTCTTGGTAAGAAGGAATATATTTAACTATATTAGAAGATTGAGAACCTAAACTAAATCGAATCAGTACCCATATAAGATTATTTTTTTGTGCCTTATCTTTGTTGATCATTTAAACCATTCGGAACAGCTAAGAAAGAACTTTATTATTTAGGTTCTCCGGACTTCTCTTGTATTTTATCAGTCCATTCGAATTAATTATCATAAGTATTTGCATCTGAACATTGTCTCATAATTTTCTTTAATAAATCATAATCAGGCTTGTCTTAATACTTAAGCCCTTTTAAATAACTAGTTAAGATGATCACTTTACTTCAGATATTCTGAGAAAGCTGGAGGCAAATCTTTACAGAGTTACGAGATTGTAGTTTGCATCTTGACTTCTCCAACAACAATCGTTCTATCTTTATCCCCAATATTCTATAGATTTTGCCATGGTAATTTGCTAATAAATCTAATTAACATGTTTACCCCAATATAAGATATATAATAACATACATAAGAGATTCTAGATCATCTTTTCTGCCGATTTCATATCCTCTATGCGCAGCAATGGAGGCATATCGAGTTGTTCCAATAAATGACTTTTTATCTCGAAAAGGTCTAAGTTTATTATTGTTAACATTTACATATGCTTTCCTTGATCGAAAATCTATTTAGAAACTCCAAAATCAACTAAAAATGCTTGTGCTGAATTGATTTTACCCATCATTATATTTTCAGGTTTTAAATCTCTATGAACAATTCCTTTGTTGTGTACAAAACTAAATATTGTTATTAGCTATTCCAATAATTGTAAACCAGTTTTCAAAGATAATTGCTTGTAATGTTTTATATAATATCCTAAGTCTTTGCCAAGGATTTCGATGACCATAACATTATAGTTTTACTCACTCCCGAACCAGTAAAGTTTAGTAATGCCTTAGATGCCTTACAATTTAGTGAGCAAGTAAACTTCTCTATCTAATGTTTCTTATTCTCCTTTTTCCAATTTCACAGCCACTTCTTCGCGTGTAACTTTATGAATTGCCAAATAAACAATTCCAAAAGACCCAGAACTCAATTTTTATTTGATGATGTATTTGTTATCAAATATTTTAGGCTCCAAATAACTACTAGGTAATTTTTTCATTAATAATTTTATGCATTCTGGATCATTTATAGCAAACACTCCAATTTCTGAATTGGATGACTTTCGTAAGGAAGTACGTGGCAAAATTAACAGTAAATTTGATTAACCTAAACAAATACTCTACTAAGCCAAAAAATCAAATCTGGAATAACTCTAATAAATCTTGAGATCAAGCATATCTCCCAAATCACCAAAAAATAATGCGCTTCATTAATCTTAGAATCCATCTCCTCAAATACGTAAATCTCCAGGTAGACTATCATTTCAAAGATCCAGTCTTGACTTGAGTAAACCAACTTAAAAGTAATCTATAATTACTATGCAGTATTTTATATCCCAAAAAACAATTGCAAGATATATTGCCACTGAATAAGATCATAGAATTGCAGAGAGCCATCAAAAATTACAACCATCCTACTAATAGTAGGTAAATGCTTTTATTTTATATTAGTTATTTTCTTGAACTCAAAAAACTTGCTAAAGTCGTCTTACGAGAAACTCAAGGATGATAATATTTATACAATAATCCCTCTTTTTATGATTTTCATAATTTTATTAATTTAACAGTAAAATGCACACTCAAACAAATTAATTATCTCTCTAAATCTAAGTACTCATCTTACACTCCTTAACATTCAAATTATGCCATCATCAATTTCAAATTAAAAAATACCATATTTGACAGATTTCATCCAAAACAGATATACCATTTATCTTTAAATTACTGAAACCATTCAAAACACTGTCAGAATAGTCGATATATACAATACACTATCAAAGATTTTTAATAAATTATTGGGAATCTCGAATATTAAACCAAATTTATCATCAATAACGAGACATTCTTTGATCAAAGAATGAAACCCAGTCATTAATAAGACGAGAATAAATTAAATAGTTATAAAAATAGAATAATCTTAGGCATTTTTTTATAATTAATAATATTAAAAATCTAGAGTAATTGATATCATCCTCTAAGTAAATTAATAATAATTGAGAAATAGTGATTATATAATTAAATTAGCAAGATCTCAAATAGATATCAAGAATATTAAAATTTGTTGATTTTCAATTATTAATAATTTTATATGGGGTTAGGATCGATATTCGGAAATTGAAGAATTAAAGACATAAAATAGTTATTAAAAAGTAATTCAAGTTTGAAATGATGAAAAAGAAGTTAATTAAGATAATACTATGAAAATTAATATCTTAACATAATACTCAAATTGTAATTATCATTCTTATTATTATTCTAAGGATATCGATTCTTAATCTATCTATTCTTCTTAATTTTAATTTGAATCAATTATTTAATCCTATTTTCTTAGTTATTATTACTCCTCTTAGTTTTCTTACTGAGATAATTTGTCTTCCTATAAATTATCTTATTGTGATGTCCTATCATTATGTTATTATTCATAAATTACAACCTACTTTTCTATCAATTTTTAGTTGAACGATTCTATTGTTTATTTTTATTTCTGCTCTGATTGCATAAAGGTTATTATTGTGTTTTTCTTTTATTAATTGTTTTTTTCTTTAAGTTAAGCAGCCTAATCATTTACCTTTACATCTTCTGCAGATTTATCAGTTTAATATTTATTAGTATCCAAATATTTTGGATTTTATAATAAGATTCTTTTAATCAATTAAGTTCTTTCAATATTGTCTTTGCCAGGTGCTACAAATTTGATTTCTGAGTGTTTCTCATATCCTAAAATACAAATTTCTAAAAAATCCATAAAAAGCATTGGAGCAACTACTTTGAATTAATCATATTAATAAAAATCTGAATTTGGCTGTACACCATCAGATCTAGATTTCCATTTAATTTCAAATAAGCAATCTTCTTAAGTTAAGATTAAATGAACACTATCAATTTCATCTCCGATTTATGGATAAGCATTGCAGTATTTTTAAGTCATTTCCTTCTGTTTATTAAAAAGGAGTTCTTCTGAACAATTAGGATGCTTATAACTCTATTATTACGGTCTAATAGGTATCCCTTATTTTGCTTATTTATAATTTTAATTTGAAATTAATTCTTATTCGTTGACTGATAAATTTTAAATACAATTTCTGATGTTTTCTTCGAATTCCCAAGTTGGCTCATCATTATCCTTCCATTTTACTAAATATTATAATTAATTATTATTATTTCTCTTTTGTAATATCTTTTCTGGAGATCTTTGATTCAATTATTTTGTATCCTTTTTTCCACTTGGCTTCATTTGTTGTTTTAATAATATTTAATATGCGATGATAATCAAATTTGAATTCAATAAGTCCCAAAAATTTGCATCCAAATATATATATAATCAATATAAATTTATATAATGAATATAACAAAATAAAAACTAGAATCTTTATTTGATCTCTCAATCATCATAGAGAAAATTAAAATTTTGGATGAACAACAATCAAATATGTTTCATTTAACCAAAAGACCTAATTATCAATTTCAAAAGTAATCAAATACATAATTTATTCCTCACATTATTAATGATTTCGAGATTAAAAGAAAGTTTAAGGAAATCTAAAATGATTCTTTTTAATCCTGGAAAACCCCAATCATTAGAATTAACTAAAGCGTATGTTAAAAGCGTCCTTCATAATTTTCAAAAGTCAGTCCATCTCCAAAACCTCTAGAAATGTAGACAGAAAAGAAAATCAATTCAACCACGATAATGATCTAATAAAATAAAAATATAAGGACTAGAAGTACAGAATACAGAATGAAGCTCAGGAAAACAGTATTGAATGATAAATTTATTAGGAAACAAAAGATATCGAAGCTTAATTTCTCGAAACCAGAAATTTAATAAATAGATTCAATAGAATCAAAAAAAAAGCAGTAAGATTTAATATTCTAACTTGATTTTATCAAAATAACTACTTCATTCTTAATATTTCTTCAAATATGTTATACAGTTATTCTTTATTTTATAATCATTATTAATTAAATACAATTAATTACATAAAAGATTGAACCAATTTTACATTCTAATAACCATATTCTTTCTTTTTTTAAGTGGATACCATTCTTTTTTTGATATTATAATTTCTAGTTTTTAATAATCATAGATGTCTAGTCTGAAAATCGTAAGATTGTACTTTATAGAATTCTATATTCTTTAAAGCTTGACCTTAAAATTGATTCTACGATAATTCTACAAGTTAATTTAGATTTTCCTACCTTGTTAAATAATTTGCTGTATTGAATCTAAGTTTATTATCATAATTATTCCAAAATTTGCTATGTAAATAAAGCTTAGAAATTATCATTATAATGGGAGTATATTTGATTGCAAAATACCTCAATTTAAGATTCGAAAATCGAACTAAGTTTAGAAAAAACTAAAAACATCTCCTTAAAAACATTATTACGAAAAATCTGCAGAATCTTCATTCATTAAAACAAATGAAAATGAAAAAATCAAAATAATAAACCTGAGCTTGGATGTGCAAAATTAAAATTATTCATACAAAAAGCCAATTCTATAGAGTTGTAGTATTAATGAGGAAGTTTTTATCAATCCCTAAAAGCCTCTCAAAATAATTCATAGATTTATTCCATAGTAGTTTAAAGACCAAGAAAAAATGTTATTGTTAGATCGCATCATGATTGGCTAGCAGTTTAGAAGGTTTTCTGAAAGATTAAATGATTCGCACAGAAGCAAAGCCAACTCTTTTTTAAAATAATAATAATCAAAACCAATTTCAAAAGACTTAGATATTAAACCTAAGGGTTGGACTAATAGTAGTTCTCAAAGTCTCTTATGAATATATAATAATATATTTCCATATCATCTTAATTGCTCACACTTTTATTAACTTATAATTTATTTGATTTAATAATCAGTACTTATCTTTGTCTTTGTTTCAAATATTAAATTTATTAAATAATATATTTTAAGTTTAACTAAACAAATTTAATCGATTGAGAATCGTGTCAATTATGAATGGTTTTAATAGGCCTTTGTATAAATTTTACAATTTCATATAAACATTTTGATATAAATCATCAATCAAAATAAACCTAATCTTTTATTGACTCTCTAGGCTTTCTTTGTAGGCAGTGAATTTCGGTTCTTCATAATTTTAAATTTATACTTTAATCCATGGATGCTCTAAAGCTGATTGTAAAGTAATTCTTTCTTCAGGTTCTTTTATTAATAATTTCTTTATTAAATCTTTTGCATCCTCTGAAATCTATTGCCAAAACTCTTCTTGGAGATCATATTTGCATTCAATGATATTTTTTATAATATCCTCTGGAAATTCAGAATCAAAGGGTAAGTACCCTAATTTAATTGAAATTTTTGAATTACCTGAAAGTAAAAAGTATAGGATAACTCCTAAGGCAAAATTGTCAACTTTAAAATCTATTTTCTTTTATTCTAAACTTTCAGGTGCTAAATAATTAGTCGTTCCGCAAAGAGCTTCTCCTTCTTTAGTTTAGATATTTGTCAAAAAGTTGGCAAAACCAAAATCAATAATTTTTACTTATTTAACATTTTTTTTTGTAGTATCCAATACAATCATAATATTTTCTGGTTTTAAATCTCTATGTACAATGCCAACACTGTGAACATAATTTAGAGTATCAAAAAGCTAACTCATTATTAAGGATGCCTCTTGCTCATTAATGTTTTCATTTTTAATTATGTAATCAAATAAATCTCCATCTCTTACGACTTCAGTTATGATGTTTAAATGAGTTTTTGTTTCAATAATTTCATGGAAACGGACAATGCAAGAGTGATTAAGCAATTTCATGATTTCTACCTCATGACTACAACTAAATACTAAAATTACGCAAGCATTAATTTTTCAGATTTTGATAATTTAAACTTTTCAATAATTTTGATAGCTAATGTTTGTCTATCCTTTTTGCATTCACAAAGATAAACTATCGAAAATTTGCCTTCTCCAATCTTCTAAAGAATAGAATAATAATCATTAACAGAAGCTCTAAAAGATAGAAAAATTAAATACTTTTGAAACATTTATAAACTGTTTGTCCATCTTTTATAATCTTCGAAATCTTGACACATATATGTTCTAGTTGAATACAATTTATCTTTATGAGACACTTCAAATCCATATTATTACTCCTAGTTGTTAACTTTCTCCTGTATTGTCAATCCATCAAGGCAAAATATCTCTAAAGATTAATCAGCATTGCATACTTGAAGGTAAAGTGGATTCTTTTTTCTTAAAAGATAGACAGAATCTCTGCATTAACTTAAAGTATCTGGTGTTAGTAATCTTAGGATTTTTCTTGCTGATTTTTTTGACTTCTCCTTCAAGATCCTTTGGTGCCATCATCAAACGAGGAACTGAAGAATTAGCATCACAGCCCCAAACATCAAAATTAAAGGCTTTGTAAAGACCTTCAAATATTTTTGGATGCAGTTTTACAAAAGATTTGAAATCCTCAAGTGATAAACTAAATTAAGAAACATTAATACCCCTAATCATTTTTGGCTTTATGCTTGTAAATCATATTCACATACTTATGAACTAGGTAATTAATATTGACCCTTTTTAATTCAACCAATTTTCCATTAATATTGAAAGTGATATTTTAACCAAACTATCCCATCGGAACACCAGTTGGTCCAATCATACTCTCATTCGGAAACATCATAACAACACTTTATTCATTGAAAGCAGGCAAATTAGTTTAAGATCCATGTATAGATTCACCTGATTTAGCCCCTTAGATTGATTATATTTCTCCACTTAAAGAACTTCTTCTTTGAATTGCCTGCACTATTCTAAAGATAATTTTATTACCTGATTCTGTAAACTCTTGTTCATCAGCTCGCTTTGGTTATAATTTTTTTTAGTTGATCATCTCCTTTGTCTCATAATACTTTAGAATTTTTAGATCATCCAAAAACATAGGGTCATCAAGCAATTTGATCAAATCCTCTCTAGGGTAGTTTTATATCTAATTGTTAAATTTTAATGTGTTACCATTTGCAGAAACTCACCTTTTCTAATCAATCCTTGTTTATCTAGATCATATAGTTTAAAAAGATGTTGAATTTTTTGATCCTCATCACATTTTATGTAATGAACAACTCCTTTTAAAAATTGCTCAAAATTCAATAGACTATGGTTTTCTTAGTTAAAATATTCAAAAACAAGTTCACCCCACAACCCAATCATTGTGAAGAAATCTGTAAAGGCTGTCTTGTTGACTAAGTTTTCGACATTTCGTGATGCCAAGTCTTAATATATTAGATATAGTAAATCAATTTCAATAGCATTAACTAACTTAGGATTAATAATACATTGCTATTCTAATGTTTTTGGTATAATGTAAGGCTTTTTATTTCTTTTTTATGGCTTTCCTCCGCACCCACCCATGGAATAATAATTATTTAATTTTATATATTACAATTACCATTTTAATTAAAACCAAGATACAAATTGAAATAAACAAAGTAATTGTAATTACAATGAATCAAAATAATATCAGAGTAGTTTTAAATAGTGATATTTCAATTAGTTCATCACTATATTAGGAATTGATACCTGATTTAACAATAAACAAAATAAAATATCAAGTATTATTGAATTTATTAGAATAAAATTTATTTGATAAAAAGTTGATAAGAATATAAGAAAATAATTTTAAAATTATATTATATTCTAATTCATAGACAAACTTTCTTTTTTTGGATCTCTATTTTTGTTTCATAAAACTCCAGTAGATTTTATTATTTACCCAATTCAATTTATTCCTATTATTATAATCAAGAGAATGAATTACATCATTTTGACAACAAACTTCTGAGTCACTTTCATCCGACGATATGTCAAAATATTATTTCATTTACATCTAATCTGAGGATGAAACCCTTGGAAACATTGAATACTTCTCTGCATATATAGTATTTAAATCATTTGCATTGATTTTTATCCAATTCTTATCTATTTAAGCACTAACAACAACTTGTATGACATTATTTTATAATTGACTCAAATTATTACTAAAGAATCCAATATCAAGTTCACTGTAATTGGAATACTTCATCTTTAACAATAAGACTTATTGATTCTAGTGCGAATTCAAACTTTCAACTAAGCATTATTATATTCTAACAAGTAATTGTTCTAAACTCAATTGAGAAGAATATTGATTCGAATTATAATATAGATCAAAGACTGATCTAAATTTTAGGGCTAGAAAGTAAGGGTGCCTACACTTATTTCTAATATTTTAAGCCATTAAATAGTTGTTAATTCCTTCAAGAGTATCTTCTATTTTTAATATTTTCGATTTATCAGATCTAACAATAAGTTATTTTTTGAGAGTGAAAGGATGAAAAGGCTGAATCAATGACATTATTTTCTAATAATCAAATCTCTTGGTATTTCTGGCAGCTTTCCTTGAATCGACAAAAATCGGAGGAGAGATGACTGATTTAATTGTTATTTCGGTTGAGAAGATGTCATCTCGCCTATAGATCTCAATTATGACATGAAAATGGACACCCTAAAAATATGGATAAGTAAAAACTTCCAGCTTATACGAAGTTGAACTGAACTTAATATTTTCGAATTAAAAGCCTTGGATGTCTTCAGTATATAGTTTTTCTGTATTTCCTTCTAGTTCAACTTGTCGAATTGTAGATACATCCTCAACATAGCCACAAATCAATCTGCATCTTAAGCCTTTAGTATATAATTTATAACTATTTAGAATGGGTTTAACAATGATTTCTGGAAGTTTCCAGCTTTTGTGCCAATTCCACCCTATACGTTTTGAGAAATTGAAAGATTTCTACATTTGTATATTGAATTGGAGTGATTCTTCAACAACTTTACAATCTTACATCATTTTATAGTTGGTTTCAAGAAGACGATAGGATTCTAGTTAGTTAGTTTGAGAGTGGAGAGTTACTTGACATTCAATCCACTTCCAATTATTAAGTTTTTATTTAAGTTGTAGGAATCTATTTTTCATATCTAAAAATAATGTAATTAATTAATCATTTAAAATGCTTTTTTTTACTCCAAGCTGCAAATTCTTTTTTATGGTTCTTTTCAAAATGCTATACTAACGTTTATTCCTTCAATATCTATCCATCGAACTTACACTTGAATTTGTTACCTTAGAGTATAATTAAGATGTATTACTATCAGTATCCTTAATGCTATCTTCTATAAACATAGGCATCATAAACAAATTTTCAGTTTATGTGAAATCATCATCACTATCTGGTTGCAATTCATCCTCATCATCATTATTATCATCATCTTCATCGTCATCTACATCCTTCCAATCATCATCTTCATCAATTTCTTCTTCAGTTTCCCATTCATCTTCTTCTTCTTTTTTTTGTGGCTTCTTTTATGGTTAAGCCTATTTAAAAACAAACTAAGTTGGTATTTTAAATTTATGCTTCCCTCTTCCTGCTCTACCAACATTAGTAAACATTTTGACGAATGCATCACCCATCATAAAGTTCATCATAGACTCAAAATCTTGGGCAAAAAAATCTTCAAAATCAAAATTCATTTGTTCTTCTCCATCAGCAGTTCCAAATTTGTCATAGTTTGCTCTTTTCTAAGTATCACAAAGAACTATTAATATATTAAAATCGAACCTGTATATGCCTATAAGATCAATTAAAACTACTTTTTTGCTGTCTCTTAATTGTCAGGGTTCTTATCTGGATGCCATTTCTAGCTATATAACTATAATAATTCCTACTAAGGCCAACTTTCTATAGGCACTCTTAATCTCTTCAGTTGTGGCATTTTTCTCCACTCCCAAAACTTGATAATAATCTTGTTTATCCATTAATTAAATAATTTCAATCAAATAAGTATTTTTATTAGCAATATGCATTTGAATATGATATAATATTGAAATATTTCACTCAATAATCTCCATCTCCTATCCGATTTCACTTAATTCTTGTTTTTCAAAATTAAATTCATATTTCCTTAAAGCAGCTAAATATCAATTTTATCATTTTACGTGTGTTATTGGCTGGAAAATGATATGGTATTTATTTCTGATGGGATTTAGCATTAAATTATCTGATATTTCTTCTATAATCAACACCCTCCTTTGTAATTGCAACTACATCAACATTACTACCAGATCTAAAATTATATAATTCCAAAATACCCCATATCATGGAAAATTCCGGCCTCAATTGCCTCGATAGCAAGATCAATTGCTTATTACTTGGTAAGACCATCTTAAAATTTTGCTTCTAGAATTCCCAAAGCTGCAAGAGATCCACTACCCATAGATTAAAATGGATGATAAACATAACTAATAAATAAAGTGCAAATACTTACTTTCCATGAGGAGAGACTGAAGCCAATTATGGTCCATTCGAGTCAATTCCACCAATTATAAGAGCAACACCAATATGACCTCTATAAGGAAAGAGTTTTGTAGTTAATTTAGTAATCACTTCATTAACTCTGCTTTATCTATTCAAATTGAGTCTTTAAAGTTTGAGTTTAGCATTAAAATGAGCACATTAATGATGTAAATCTGCAGCTGTACCAGCTCCTGCAGCCCATATATTTGGAGCCAATGGATGCAATTTCTCACAATTTTTGTCTGCTACTATTGATCCAGCTGTTGCTCTTGTATCTGCTGCCATAACAACGCCACCATCAAATATGACACCAACTATTGTTGTTCCTGTTTTTGTGAATGGTATTTCTTTGAATCCTTAGGCCTTCATCAATTCATTTCTTAGATTGCAATTAATCAATTTCGTACCTCTTGACATTTGTATAGTCATATCCACCTTTGGATTGCAAATAATTGTCTAAGTATTGCATTTTTATTTAATTTAAATTTAATTATCATTCAGATTGGGATAATGGATGCTCAATTTAAAAAAATATTAGATTCTAATTACAAATTATAATGTATTGTAAAAAATTGCAGTGACTTATTCTATAAAATCCAAATTCATAAAATCTGCTATCGATTAATTGCTCAACTAAACGCTCAATTAGATAATGATGAAAATGGATTTATCTAACAGTCGCTTCAATCTATTGCCATCAGGAAAAACAATATTGACATTTTAGATAGAAGGAATATTCTCTGCATTGTAATTGATGTGTATTTGTGCATGTCAAATATCATAGTGAATTCATGATTATGATGAAGAAACTTAATGAATATATTAATAAGATTGTAATTGTTATCATAAAAACAATAGTATTGGAAATTGGACATTTCGTACTACTTTTAGAAGCTGTAAATGATTGAAGGTAATCAAATTAATTATTTATATGCTCAACAGAAATTTAAATTAATAAATTTAATGAAGATAATCTTTATTTAATGGAATTAAAACAATTGATTAAGCCGTAAGATAACTATTGACACCTAGATTTTATTGTACAGATTGGATGTTGACAATTATCATTTTAATAATAATGATTATTTTTAATCATTATTACTAAAACATTTTCCTGATCATAAACTTCCTTTTATAATCAAATGTTGTTTAATATATTTTCAATATAATAAAAGAATTTCCAACGTTAGCGCTCTATTTCTTTTTAAGATTTAATCTCATTTGATACAATCAAATACTTGAAAATTAAGAAGAGACTTAAAATAGATGATTCAATTCATAAGTATTAATGCAAAATTATTAACACCTAAATCCTGCACATCAATTATTTATAAAGAGGAACTTAAAGTTGATATCAAAATATATCGAACTTCTGTAAAAGGAATGGATTTCATTTTATTATAATATTAGATTCCATATAAATTTAATTAATGATCATTGCAATACTCTTTTTCAACACAGTTTTTGCATTTCCTAAATACAAGTAAAATCTATTTGTGACCAAACCGGATTCTCTCAAAAATTTAGCCTATTAATTGTCAATCGCTTCTGATTTGTAAGTTGAGGTGGATTTAGACCAAGTATGTAAATTTATTCTAATAAGGTTTGTACTTGGTTAAAAGAATACACTTTAACAACGGCTCAAGATGCTTATTTTGCAAAGCTTGCATCATCATTTTTGGAAGAATGTCAGGCAGACTATAATATTGACTTTCCAAAAATTGATTTAGATGATTTTGAATCAATTTACTATAATTCACTTTTTAACGGGTTATGTCCAAAACTTGAATAATTTATCACTTCAGGAGGTGCAGCCAAACCTTAGCTTAAAAAATAAGATGATTCTTATAAAACAGCAGCTCAAGCATATCACCTTTCCACTTTTTGCAATCACAGCAATGTTCATTAAGCAATTTAAGAAGCCATATTTAATTTCTAAGAAATATACGAAGGAGTCTCAGCAGTTTTGGATAGAGATAATTCAGCTGCAGTAACTGCTTAAATATTATTCTCTTTTTTTACTTTCAACATCACCAATCTTCATCCAAAACTTTAAGACCTCCTTCAAAATTAAATCTATTAATAAACAATCATTAACTTTCTTTTCTAAAGAACTTTAGTCCTAGGATCTATTGAGGAGTAATATTGGATTACCAAATTATTCTAATTGAATTAAGTTAATTCAATAATCTATCCTATTTTCTAAGACCATTACTAGCTAAACAAAGGGAAAACATAAATTAATGTGAAATTCGTCAATTTTAAAGGGGAGAAAGTTTCCCCAACCGAAGTTTATGCTCTAATCAACAATTAAAAAGAGCATTACACCTACACACCAATTAAATCTAAAGAATTTAGTGGTTATTTTGAAATTTCAGCAGTTGGCTCTGTTCCTTTCGAATTGCATTTTCCTCATTATATTGTAAGATTTCCAATTTATGATTTAAGCTAAAATACACTATTAAAGTATTACAAGAAGTTGAGATTGAAGAAGTTATATTTGATATTGTTGATAGCAAGACTTCTAAACCAAACTTCCATCATAGTGTTGAAAATGGAGAGGTTTATCCTGTGATTCTTAGTGCAAATGAAAAAAGCTTCCTTCATATAATCATTAAAGTAAGTAATTTATTCAAGTAGACTAAAAATTAAATTAAACAATAAGTTGCCATCAGATTAATTCATCCTTAATATCCCTCTGCTTCTACATAAGTTTTTGCTGAGTATGATACAAAAAAAAAGATCTATTATGGTATTATTGACTTTGGAGACCCTGACCATATTACACCTCTTAATGCAATCTATTCAGTGGAATTACTCATAGCTGATTCTAACGTTGTACCTAAAAGATGGAGTTTTGCCAAAATAGATACTAAGTTTTAAGCTTAAACAACGTTCTAAAATGACAGTACCTATAAATTGTCTTAGGAAATTGTACATTAATTCAATCAGGAATAACCAGATGTTCCTTTCCTTGTATTTCTCATTTAATATCCTAGTTTGTTGCTTTCTTTGTTTTTATCATCGTACTTGCATTCCTATATTTCCTAATAGTGCTTTCAAATTTGAACTTAAGTTTTGAAAGATTGCCAAAGGATAATTCAACTATAGTTTATTTGTTTTTAGCTCTAGTCATAGGGTTATTTTTTGTGTTAACACTATTTTGGATTTCATTAAATTTGATTGAAACAATCGCAGTTTTAGGAATCTTAAGCATTCCATTAGTAGTAGTTGGAAACTATGCACTTTTAGCATTAAGAAAATCAGAAAAGTTAGATTGACCAATAATTTTTATATAATACAATGTGTATTTTAATTATTTTGTTATGCTATAAAATCAACTTTATTTTTTTTAGTTATTAGGTCTTGGAACTTCTAATGGATGAGAGTTATATCTGATTTTTGGTTATTCGTTATCCTGAATTTATTGAACTTATTAAAGTTATTATTGGGGTATTGTGATATTTTATTAGTTCTATAAAATAGTCGACGATTGATTGTTTGCATTTTATGGAGTAAATACCTTTTATAATATAGATTATTATTATGATTAAGTGTAAATTGTTGTATAAGATTATTATTATTATTATTATTATTATTATTATTATTATTATTATTATTATTATTATTATTATTATTATTATTATTATTATTATTATTATTATTATTATTATTATTATTATTATTATTATTATTATTATTATTATTATTATTATTATTATTATTATTATTATTATTATTATTATTATTATTATTATTATTATTATTATTATTATTATTATTATTATTATTATTATTATTATTATTATTATTATTATTATTATTATTATTATTATTATTATTATTATTATTATTATTATTATTATTATTATTATTATTATTATTATTATTATTATTATTATTATTATTATTATTATTATTATTATTATTATTATTATTATTATTATTATTATTATTATTATTATTATTATTATTATTATTATTATTATTATTATTATTATTATTATTATTATTATTATTATTATTATTATTATTATTATTATTATTATTATTATTATTATTATTATTATTATTATTATTATTATTATTATTATTATTATTATTATTATTATTATTATTATTATTATTATTATTATTATTATTATTATTATTATTATTATTATTATTATTATTATTATTATTATTATTATTATTATTATTATTATTATTATTATTATTATTATTATTATTATTATTATTATTATTATTATTATTATTATTATTATTATTATTATTATTATTATTATTATTATGATTGTTCTTATTATTATTATTACTGTTGTTGCTATTATTATGAAGAGTTATTCTAATAAGGGGAGACTTAAGGTGATATAGTTTCGCGAGTAGGAGTATCTTATGAGAAATACACTTGGTTTCCTCCAGGCTTTTAAACTGTTAAATTCGATGACAAAGGATTTTTCTTATCAAAAATTACTACTTTTTTTTAACCTAATGGTCCTTAGATGGTGGAAGTCGTTTGTGGTTAGTAGTACAAAGATTATAAAACTGATAATGAGTTTACTTTAGAATTTGGCTCGATTTTACCATCATTTTCTGCAAATTTTAAAAGCTCTTAAGTTTATAATTCAAAAAGCTAGAAAGCTCTCGCATATTTATTCAAAACATTCTTTATTTCCTACTTATCTATTCTATATTGAATTAATTAAATAGTTACTTAAAATTAACCATATTTAAAGTCAGACTTAACAAATTAGAATAAATGACATTTTTATCTTTAAATATTTATTCTTTTGTAAACTGTGTAGAATCTTTCATAGCAGATTTATCTATTTCTGCTTCAATTGTAGTATAGATAACCCCTTCCCATAAATCAATTTATTTCCATATAGACATAGAAATCAAGCTATCTTATAAGAAAAATCTCTTTTCTTTATCATCTATTGTATAGATAGTAGAAATCATAGTAATCAGTCTTTTTACCAATATCAACTCTCCTTCCCTCTAAGATACTTCTAATAATTTTTGAGTAAAGGTAATAATATTTTTGAATCCAAATTAGCTTAATTGGGAACACCTAAGTAAATTTTTAAAATTACCCTGCTTATCTAAATGATTCTAAAATAATGCAACCAAGTTCTCTAAAGAACTTACGCTCTAATTAATCTTCTAAAACATTATGTTCGATTAATGGTATATTTTTCCATCCTTTAATTTGTTATTCTTAAGTACTTTAAATAATATGCTTAATATAACTAAATATCTTTATTAATTATTATTCTCCATATTAATCTTTATATTTATTCACCATAGCTTAGACTCCAGCAGGTTATTTATCTTCATTATTTTTAGATTTATTTTTCTTATTAACTTTGTTGATGAGATTGATGGAAACTTCTTTTAAATCATCAATAAATTGTTGATTCGCTAATAATATATCAATTTCATCAACAACTTCTAATTATTATTATGAAACAGTTTCTCTGTTAACATTTAAACGATGACTTAATGATATTTAATCTGCTATATTTTTTAAAAAAGAAGAATTTTATTGTGAAGTTACCTTGAGATAATTTTCTTTTGTGATTCCAATTTAGCTTGAAGGTCCAGGAGCAAGAGGATCATCTTAAGGATCCAAATATTTTTCAGCTTCTTTGAAAAACTGCTCGCTATCATATTGAAGATTTCTTGTTTTTGATATTTCATAAACTAAAATTTTCATAAGAATGTCCTTTATAAAATGTGAATAAATAGTTACTTTGCTGATTGAAAAAATTTGAGTATGAAAAGATATAAGTTATTAGATTCCATTTTCTAATAAAGTGGTATAAGATTAAACGAAATTATTATAGGTAATGGCAGCTAATCTAAGAGCCGACTCATTCTCTTATTTATAAACTAATTATTGATTTAACCTAACTTAAGCCTTTGATCTAGACTCAAGAGTGCATTCTTTATTCCAGCATTATGCTTCCAAAGTTATGGCAGCTTCTTCATAATCCTTAGAAGCTCTAAAAGTTTTATCTTTCTAGCGATCATATTTATCTAAGGCTACTTTTATGTCCTTATCCAATTTCAAGACCTCCTGGATTAAAGGCTTAAATTGACATTAGATTTATTTAAGATCATTGATAGCTAGTTCAACATCATGCTTGTATGATGAATTAAATTGCTATTTTATCTTAGATTTATTACTTTATAATATTATGCTCTTTGATTTAAATTGATTTTGATTGCCTTCAACAAATCATCGATGTCTCCTCCGCTATTTTACATTTACCCAGTGATTTTTTCAAGGGCTTTGTGGTACTTTTCTTCAGCATCAGAGCGCTCAAATAATTATCCCAATAGGATCTCAGTCACTTTGCTTCTATCGCTGACTCTTCGATATAGAACATCGAAATTTGTAGCTAGTTATTTAATACTCATTTAATTTTAATTAATTCCATTAAATGAATTAAATGTATTAAGATAAAGCAATATTATTAACAGAACTACAACAGTTGAAGTAGAGAAATCTAAAATTGGAATTTGAGCTTAAGGAACTATTCCAATCATATAATACTATGAGATCCAAATCCTCGAGAGATAACATTCATTAACTGGAAGAAGAATTAGATGATTTAAAGTAAATAATTTTGAATAGAAAATGTAGAATTTAACATTAAAACATGAAAGATGGTTTTGATTATAAGTTAGAATTATTGCGTATTCGTTTAGAAAAGGTTAATTAGGAGAATAACTAATTGAAATTAGAAAACTCACAATTAATTTAACAGTAAAATGATCAAATTTAATAAACTCAATCAATGATTTAGATGGCAAAATAGAGTAAAGCCTTATAAATTTCATAAATTGACAATTTCAAGAATTAAGTTCATAAAATAAAAACTGTTGTTGAATAAAAAATAGTTAAGAAATCTAATAAACCATTAATGAATGTTAAAAAATGATCTTTTTATATAATTAAAATTTAATAATCATCGTTAACAAAATGAATTAGTTGATATTGGAGATAATTGATTAAAGAACTATAAAGTTCATCTATGAACACCAGACACACCTATGAATAAATAAAAGATGTTAAAAGTTTGCTTTACAAATTTTTCTATTTGAGATTCACGAAACTACAGGGATCAACCTCCATCAATATTTAAGGAAATAATTATATAATATAAAATATAATATGTAAAATATGATACCAAAAAGAGCAAAAATCTCTAGTTTATATGAAGAGAGTAGAACAATATCTCTTGATGATATGGAAACTCCTTAATTTAACAATACGAGGAGAAGAGTGCTAACCTAAATTGAAGATGATCAACCTAAATTAGTTTTGCCGAAGATTAAGTTAGGAAACAACCACAATAATCCTTAATATATTAATAACAATGAGAAAAAGTTTAAATTAACTGGAGCTAAAGATGCCTTCTTTAGACCAAGATAAATAAATAAGTTACCTCAAATATTCTAAAAGTAAGGATTAAAAAAAAATGAAAATAATCTATCTCATCCTGAAATTAGAGAATTGTATTCCTACAACAATAATAAAGCTTCTGCCTATACTCTCAGTATTCATGATTGATGTTTTGTTATGTTTAGTTCAAAACTAATTATTATAATTATTTTTGGTTATTTAATGTAGTATCAGGAGAATTATCGGAAAGCTCGTGAATTTCTCAACCAAAGATAAAAATAAATCGAATTTAAACCTTATAAATTAAATCAACCTTAAATCACCACTATACGTCAGATCTTAGAAGTGATACGTTCAAAACAAAGAAGCAATAGTTAGTTCAAATATCTAAAACCTGCTGCATAAGAAAAATAAGAAGATAATCATCAACAATAGATGTTTATAACCTCAAATTTGGAACCAAAAGATCACACAAAAGCTCTTGCAGCCAAACTTTTAAGATTAAATAAAATTACTCGAAATAAAACCTAAGTTACACCGATTTCATATACCTGTATGGATAGAATTATTGAACCTTTGAGATAACAAACAGAGATCTAATCTGAATAAAATTCTCCTTTGAGGGTACGAAAAAACATCCCTTGTGTTGAGTACTAATTACCAACCTAATCATCACTTCTAGATAATCAGAAATAAGTAAACAATATCACTGAAAGAAAATTTTATATTCAGAAATCTAGACCTAAAAAAAATGTTAATTCATCGCAAACTAAGAATAAAAGCATACAAAGTTGCTTATCACATCATTAAATTATTTATAAAGAATAGATAAGTCCGAAATTAAAGAGATTGAATAAGACGACTTATTAAGGGGAATAAGTAAAAATTACAAATTCAATTAAAAATGGAAAAATTGAAAAGTAGATTTAATTAATACGATAAGTAAGTGGTTGGACTATCAAGAGTCAAGAGAGTTTTCAAACCTAATTGTGAATTATTGCTTTGTGCTACTATTTATTCTTTTACAAGTTTTATAATAATTATTAAAATGATAAACTTAGTTGAAAATATAAAATCACATACTGAATATTAAGGGAAAGTGGGGATCCTCCTTTTATCTATCCTTAATAGCAGTAAGTGTTTTGATAAGATCAAAATTTATTTCGTGTGTAACTATTGAATCTTAATTATAATTTGGATGTGAAGTTACAAAATCTCTCATCCAAGAAGCAAGTGTTTTAGTAGTGCCATTAACTTTGCTTCTTACAAATTCGATGACTTCATCTTGCAGTATTTTATTTTTTAAATAGACCTGTTCTTCTTTTTATGCACATTGTTATTTGTTGACTACATTTCTATTTTAGTGAATTAGTCCTATGATTCCAATAAAAGTGTTGTCTTATTTACCAAAAAATATTTCTTGTAAGGTTAGTTCTTCTACAGTAGCAGGACCATATTCTTAAAAGTTAGTTCTAAAATAGAATTTTTTATTTAAAATAGCTCCTTTCTCTTTTGATCTTCTCATATTTTCATCAACAAGGGATAAAGGCATGTAAAAGTTAACTGGAATATAGTTCTAAAATAATATTAATAAATTTACTGTAAAGAACAATCGAACAATCATAAGTATCATGATAGACCACGCAGCATTTTCTTCTGCAGTCAATTAAATTTCCATAGTTCTAAATTCTACTCTCCATCCAATTTTTGAATTATAAGAAGGAGGTGGTTTAAATCTGACAGAATTCCAATTACTTGATTAAATGGCTTCAAAATGAGCTGTGTTATCATCAATATGTATTTTATCCTTAAACATCACCATATTATCCCTTAAGAATAGGATTCCCAGATGTTTAAGTAATTTATCATCTAGTTTTATATCCATTTCTTATGCTTTTTCTTTTGTAAATTTCATAATTTCCTCATTAGCTGGAAAATTTAGATCATTGTATTCTTCTAAATTCATTTTATCATTAGAAATGAAATATGAAATTGTTGAATATCTTGATTTAGGTATATAATTTGCATTTTAAGGATTTCTTTCTTTTTCACTTCTACAATCAACTGACATTTCTAAACAATCCCATTTAGTATCCCAATTAGATATTTTTCCTTTATAAATTGGACTACCTGCTGTCAAAGCTGCAAACAAAGGAGCCAAAATTGCTAATTGATCATACAACAATCTTGCATGATCTATATCAATACTCAAATAAGTAGTTTAGAGTGCGCAATTTCCCATTCCAAAACCCATATGATCCATTGTTATATATCTAACAAAATAAAATAATAGATATACCCTGGATTTGGTTCATATTCACTCTCTTCTACATTTGTATTTTAGTCAATAAACAATGGAATTTTGATTTCAACTTTTGACCCTCTTCTTAGTCTAATATTCTAAGCTAAGGTTGAGTATCTTGGGTGAGGATTGATTATTCTATCATCAAAGTATATACTTTAAGAGAAGTAATTACAAATAGGCTCCACCGGTAATTCTTTATACGGAGTTGCTGGTTAGATCAATTTTTCATTTTGAAATTACTTTTCATCTTATTACAAAGTAGGAGTTCCTTCTATGTAGCTTGTCTAACTTCTGATCTTTTCGATCATAGAAGCTGTCAAATCACTCTCAACAGTTGTTGTAAATCTACCAACTCCTAACATTGGATAGACTGGGATAAGAACATATTGATTTCCTTGTGGTAGATAACTTTACAGAGTTTGAATTCTCTTTCTCATATTTATTAAGACTTGATCGAAATTGTAGCACATGCATTAATATGGCTTGTTTGGAGTCAATTCAATCATCCAAGCACCAAATTCTGGTAATATTACAAATGGCAACTTCTTCTAGTGTTCTTCACCCAAACTTTGAAATAAGCCACCTATTTTAATCCATATAATTTTTACTAGTATTAGGGTTCAAAAGTGCTAATTTCTAATCATCATACAATTTTATCACGTGACCTTCAAATTCATCACCCCAGAACAACTACATTTTGGTCTCTACTTATTTCACATTAGGATCTGAGAGATGCTCAAATTAATGTTCGTGTAATTAGAATTTCCCAAAGATTTTTAGCAAGCTCAAAAATTGTACTATTCCTTTTTCTTTAAGCATCTTTTAAAATGCCAGAGATTCATAGTAATCATATGTTACTCCTTTATCGTTCAAATACCCCATTTAATAAGATTTATTTTTTATTAATGAATTTCTAAATTCTGAATATTTGTATATATATTAACAATTCACTATGAAAATAACAATTTTTAAGAAACTTATTACAGATTATCCAATTGTAATGTCTTTTGAAAAGTTGGAATAATAAATAAACCCTTCCTTGTAAAGAATTTCATTTCAATTTTACATTCTAATTTTTCTTCTATATTCCTAACTAATTATAAATATACTATGATATAATTGTTACATACTTTTTATTTTTTATTCTCCTTATTGAGGTACTTCACCTTTAATTTATTCCTTTCTATAATCTAAAATTCTATGCAAATGAAACACCTCTCTATTTAATCTAACTCATTGTACTATTGCAAGCATTTTTTATAATTTTTATTGAATCATCCAAATTAATTTTATCATTTTAATCATGCTACCGCTTTTAAAATTAATCCTTCCTTTAAATAGAGAATTCATAACAATTTTAGATATCAAATGGTTTGCTAATTTGATATCTAATGACCAATATTTTTAATCATTTACTAAATTCTTAAAAAAGTTGTCAAACTAATCAAAACATGATCTTTTCAATACGTATTTTTTTATTCTTCCTCAGTCAAATATTATTCTTAAATATCTTAACTTGTTTATATTGATAAATCTCATCAACATAACCTCCATTTCTTAAAGAATTAGACAAATTTATATATTTTCAAAGATTTCTTATACTCCTAATCCTATGACTCTTGCATATTATTATTTGGTTGATGGGATTATTTTTGGAAATCATATAATTTGAATTATCTTTTATTTTATATTTCCTTAATAATTTCAATTAATATTTAATACAAATATTAACATAGTCTATATTTTGAATAAAACTCAATAAATATATTTTTCAATATCTATTTAATCATACTTTATTAAATTCTATATAATTTTTAAAGATAGATCCCAATTGCCTTATTCACAATATACTATTCTTGAAACTTCCTTAAAATAATTTCTAAATCATACAGCTTACAAAAGGGCTTTACAACACCAAACACATGGAAACAACGTTGTATACAAAGTAGTATTTCTAGTTTGTGTGATTCCTAATTCTAAAATGCATCCTTCCTCTGCATGAATGCACATACACTTGTATAAAATCAGATCTAAGGTTTTTGATTCCTTACAAACATCACACCCTCCTTCATTACAATTTTTCATCACTTTTGGAGTTCCATTATAAGAGGTGCTTAAAATTCTTTTATTGTTGTTAATTAGCACTGCGCCGACACTCTTCTTCATACAATTACTTCTTTATTTGACTGTATATGCAATCTAAAATGTTTAGATTTATAATCTTACTTTCATAAAATATACATCCCAATCAGGTCGAAATGGTCTAATAATCTTAGACATTTATTGCTTCAAGTAATTTCTGAATTCTTCAATTGCGTTTGTATTATTTTTAAGATAAACCTTGCAATTCTTTGCCAACTCCAAGAAATCTAGATCATATTTTTGCTTAAATAAGTGAAAATTCTGATACTTTATCGTCAAGTCTCACGAAATCTTCAAACTTGATTGTTTCATTCTTTTCACAATATCTTCTATATCTTGTAAATGAAGGTGCATCCAAATATATTAAGTGAAAATAGTTTCTTTTCTTCAAGACTCGTAACTGCTCCTTTGTTGTGATCGCTGTGATAATTGTAGGTGTATTCCAGTTATTATATATTTGCATAGCAGTTTTATTCAAATCAATTTCCTGATCAAAGTAAACTATTTAGTAGCCATACATTTCTTTCATTAACGAACAGAATAACGTTTTTCCTGAACAAATACCACCCAATACTCCAATAATTGACATCAAATAAATAATTAATTTTTGAACAATGATAAAAATAATCAAAAAATTCTTATTATCTTTTTTTTTTTGTTCTTTTTCAATATCGTTACAAAGTATAGTTATTTGTGTTGTTTTGATTCGAATTGTTGTTTTGTGAACCGATTTATATATTGAATAATAATGCTGACTTAGGCTTCAGTTAAAATAAGAATAAAGATTTCATTCCTAAATAAATGTCAGAATGTCAATTCTATTTATTATTTAATAATAAAAGTTTATTCTTATTTCATTTATTAAATGAATTTAGATCTGTCCTAACAATTTCAAAATCAAGATAAGAGATTCATAATTTCAAATCAAAATAATTTATGGCTTAAACTATCTTTAATTTAGTATAAAATTTTTTGATTTTTGTTATCTAGACTTCTTAGTAAAACAAAAAGAATAATGTTAATTGGGCTACTTTGAAATAAGACTTGGTTAGACAAAAAACAAATTAGTATACTTCGGTTTCAAGCATAATTAGATTGAATTTACTTTAGATTTTCAAGGGAGCCCTTTAAAAATGTTGTAAGGCTAAATTAATCACCAAATCCTGAAATGAGTTTAGCTAATCAATATTTATTACTCCAATGAGATCTATGTCTCAATTCAAGCAATCGCCACTGTTATCGAAGTTAAAATTCCAACCCCATGATAAATTAAGTAAATTTAAACAGCTGTTAAATTATGTTCATCAAATATTCAAAAGTATTGCCAAATGAATAAGGCAAATATTATAGTTAATTGTAAGCCAAATTAGATGCTTTAGTATTATTGATAGGATCTGAAAAGGATTATCATTAGAATGCCATATAAATTGAAAATGTTATGGAGGAAACTATTAAAAGTTCAAATAAATAAAATAAATTTGACAATCTAAAAAGTTATTAGAAAATGCCCGAATATGATGATGTGAAGAAATTGAGTTTAAAATATCTAGATTTAATGTATATAAAGCTTGATTCAACTGTGAAACTTAACTTTTAATATTCAATTCTAATTTAATAACTTAGATTTGTTTGTAAATATTATTTTGGATATGTATTTAGATGTTGTTCAAAACTGAATCAATCAAATAGATTTTACAATTATGTAATTAAATTATTCTAAATTCTATGCAGTGATATATTTTCATATATATTATAATTTTATATCATTTTCAAAGATTAATCCCAAAACTAATGACATATTTTATTATTGAATATTCTATTATTTAATAAGAAAAGAAATAAATTTTGATTGATATTTAATTATATCAAATATGTCTGAATCCAGTATTAAAAGGAGAGTTCAAATTAAAATGTAAAATACGAAAGAAAAACTGGTAATTAGCTTGTTAAGTAGATTAATAATTTTCAAGGTGAAGTTTCTCAAGAAGAACTAGTAAAATGTTCAAACTATCTTCTAAGCACAATCTGAATCATATTAATCCATTGATGCATATTTAAATAAAGATCTTTCAAAATTAACAGATGAATTATAAAATGAAATTGGAGAGAAAGGTTGAGGAAACAATCTAGATATAGCTCCTACAATAATTATAAGATTTGAAAGAGTTGAGTAGTAAGCAAGTGATTATATCATTAAAGAGAGAAAATAGAAAGAGAAGAAGTGGAGGAAATTTTTGAGATATATATCTAGAGGCTTTGAAGAAGAAAAGAACAGAAGAGATTTTTATATATTGAGAAGGCAATGAAAAAGTTCAAAAGACAAATGTTAAAAATGAATATATGAAGAATCATTTATCATGAAAAAAATATAAATAATTTTATTAAAAATTAGATTGAAATGAGAACATAAAGCCCCTTACTTTCTCCTAGCAGTGGCTGTAAGACTGCAAATTTTTTGACTCCTTCAAGATTAAAGCATTCTTCTCTACATTCCACAGTTGGAACACCAAATACTTCTCATTAAAGGAACATAATTAATTTAAAATCTGGAATTTCTCATAATTCTCCATCACCATTTGATACATCAAAGTTTTAAATTACATAAAATTACTTTAACTAAAAAATAATTACTAGTCACCATACTAGGCAAGAAAGTCCGTTAAAAGTTCTTCTCAAAACTGGATATGATTACTAGGAGGAAATCAAACAACTAAGAAGAGAAAATTAAGATTTGCATTTACTAGTAAAGAAATAAAGAGAGTAACTTTAAGATGTTTAAATGGATTCATAATTAGTTGAAGAAAATTAAATGTTAAAAGACATTATTTTAAAGTTGCAAAAAGAAAATGATGAATACAAACGATAACTAAAAGAGTGAGACGCCTAATTTTGTATTTTTAATAATTTGATAAACAGATTGTATTTAGGTTTTTTTTTTCTGATACTGATAAATTAAGCTGAACTGTTTTTCAATTATAACTTTTGACTATCAAGTATAGATATACGCAATACACTAATCTTAAATTTCACTTAATTTTTTATTATAAAATCATTGAGTGTTGTGTCTTTTCATCCTTGACTAATTTCGGTCTTATTAGTTACCACATTTATTTTTCCAATTGCGATTTTTCAAAAAATGATTGAAAACAGGTCAGAAGGTAAAAACAAAGAATAATATTTAAAATAAATGATTTCTAAATTATTAAAAATCTGTTTTTTCAGAAGAATTTGAACATTTAAGAAACATAAATAGTTATTTGTAAAATTAAAAGGGTTAAGTTCGTTTCTAAATGAGTTTAATTATCTTAAAGGTAGAATAATTTATAATTCAATGAATTGAAAAGCATTAAGTAAAGATTTATAGATAACAAAATTGATTATTGTTTTGAATTTGATTTTTTTCGAAGATGCAATAAGTGTAATAATCTGTAAGTTCTTATTCAATGAATAATTATATGATAATATTGATCAATTGTAAAAACACCAATGATTTAAATATGAATATGAAATGAACTAAAACATCCGTAGAATTTCAATTTCCAGCTGATTCAATATTAAAAACAACTGCAATACCAACATAACAGTTAAGAAAATCAATATCATATTTATTGATGGATAAAAAAATTACATAAAATTACTATTTCTCACACTTAACCTTAAAGATCAACTAAAATGACAGTTATATCATCATGCAACTTTCTTCTTTTGCCGAGTGGAATCTTTCTTATTTCTTCATCAGACATTTTATTGGATATTGCTGCATGAGAAAGTGAGTCTTAAAAATTTGTTTAATAATCTCGACTTTGTTAATTTAGTTTTTTTGCACAATCTTTCATTAATTTGAGAATGCATACTTTTGAGATTTCAGACTTTGTTAATTCATCCCATAATCTATCAGAGCCTAAAACTAAGTATCTATCTCCTTTTTGAATTTCGTAAATAGTTACACTAATGTAAGGTCCTTTAAAATTCGAGATAGATTTTAAACATCCTTTGTCTTCCAAAACACTCTTAGGATTGTTAAACTCTTTGAATTTCAATCTAATGTCACCCAAAGATCTGGTTGGCTACAATCTTCCTTTAACATAACAGCTCTTATCTCCACTTTTGCAAGCAACAATATCAGCATCAGAGAATACAGATTTTAATCTCCTTTATTTTTTTTTGGGTTAGCAGACATCTACACAAAATTAAGAATACTCATATATTGATGATTTCATTTTGAAGAGATCAGTTGATTATTTAATCCTTTAAAGCGGGTTAACAGAGAAAATATTCTCATATTGACTTAATTGCATGATTATCAAGATTCAATATAATTATTACTTAGATCAATTAGTATTCTATTTATTTGTCTATTTTAGGAAATAAAATGAAAGATCTTTCGTGAAGAATTAATTAATTGTGAACTCTGACTGCTATTAGGACAGCTCCTGATTATTTGGCAGTATTTAGGTATCATTTTTCATTGAAGATAAATTCCATATGAGGACGATTATATAAATTTTAAGTTTATGATTTATGTTTACGAGTGTATGGTGGTTTTTGTGCTTTTGTAATTATGTTCAACATCGCAGATCTGACTTACCTGAGTAAATTAATATCCTTTTGTTAATGCGAGGTTGGATTGTGTTTTTTTGTAATGCAATATATCCTACTTAAATATATTTTCTGAATAGCAAATTAAAAATTCAATAAAATTTCATTCCATTATATTCACAAGATTTAAAATTATTTTTTGAGTTATGGAAGTGATTGTTTTACTTTTAGTATATTTTTCTTTATATAATTCTATGATATTATTGAATTTAATTAAAATGTAAACTTGGCAACTTGTGGAAATCCATAGTGAATAAATAGCTTTTATGGTTTTAGGCTTGTTGAATTTCTTAAGTGATAGATAAAATTAGTTTTTATCATAGTTGTATGTTTTAGAATTAAATTTACTGTCTAAATAGATTCAATCAAATGGTAACTTATCCAAAATACAGAACCAAAAAGACTTCTCTGTTTCCAAACAAAAAGCAACATAATAGAAACTTTAAAAGAATCCTTTGGACATTAAATTGTATTTCTAGCATGAATTAGAAATTCTTAGGATAAAGTGTAATTTATGCGAATAATGCAAAATTTTATCCAAACTTATATAGCAGATAAATTAAATTTACATTTTTTAATTAGGATGTTAAAACAAAATATGTAAATTTTGGATAAAAATTTCGATTCCTTTCTTAAAAAAATTGAAAAGTATCTAGAGCAAAAATAAACATCCTTAGCACCCCAACTTAGATTTCAAAATCGCTGAAATGTAAATAATACTCACTTTTAATTAAATAATATAAACATTAATTGAATATAAAATAATTTATAATAATCTATTAAAAGTAAATTTCAGCTTGAAAGAATTTGATTCCCAAAATTTAAAACTTTGCCAAATAGATCCAATTAAAGTTTTAAAAATATCTAAACTTAATAATAACCACATACTTAAAGTCCTGAAAGGATGAAAAATTAGATGATTAGATATTTTTATGTGGTGGAAAACAGATTCATACAAAAATATTTTTAATAATACTCAATTTTCTGTATAAAAATTTTCATAAAAATGAAGGCTTAAAAATGTTACCAAGTCAAGTATTTGTATGAGTGAATCCTGTGCTAAAATTTCATCTTCGCCAAGTTACTAGGTCTATCTCCACCACCATATAAATCCATGAGAGAACTGGCTGATAATTACTGTATTCAAAATAGTTCGATTATCTAATTATAAAAGCAAGAAATGAATACTTCAATATTCCCTGTTTCATTTCTACTTAACAAAAAATCTACATATCAGAGATAAAAATCAAATTTGGAAACTGGTTGAAAAATTAAGCCAAACTAGAGAAATTATTATTAGTATGTATTTCAATGCAATTAAGTTCCTTGAAATTTCTAGGACCATCTTTCCAAACTTAATTGCATTTCTAGAAAAGACTAAAAAAAAATGTAACTGAAAGTAGAATTGATCATGTTTTATTACATCATTCAATCTAATATAAATTAGATACTTCCTTTAGTACTCTCAGATCTTTCTCTTTTTGAGCTTGAGTTAAACATCTAACCAAAAATTATTAAGAATTGTATTTTATAAACACAATAACAATTTGCTCAAAATCCAAATAACTCAACATAAAGTAAGTTATCTGAGTTTTCATTCTTCTTAAACATAGATAAAATACTCTTGAAAATCCAAGATTAATTAGAGATTAAAAAAGCAGATGATATAAAAGTTAGGGATTAGAATAATATCGAATACTAAATTGAGTAATTAATGTACTTAAATTTTTTCTATTTTAAACATTAATTATGAATCTTATCTAATACTAATAAATTGAGTGAATTATGTTACTTCTTTGCTTTGAATCTTAATTATACGAATAATATATAATAATAAATTAAGTAAATA